GAAATATTAAAATATTTAAAAATATTATTAATAAAAAGAAATTTTGTGTCGTTAACAAACGCATTTCTGTTCTTTTTCTATTCCAGGGATGGAATTTTGGGCCGTTAAACAAACGCCTTAAAATGCTCAGAATCAATTCCGGGCACAGAATAAAAAAGAATCATTTCTGACCAGAATCTGTTTCCGAGCACAGAATCGTTGTCATGCGCAGCCTTAGAATCAAATACATAGTATCAAACAAGTAGTGGTGCAAGAGCCAAACAAACGTGACATTTTAACAAATGAGGTGAGACTGGTGAGCGCTGAAACTTCAATCAAAATAAGCCCGTATGCATAATTACAAGAGCCAATTTGAGAAATTTGATGATCCATCCATCGATACATATCCCAATTGAAATCCTAATTTACTCAAAATAAATGAAGAATAGAGAGTTTTCCGTTAGGATAAATATGGTGGGTTCTCTTCTCTGGAGGACCATACATCATATTGGACGTCATTTTCAGTTACATGTAACCCGATTCGATGTGTAGGACCGGTGATCAACAAACTCATATGATGTTATCCAGCCATAGCGCTAATGACATCTATAACAATGTATCATGTCAACCGAAGACGTGATATGTGACGCTCGTACATTACACACATGTTCACATTTACACGCATGCTCACAGCCAACTTGATCATCACACACACCACCTCCTTTGCTGGCATCTTCCCATGCAAGACACGATCAATAATCAAAGTTAAAAGAGTTCAGATTGCCTAACGTGGGATCAGAGAGAATATTGCAGTTGCAGCCCACCAACTCACACGCATGTGCATCGAATACTATCGTGTGAAGTTGCATCCGGACAACAGAGATTGCTGTTCCCTTCTATTGAACCCGAATTGATTCCCATTGTTAATCCGCCAAACCCAATGAGCATGTCCATAAAGATGTCTAAACTGCAAATATGGCTTAACACTATCTGTTTGATAAAGACAATGAGTTCTTCACGGATCTTTGTGCATTTTTCTTTTACCTTGTTGATGGAAAGAATCGTTCCCAAAGCACATATGGGGCCGGACAAAGCTTGCATGTGCTCTTATGCAACCCGCCAAATAACAATTTTCCTCTTTTTTTTGTAACCACTAAATTATTTTGTCTGCACTGTTTTTCCTCCTGGACTGTGACCGATCGAGCAATGTTCATCAATGAGCAGACTGACAGCGAGAACAAGAAAGAGGGTGAGGGAGATTTTTCCATCTCTTCTTTCACTAGCGCATAATCTAAGTTTTACATAAGGTTATGTTAAGTGCACGCGAGCGTTGTGAATTATTAGCCAGCGGATAACTTACAAAGACGGAAGAAATCAGAAGAAAGCACATTTGGGATTTTCCCGAGGGCGATTGTGATTAAGGTACCTTCCTCTCTCAAATAAAGTTACAAGGTTAATGAAGAGTTTAAGGATTGAGAGTACCCTATTTCTGATGGATCTTTATGTCTAATCGGCAACTGCATGCTGATTAGAGACTTACTAGTAAAGAGATTACTTGACATCCTGTCACTTTTTCCTACATTTCTTTATGTCTAATCGATAATGTACACATAGAGTGTCCCGTGAGATTATGACCAGCGTCACTTTGAAGATCTTCGTCAATTGGTCATCATTTACCACGATAAATGTCAAGATCTTAAGGGGCGCGACAACCGAGAGATCTTGGTTCAATGATCCTCTCTTCACTCTCCTTTTCACGTCAAGTAGTACGCGTTATTATGGAGATGTTAATGGAGATCACACATCAAAATCTTAGAGCGGCACGCGTTGGTTTTTTTATGTTTATTTCTTTGGGGTTAGCCGAAAGTGATTCTTAAGGAACTTTCAGATTTCGATAGGTGTATTTTGACATAACTAGATACGTGAAATTTACTCAATTTTGATATCATCTGACTGCGTAACACATTGAAGAAAGAACATATAACTAAGAAGAAGAGTACTCATTTCAAACAAGATACCCAAATATTATTTCCTATGGGTTACATATGTCTCCTTGGGCATGGCTTTTTATTAGCTCAATCAACATGACCATCACGATTTAGGTTGACAAAAAGAGGAGAAGGAACCCCACACGTTATTACACTTTAGCGAATCTTTGCCTAATATAATTCGGCAACAAAGGTCGGTACTAGTACTGCACCTTCCAATGAAAGTGTAAAGTTTCTAAGTAAAGGACCAGCAGGCACTAAAGTGGAAGTCTAAATCTCTAGACAATCATTCAAGAGTTTTCTTAGGTGTACATTTATCGTACGATTTTCTCGATCATCTCGCACGATACCCTTACGAACTAATCAATAGATGTAAACAATTAGCACATCTGTCAATTGAAATTCGAAGAGATACTTGTGCGCTTAATTCATTCAGAGTAGGCCTCCTAAATTTTGTTGAAGTGTTGATAAATTTCTTACCTTCTACGATCATTTTCAGTGTAATCTTGAGAGGAAAAAAAAGAGCCACACAATATGCTTACCAAACTTGAATGGCTGGGCAAGCCTCAACTTCAATCCCCACTGCCTTTGAGCAAATGATTAAAAATAATGTCTGATTAATTAAAACCAGCAAAAGTGGTGTGATGCGACGTGGGTGGAATTGAAATGCAAGAGATAATTATTGGTTAGGTTGAGTGGCACTGAGAGCACAATGGGAAATATAGAATTTCCTGAACAGTGGGAGAGAAACAATGAAGAAAATGAAGAAGAAGAAGAAGGAGGAGGAAAGGTGTACATCAGAAAGACCATGATCAGCGCTTATTACATGTACTTGAGGCATGCATTGCATTCAACCACAAGCATATGACATTTCACATTTCCTAAGTTTCACTTAGACTTAGATTCCTCAATCATATGTCTGATCGGACGCAACTAATGAATGATGTACATTGCGGACTCGGTCCTTGCGAATAAGCTCATTGTGCATCAGCACTGGAATCAATGTGAGGAAGTTGATGATCCATCTAACGAGATGGAACCCTAATTTGGTCAGGAAAGAACAAAGAAGAAGGGATTCTTCTGTGAGGATAAAGAAGGGTGGGTTCTCTTCTATGGAGGACCCTCCATTATACGGGACATTATTTGGTGTCACAGCTGTGCCTTTGTGTCATCTTGTGCGTGCGCAAGAGAAGGACAGAGACGGAGCTCACATACATAGCAGTAGCTTACAAAACCCTACCTTATCCCAAGTTCACAAGTTGCAATAACAACACACTACCATGACTTTTCATTGGGGGTACCGTGCCCGCGAGGAAAATTGTCCGATCAGTTCTAAACCTATTATATGTATGAATGCCAATTTAATCTTTAACTTTTCAATTTTGCTAATTCAGTCATAAGCCTTTGTGCGAAATTCCAATGTAGTCTTTCCGGCCAATATTTGCCGAAAATCACTGATGTGGCGATGTGTCATGTAAGGCGATCGGCAATGATTGGACCTCCACGTCAACGTTTTCCAGTGAAAAATGACTGAAATGATTATATTGAAATTTTGCGCAGAGATTTAGAGGTAAATCGGCATGACTGAAAAGTCTATAACTAAATTAGCATTCGTGCAGTAAGTTTAGGACCGATTAGGTAATGTTCCCTAGATATATATTTGTGTAGGTTCATCTTTCGCTATGTCCATACTCCATACATTATTCTTGCCGAGAATTGTTTCCATTGGAAGTTTTAGTTCAGAATTTTGCAGATGTTGATAAATGCCACTATGCATCTTCACGGTTGACAGCAATCCACATCGTAATGCATGAAGCCTGTTATATATTTGTAAAAGTACTGACTGTGTCTAGATTTTCCGTACGACATGTGCACTCGATGACAAGTTTTTGCGATATTTTGTCGTCCCTAAACTCGTGATTAGGAATATAATCCAATTATTTAAAGAGAGATCTTAAACGCTTGAACTCCAATTATTCATCGTTCTTTCTTCCGGTCCAATTGAAATTTTTATTGAAAATGGTCATGACATTCCTGGCCTAAGAACATGATAGAACGAAGAGGTTATTTTGTACGAGGGAATATTGCGACGCACATGTTATGACTCATCAGATGACGAAAGATTGTCCTGTTCTTATGAGGATAGCGTACATATTAAAATTAAAAATTTTAACTTCGAATTGGTCTTTTCAACATATTAACTGCAAGGAAACTAAAGACATCAAAGAGCATAATTAAAAGGTTAGCTACATGTTAGCTACGAAAGGTTTGATTTGAGCTGCAACTACTAGAAGATCTCCAAAACTCATTAGTGCGTTAGTAGTCCATAACTATACTTAGGACTCGCTGCCAATGTATTGCTGTACCCAGGAAATCCCATGTGGCTCTCATGTCCATGGCTACTTTGTATCAAGGAAAGGCAACACGGGAGACACATGGAATTGGAAACTCGTTTACAGCGAGCTTAGGATTCGATCAGATACTTTTTTTAAAGAGTTAAAAATACTTCATTAATCGATACGAAAGATTAAGGATCAAAATGACCAATACGCGATACACCAAAGGCTCACTGCGCCCTTTTTCAATCAATTCGAAGTGAAACCGAAAGAATGTCTCGAACTTTGAATTTGATTTGAGATATGTTTACAAGTTCAATCCAATCTCTAGCTCTAATAAGGATCAAAATGACCAACACACGATACACCAAAGGCACACCGCGCACGTTTTCAATCAACCCAAGGTGAAACCGAAAGAATTTCTCGAAACTTTGAATTTGGTTTGAGATATGTCTGTACATCTCTAGCTTTAACATGAGCGGGGCATTTGGTGCATGTTTGATCGCACGAGTCCAGCTCACATCCACCGTTAATTATGTAAATTCGTACGTGCTCATCTCATCTAACGATGCATGTGATTTGAGCTCACATTCATCGGGTGCGTCTAACATCTTTTTCCTCTCTCACACCACACTCACTTCCTTCCGACAGTGGTCACGGGCGTCTTATAAAAGCCATGCTCTGAACCATTCACGAACTTGTGGAAGTTTCAGTCTCTGAAAAACTGCCATGGCCACGGTGGCCCTGTCCCTCCTCCTCTCCCTCCTCGTCTCCCTCCTCTCTCTCCAATGCCTCCTCACACTCTCCTCCGGCGGCGGCGGCGGGAGGACCTACATCGTCCACATGAGCCGCCATGAGAAGCCATCTCACTTCCCCACCCACCAAGACTGGTACCTCTCCCACCTCCGCTCTCTCTCCTCCTCCTCCTCCGCCTCCTCCTCCCCCGCCCTCCTCTACTCCTACTCCGCCGCCTACGCGGGGTTCGCCGCCGCCCTCGACCCCTCCCAGGCCGCCTCCCTCCGCCTCTCCCCCTCCGTCCTCGGCGTCTACGAGGACACCCGCTACTCCCTCCACACCACCCGCTCCCCCGAGTTCCTCGGCCTTCCTGCCGAGCTCAGCGCCCGCGATCCGAACCCGGACCCCAATTCCGGCGACGTCATCGTCGGAGTCCTCGACACGGGCGTGTGGCCCGAGTCGAGGAGCTTCGACGACTCGGGCATGCCCGAGGTCCCCGCCCGGTGGCGCGGCGGGTGCGAGTCGGGCCCCGACTTCGACCCGAGCCTCTGCAACAAGAAGCTTATCGGGGCTCGCTCCTTCTCCAGAGGCTATCACATGGCCTTAGGTACTTACAAAATCTCGTTAATTCACCACCTTACATTTTAGTTAAAATGCGATTCCAAATGATGGGTCGGTGTCAAAATCGAATCTTGTTTTCACTTTTGCAACTTTTTGTGTATGCAGGTGGCAGTTTCTCGAAGAACCCGAAAGAAACGGACTCGCCCCGAGACCAGGACGGGCACGGGACCCACACCGCAACCACGGCGGCGGGGTCGCGCGCGGCGAACGCCAGCCTCCTCGGCTACGCCAGCGGGACGGCGCGTGGGATGGCCACGCGGGCCAGGGTGGCCTCCTACAAGGTCTGCTGGAGCAATGGCTGTTTTGGGTCAGACGTCCTCGCCGGCATCGACCGGGCCATACTGGACGGGGTCGACGTCCTCTCGCTGTCCCTCGGTGGCGGGTCCGGACCGTACTATCGTGACACCATCGCCATCGGTTCGTTTGCCGCCGTGGAGAGAGGCATCTTCGTCTCCTGCTCTGCCGGGAACGGTGGGCCGGCACGGGCTTCGCTCGCCAATGTGGCGCCGTGGATCATGACCGTTGGCGCCAGCACTCTGGACCGAGACTTCCCTGCTTACGCTGTTCTTGGCAACAAGAACCGGTTCACCGGAGTGTCGCTTTACAGCGGACCGGGAATGGGGAATGAACCGGCCGGTCTGGTCTATGACAAGGGGTCCAATGGGTCGGGCAACTTGTGCCTGCCTGGTTCACTTCAACCGGACTTGGTGCGCGGGAAGGTGGTGTTGTGCGACAGGGGAGCCAACGCACGCGTTGAGAAGGGCGCAGTCGTACGTGCCGCCGGTGGGGTTGGGATGATACTTGCGAATACGGCGGCGAGTGGTGAGGAATTGGTGGCTGACAGTCACCTGTTGCCTGCTGTGACCGTAGGGAGGAAGGTGGGGGATCTGATCAGGGAGTACGCAAGCAGCGACCCGAATCCGACGGCCACGATTGGCTTCGGAGGGACCGTGTTGGGCGTGCAGCCGTCGCCCGTGGTGGCGGCATTCAGCTCGAGAGGACCCAATCTGGTGACGCCGCAGATACTGAAGCCCGACGTGATCGGCCCGGGGGTCAACATACTGGCGGCATGGTCGGGGGCGATCGGGCCTACCGGGCTGGAGAAAGATACGAGGAAGACCCAGTTCAACATCATGTCAGGTGTAGTATCTATTGCCCATGAACTCCTAGCGATTATATTTAGGACTAGTAATCTATGCTTAGCAGGAATAGAAACTCAAACGACGCGCACAATTTTGAGACAACGTGTAGTTTTCTAAATTCAAATGCGCAAACGTGTGTAACTTGATTAACACTTCTGTCAAAGAGGTCTTTTTTCATGGGTGAAGTGGTGACAATTCTCATTCTAATTTTACATTGTTAATCTGTGCAATGGGTAGATTCAATAACCATCAAGTCCAATAATCAATTGGTCTAGTTAGGTTGTGGACCTTGTAGCTAGTGCATGCAAAGTGGGCATTAATATATATTGTTAGCGCGCAAATAAGTTAGCAAGGTCTAGTATCCAATGCATTAGTGCTGCTTGTGGAGCCCTTCATGTGCACTAATGCGGGCTTTCATGGCATCTGCAATGACAACTTCAGTGGAAAGTCCAATTATATCTTCTTACAAGCATGGATATGGAACTTTTCCACTTTCGACTGGGTTAGCTGGAGAGCATTAGCAAGAAACTGTGGCTTTTGCCTTTTCTCTGCACGTGATTAAAAGCAAAACAAGAAGAAAAAGAAAGTGGGACTGGTGTAGCCATCACTGGTCTCTGGTTATATAGCCTCACCTTTAACGGAGGTCCTACCGAGAAATGCAGAGACGCCTTTTTTGCTTTTCCTTAGAGATTATTAGCCTGTGTTACCATAATGTGTTGTGTGTCTGTTAGCGGATTGTTGATAGCCTTTAATGCTGAATTAGGCTGTGGCAGAGTGTGACACTAATCATAATCATGCGTAAACAAGATGACAAGATATACCATTTGAGCCAATTAAACCGGGGAAGTGAATTATGCAGATGAACCAGTCCTTTTCATCCGCTTAATTGTTCATGGTTGATGATTTGCTTGCTCTGAATCTGATCCAAGCTTCTCATGTGGATCTGTCACTACAGGCACGTCCATGTCATGCCCACACATTAGCGGCCTCGCGGCGCTCCTCAAGGCCGCACACCCAAATTGGAGCCCGAGTGCGATAAAGTCTGCGCTCATGACCACTGCCTACACGCATGACAACACCAATTCTTCTCTCCGGGATGCCGCTGGAGGCACTTATTCCACCCCTTGGGCGCACGGTTCAGGACATGTCGACCCCCAGAAAGCCCTCTCCCCTGGCCTGGTGTACGATATCTCGACAGATGACTATGTCGCCTTCCTCTGCTCGTTGGACTACACCATCGACCAAGTAAGAGCGGTGGCCAAGCGCCCCAACATCACGTGCTCGCGTAAATTTGCAGACCCCGGCCAGCTGAACTATCCGTCCTTCTCGGTCTTGTTCGGGAGCAAGAGGGTCGTGAGATACACGCGCCAACTGACCAATGTCGGGGCTGCAGGATCAGTTTACGCCGTGACAGTGATGGGGCCATCGGCTGTGGTGGTGACGGTGAAGCCCACAAAGTTGGTGTTCGCAAACGTCGGGGACAAGAGGAGTTACACGGTGACCTTCGTGTCCCAGAAAGGCACGAATCAGACTGCTAGGTCGGATTTCGGTAGCATTGTCTGGAGCAACGCTCAAAATGAAGTTCGGAGCCCGGTTGCGTACGCATGGACCGAAATCGAATGAGGAGTTGGCCGATGTTCGAGGTTGCTTCATGCTCTGCTTCGGCCTTGAATCAGCCAGTGCATTGTGGACGGGCAAATGGGAAAGGTTGATCGGAAGAGGACGTGGTGTGAATAATCCGTGGTTGATGGACTAGGGATTGGCAGCGACTTTGGTGAGTTGAAGGGTGAGGGACAGTGTGTGAGATTTGTATTTGTGTGACTGTAAAAGTAATGTTTTGTAAAACATCCGGAGGAAATGAACTCTGGATGTGAAGCTTCTGGGACCATTCTCTCATCAAGAAGAGAGTATGGAGAGACAACAGTGTTAATTAATTACACTTCTAAGAAACTAATTACAATGTTAGATATCACAGGCTTGGGCAAGTGATCTCCCTCAAAGGTCTGGATGTTTATACGTAAGATTCCCACTCTGTTCATAATTCTCATCTGATGAACCCGACTTCGGCACAGCTTATTCGCACCGACAATCGGGCCTTGAACCAGTCTCTAGGCCTGGCGAAAGCCACGTCCGTCGACCACCCTGATGTCGGAATACCGGCACATTTTGCATGCATGGAAGACAAGTTAAGTGGTCGTCGTGATTACAGAAAGTGAATAGAAGTCCCTCTTGGAAAGAACCCACTGATACATGCACCACACACATAGTAGTAGGAGTACTCAGAATCTAGTATTAACCTGATAAGGTCACATAGAGAGGCCACAAGATAATAATATGTTATGTGCTAGATCCACGGAACAGGAAAGTTCAACTAATTCGTCCTTCTTTTACCTGAGATTGGGGAACTGAAAAGCCTGCATGGCCCATCTTCATTGCTCCAGAGAAGTTAAACAGAAGTTAATCCATATTTGGAATTTAGATTCACTCACTCTAAATATACCTGATTCATTTCTGCCTGGATCTAGACTTGACTTAGAAACTTAACCGTCACCAAAAATAGAAACTATAAATTTGCAAACCACGGAGGTCGGAGAACCAACCGGTACACACTAACAATAGCAACGCAAGAAGAATCTTTGACTATAAAGATTGGACCTCACAACGTTGTCAAGAATTTCTCCTCTTTCAGGTTTCCGAGCAGTGGGAGATTGTCCAGCCATGGCTTCTTCCGCGGCCCGGTTAACGTTCTTAGCTCTTTTTCTTCTCGCCTTCCCTTGCGCAATGGCCAAGAAGACCTACATTGTTCAAATGAGAGAACAAGGCATCCCCGGGACATTCAACAACAGCTGGGATTGGTACAGCGCAAACCTCCAATCTCTTGCCTCCGGTGCTGCCAATCTCCTTTACGTCTACAGAGACGCCTTCAATGGCTACGCCGCGTCCCTTGAGCAGCATCAAGCAGAGGCCCTCCGGTCGTCGGACGCAGTGCTCGGGGTCTATGAAGGCGTCATGTACCAGCTCCACACAACGCGGACGCCACACTTCTTGAATGTGGAAGACGAATTTGGGCTGTGGCCCGGCACGGGGAACCATTCGAAAAAGGCTGCTCAACCATTTCATGAAGTAATCATTGGTCTTCTTGACACTGGGATTTGGCCCGAGTCAAAGAGCTTTGACGACTCGGGGTTCCCGGAGGTTCCGGCCCGGTGGAAGGGAGAGTGCGTGAGCGGACCGGATTTCGATCCTTCTCTGTGCAACAAGAAGCTTATTGGCGCTTATTTTTTCTCCAAAGGCTATATCGAGGCTTTAGGTAACTTTGAGAACCAAAGAACCTTAAAAGAAATCGTAGGCAAAAATGCATCTAGCACATGACGAATATATATATATGGATATTAATGTGGAAGCATTCATTGTGCAGATGGTAACATGACAGAGGTCCAAACCCCTCGGGACCACGACGGACACGGGACTCACACGTGAAGCACCGCTGCAGGCTCCCCGGTGGCTAATGCCAGCTTGCTTGGCAATGCAAGAGGCGTTGCTCGGGGCATGGCTCCCCATGCCCGTGTGGCCAGCTATAAAGTATGCTGGGAAGAGGGCTGCACAAGCTCCGGCATACTCGCTGCCATGGATCAGGCCATAAGGGATGGCGTCAACGTGATCTCTCTCTCCCTCGGTGGAGGTGACGGGTCATACTACGAGACCACCATTGCTATTGGAGCATTCTCAGCGATGGAGAAGGGTATTTTCGTCTCTGCCTCCGCCGGAAACGAAGGTCCTCAACTAGGCACGCTCTCAAATGGAGCCCCATGGATCATGACTGTAGGAGCGTCTACCCTGGACCGCAAATTTTCAGCCTATGCATTGCTTGGCAACAAGATGCAGTTCCCTGGAGTATCGTTGTCTGGTGGTCCAGGAATGGGGAACAAGCTGGTTGGCCTGGTTTATAATCCGGGAAACGCAAGCCACTTGTGCATGCCGGGCTCACTCGACCCCAGAGTGGTACACGGGAAGGTGGTGCTGTGCGACAGAGGGGAAAATTCCCGGGTCGAGAAGGGCGCAGTGGTGCGCGATGCCGGCGGAGTGGGAATGATACTGGTGAACACGGCGGAGAACGGCGAGGAGTTGCTGGAAGACTGCCACCTGATACCGGCCGTTCACATCGGTGCAAAGGCAGGTAATGTGATCAGGGAATATGCCAAGACTGATCGGAACCCTACGGCCCTGGTCATTACCGGGACACAAGAGTTCAATGTCAGGCCGACACCAGTGGTGGCTTCGTTCAGCTCAAGAGGGCCATACTACCAGTCCATGCAGATCTTGAAACCTGACGTGATTGGCCCAGGTGTCAACATCCTGGCCGCTTGGCCTCATAATGTGAGCCCCACGGAATTGGAGATTGACAAAAGGAGTGTCGACTTCAATATCATCTCAGGTTCATTGATATTACATACTTCTTTTGTCCTTCCTCTGTTGCGAGCAAACAATCAAGCACATCGTGTGCACCCTCCAGAAGTCAAAATCTTTTCTAACGGCTCCATTTTCAGGTACGTCCATGTCTTGCCCACACATCAGTGGCGTCGCCGCGCTGCTCAAAGCCGCCCACCCAGATTGGAGCACAAGCGCAATCAAATCGGCACTCATGACCACCGCCTACGTCCACGACAATGCCTGGAACCCCATCACCGACTCAGCCAACGGAGCAACATCCTCCCCGTTCGCCCTCGGAGCGGGCCACATCAACCCGAGGAAGGCCCTCTCACCAGGCCTCGTCTACGATCTTACTGCCGACGACTACATCGCCTTCGTCTGCTCCCTCAACTACACAGTCCAGCAAGTCCAGAGAGCCGTGAGGCGGACGAACGTGACCTGCTCGACAAAATTGTCCAACCCGGGACAGCTCAACTATCCGTCATTCTCGGTCGTGTTCGGGCCCAACAAGACGGTGGTGCAGTACACACGCGAGGTAACAAACGTGGGGGATGCCGGGTCGGTGTACAGGGTGGCGGTGGAGGCACCAAGCACAGTCGCGGTGAGGGTGAGGCCGACGAGGCTGGCGTTCCGGAAGGTGGGGGAGAAGCGGAGGTACAGTGTGATGTTCGTGGCGAGGAACAAGACGGATGCGGCTCATGGCGGGTCCATCACGTGGAGGAACCGGCAGCATCGCGTCAGGAGTCCAGTCGCGTTCTTGTGGGTAGAATAGTGAATCTGTGGAAGGTTAATGTTTGGGAAGAAAAGCAGTGTAGATGCTGTAGATTGGTCAAAGAAGAACGTGTATAATTGTGATGGTGATTCAATATAGTGAAGTGGTGTCATCTGTTATTGCTCTGGAGTTCGAACTAAACCAAGCATGCATTGCTTCTCTCTCTCACTCTGCCTGAGGAAGCAAAATGCAATTCTTGTCTTCTCAATCAGTGTCTGCATCACACAAAAGAACATGATGACTTAATACATAGCATGATCATGCCTTCATTCGTCAATTCGACAGAATCAAAAGAAAAAAAACTTAAAATCATACAGTTATATGAATACCATCAAATGCTGCTTTAATTTTTACTCGAATCGGCAATTACATAGCGGTATGGTGCAAGATGCACGCTTCGAATTAGCGACCTCAACTTTAAGATATCAAAGTGAAAAGTGTAATGCCCAAATATAATCTCCTCTCGTTATTGACTGTGACAGTCTTCTGTCCAAGATGTGTGGTACCGACCAGAACAAAGAGAGAGGAAATATGCATTACCAGAATGGAAAAGAATGAATTTCATTTAACTGAGCCACATTTCTCACTCTTATGCTGCATGTAGCTTCATCTAGGTCCAACAATGTGCAAATTAGTTTCTCCAATCACAAAAAGCAACCATTCGGATCCAAACATGAAACATATCTATGATCTGATATTTTCTCTGTGTCGTCATTTATTCATTCATTTATTTGCAATTGACAGTTTCTTTGTTCTTCTGAAAATGAGAAATAACAACGCTGGGGTCAGAAGCACAGATAGCAGGTCACAAGCCAATCTCACAAGTACACTATGTCAACCATCGATACAAAAAAGGCATTAGCATTTGGAGATGAACTCTCACAAAGATAATTCGGTACTGTACATCAAATAGATACATTCGCAAGGCCCAGCTTGCAGCTCAACCATTCTGATATAACTTTTTCAGTATGCAACAAGAAAATGAGCTACATCATCCAGGCACCAGGCGCAAAGCAGTGTTTGTGGAGAGAAGGACGCATCCATATTTGAGTACACACTACCCTGACCGGAGTTCCCATGCCTCATGCCTTGACCGTTAGTCAACTAAGACCATTCAATAAACCACACCCATAGATGTGCTTAACCTCAAAACTAGAAAGACCAGATAAATTGACATAAGGCCGATCCCCAACATCTTGTTCGGTCGCATGTCATGTCGGGGCAAGACGAAGAGTGACCAAAGAAGTCCGCTAATCAGAAACCCCATCGTGTAAAATAGACTGCTATCCCGGGGGACTACATATGATGCAGGTCTACTAGACCAGGCTCCATGAAACATTGAAACTCCCAAACCAGCAAGAGTGTTGAACATAGGCCCAGCATAACAACCCGACATAGCAATCTGCACACTATCTCCACCATTCATTGCCAATGCTACATTTGACATCAGATCACCCATCGAGTTTCCCCAGGCCAAAACTGTCAAACCGAGGATAGAAGGATTTATGCCAAAAATAACACCCAGAGCTACCAACAAAGCAACAAGCTCATTTGCGACAATGTAGAACCAGATTATACTCATGAAGAATCCTCCAAAGACCCAAGGAAATAAGAACTTGCTCGGTGGTTGATCCGCTCTGGTGTATACATATGCAAAAACACCAAGTACGCCCCCAACACAAATACCAATAGCATATGCAATTTCTCTGCTCAGATTTCCAACATCGTCTTGGGTGTTCCATAAAAATGCCAAAAGAATAGGCGCTAATGAGGCACTAGCAACGGCATATGTCTTTGACCATCTTTCTTCCTCGACTATAGGGATTGTCAGCCGCCTTGGTAGTGTCAGTGGCATCTCCAGTAGAGAAAATACTTTCAAGCACTTGAAGGATGATTTACCATTGGCTGTTTCATCCTCATTCCAACCCCACAACTGCTTTGGGCTATCCGGATTGACTTTGATAGCCTCATTTGAATAAATTGCAACATTTGAAGCCCACATCCAGTGCGGCAACTTGCTTTGCAGATGAGGTACATCAACATCAGAGTCCGACTCAAGCAGTGAGGCATAAATAGATTCATCTTCCTCACTTCCTTGACAGAAGATACTTCCTCTGACAGGAAGTAAAGGCGTAACAGAATCTAGCTTTAATTTCCTGGCTTGGTTCCTCAGCATCTCATTGGCAGCAACCGTGAACGCATAAAGTCCATATATGGAAACAAATGCAATAGCACCTCCAACACCGACCTCACCAACAATCAAAATTATACCAAGGCAAATCAAAGTGAAGAGGAAGAAGGATATATCTCTGATGAAACACCTCCTATCAATCTGAACCCTCATTTCTGCTACAGAGAAAGAAACAGCCCCCACGACAATACAAGTAACAAAAACAGCACCACCCAACACGCTATTGAGACCCACCGCCCCTGCATCTTTCCCCACAAATGCGGCAATGCTAGCAAACACATCAGGAGCTCCATTACCAAGCGGAAGCAGAGTAACCCCTGCAACCGTCGGTGGCAACTTCATAAGACTAGAAAGCTTCTCCAAACTACAACAGAAGTAATCCGCTGCAGTGTTGCCCAACAGATAAAACAGAGCAGCCAGCCACAATGCCAGCACAGCATACGCCACACCGGTGAATTTCTCGCAATCACAGTAGAAGAATGAAATGTAATGGAAGAACCCACCAGAGTTACACTCGGGATTGGCGATCAGATACTCACACTTGCTCTTATAACCCTTGTGCTCATACAAGCCGGCACACAGTTTAGGATCCTTCACGGTCAAACCGTCACCATCGGACTCGTCGACACTCACAGTACCATTTGACCCGGCAGCATCAACTTCAGCAATCCTCCTGTGTATTACCGTGAACTGATCGACCCGATCAGCAAAACCTCTCGAGCGCCAACTAGGAGGCAGGACCGAAGGCGAATTCCCCACATAGGGACCTCTCAAGAATTCATCTTGCGTATAGAACAGGAATAACAAGACCGCGGCGCAAATCCCATTGAACACCCCGCGGAATTTAGGGTTCCTGGCAAAGCTATATCGCCATGGCTCCACCATACTCCTTCGCCTTTCAGCCCCACCCACCAAAAAAACAGGAAAAATCAACCAAACGGAACAGCCCAAGCTGCGATTTTGCAAACACCCAAAAGTTCCCGAGGACGAAGATCAATCTAGGGTCTCAACCCGCAACCCGCAATCGAAACCCCAGAACACAAGGCACGGTAAGAATCGATTTCGGGTGGAAAAAGAACCGAACAAGGGCGACGAACAGGGACAGCGGGAGAAACTTCCCAAGATCGTGTCGGAGCCTGAAGAGCGAGAGGCACCTGACGAGACAGCGAGAGGGAGAGCAGCTTCTGGGTAGTTTCCCGAGGATTTTGGCTGATTCTTGAGCGCGTCGTCGTCGTCCCTGGTACAGTTGCGCGCCGCGGCGAAGGGACTGATCGGACACGAGAGCGGACGAGGCGAAGCCGGCGACGACCAGGCGGTCGAATGGCTAACGTAGAACCCAAGATTGAATTGTCGTCGCGAGGTGGCTTTAGGTTCGATTCCGAGCTGCTTCCATGGAGTCGCGCCAACCTTGGATTCGTGTATTTTGAGGCTTGCTCCGAGTCTTTGAGGGCCGGTAGGTGAAGAAAGACACGAACTAACCAGCCGTGGTCCGTACGGACCAAGGTGCAATAAATCTAACTGCTAATACCACAAAACCTTATAACAACTTTCATTAAATTTTACCTTCAAATTATTGAATTAAATAATACGTCACAGCTAAATTATAAATATACCAGTTTATAATTTTTTCGTGGTATTAATCCAATTTAACATAAATTAATAAATGGCAAATTTATCAAAAATGTACCGATTTGTGATTTTATTGATCAAAAAATTAGTTTGGGAGTAAATTTGTTACGGGTGTACTAGTTTGGGGTTTAATTAAAGGAAAAAACCCAATTCATTTTCTTTTACCTTTCCTTTATAGTATTTTTGCTTTGGAAAAATCTTTTCTCGTGGAATTAGGACACTTTTCTTAGAACGAGATACGAAAGCGTGAAAAGCCGAGGCTCTTTTCAAAATCAATAACCGCTGATTTTCGTGAACAAGCTCAGCGCATGCACAATTAGTTCCCTTTTCTTTGCGAAAGATAACGAATTGTAATTAGATGGAGAATAAAATATTTGACACTGGTTTCTTTTCTCTAGAAAGCAAAAGTCAAATATATATTTTGCTAAATGAAAAAATTACTTAAATTCAGAAAGAAGAAAATAAGAGAAGTGTTCTAAATCTTCTCACGTATAATAGAAGAATAAAGTTCGTAATTGCACGATAAGAACAATTAAGAAACTTTGCCATAGTGGCTTCTTACTAGAAAGTAGGTAGTAACTTCTTCTTTTATTTTTCTTTGAAAATTCTCCATTTTTTTCTCTTTACGAGGGCTAAATTGGAAAAAAAAAATTGAGACAGTTGATGATTTTGACTAAATATAAAAGGAAAATGACATAAATGGTCAATGAATTTTGATTCAATATATAATGCTGCTCTTAAACTCTAAATTTGTTCAATACGTGATTGAATAACTGTTATGTTGTGCAATCGGCCTGCATTTTGACAAGTTAAAGATTATCTCCATGGAACTTTTATTCTTATTGCAATCACTGTTTTTCGATGTCATTAAATGTTTCTTATTGTCATCACTATTAAAATTTCTCAATTTCCATCAACCGTGCATCTTCTCTATCTTCTCACCTTTCTCAACGTGTAATGGAGGTTATTTTGGTCAACAGGATTGACCTAGTCCGTATTGAAATAGCATTTGATGGTCATTAAAATAGAGAAACTAAGGACCTGTTTGACAACTTACCAAACAGTGAAAATTTCTGTTCTTTTGTTCTCAGAATCAGTTTTGGAACAAAAATCCGTTTGGTAAACTTTTTGTTTCCGGGCACAAATTTGCAAAAAATTGTTTCAAGAATTAGTTTTGGAACATAATCAAAAAGCAAAAAAAATTAGCTTCTTGATTCTGGGAATAAGAATCAGAATTGAAAAAGAGATTATTTTTTTTCTTCTTCTTTCCCGTTCTTTCTGTTCTTCTTCTTCTTCATTTTCCGGCCACCGGCGACACAAGCGAGGGCTGGCGAGGGCATCACGGCCCCCGCCCAAGCCACCAGCGGCGAGGGCGGCCCTCGCTGGCCTTTTCCAGGAATGAAAATTTTGAACCATTACCAAACGCCTTCAAATGCTCAAAATCAGTTCCCGGATACAGAATAAAAAAGAATCATTTTTTAGCATAATCAGTTTCCGGGCACAGAATCGTTACCATGTGCACTCTAAGTGATAGCAACTAAAATCAAGGCTGGAAAGGAGTAATCCCTAAATTTTTAAAATTCGGAGGATCTCAAAGTTCCCAAGGAGGGAGTTAATATGTAGTTTTCCAAAGTCTCGAGGGCTACTGTGCAACAACGTCAAAGTTCACGAGATTTTCAACAATTGACGCTTTTCCTATTTCACGGTAGAATCGGTCAAAAAGGCAGAGTCATAATAAAGGAGCCGTGTCAGCCCAGTCCCTCCCAAGCACAGAATATTATTCGGTAGCCCGACCCACATTAACCCACTTCACACGAGCTGTTAGATCTGTGACCCCCACGTGATTCAACGACTAATGTGACCTGGGAGTCCCGAGATAGAGACAACAAACCGGCGATGACATCCAAGACATACCATTTGTTGGAAATGCCCATCAAATAAAGCAACACACACACATGATACGATCAATTCAAGAACCTCTTCCTCACATTCGGGTGCTTCAACCATTACCTCTTTCTGTCCTAATAATGGCAGCTCCTGCTTATCACTTTCATTCCAGAAAGTCAGACCAGATCACACATAACAAAGCCGCCTCGACAATTTATTCAATTTCTAAGTGACCTTTGAGTTACAGCTAAGACAAAGCACACGACTATCTTGTCACACCCAAACTCTCAGCACTTACCATTTAGCTGAAGTGCAAATGCTTTCATGTCAAAAGCATCACTGCCGTTCTTGGTGACGACACCCTGGTTAAATACATGCATAAACAGGAAGTTAGCAAAATATCCTATGCCAATACCTAATTATACCATCAATTAGCTTGTACTTGAGCGAGGGTACCTTCTCGGTTATGATACCAGCTATAAGATTTGCAGGTGTAACGTCGAAGGCAGGATTCCAGACAGATATTCCAGATGCAGCAACTTGCTCCCCGAGGCCTCCACGTGAGTTCAGCAATTCTTTTGCGGATCGTTCTTCAATAACAATATATTGACCCGAAGAAAGAGACAGATCGACAGAAGTCAGAGGTGCAGCCACATAAAAGGGAATACTATGATGCCTTGCACACAAGGCAAGACTGTAAGTTCCAATCTTGTTCGCAGTATCGCCTGGAAAGAGAAATTAAGTTCATTAACATGCTTCCTAGGAGCAGCTCGAATAGCGATAAATGATAGGAGAGATAATTAATATCAATTAGCTGCTTCAAGCTACCATTTGCAGCCACACGATCTGCTCCAACGATGACCGCATCCACCCTTCCTTCCTTCATTAGTGCTGCTGCCGCAGAGTCTGCAATAAGGGTAGCTGGTATTCTCTCATGTACCAATTCAAAAGCTGTAAGCCGAGAACCCTGGAACAGTTTTCAAAGACAGTTGCTTACACAAACAAAATTAATCACATCTAAACAAAAAATTATAGCCCAATTTTCATCATCACAATCTACTGATAGAATATCAAAGTTCCTAAGGGCAGTATGTAAGCCAGACCCAGCTTTGCGATTGTTTGGAACAACAATGCATTCTTCATCACTACTCAACCAAGAGGCTACCTTCTCCCCCCACCCTGGCATGCCCGAACTCCAGTTTACCACTTTCAAAATATAATGTCCCTTTCATACAGCATACTCGAAGATAACTCCAGCATTGATATTTTCACGTTTCTGATCGTCATTGTCCTACAAGTCCTTTCCTCTACTTTCCTAAAGCAAAAAAAGGTACTAAACAACAGACAAAAGAGGGGGGAAGAAAGGAGTATGGATTTTTCTATCTAATAAGTGAAAATAACAAAATTGATAATTACTAATTCTGAAATATAATCTAGAATTCGAATGTCATTCTTATTCACAGCATCAATTGCAATGTAAAATACCTGCTTGTGTGCATGAGAACAGATTCTTGATGAGCAATTCAAGCTCATAATAAAGTAATTGTAAGTTTTAAAAGTCACAATTTGGATAATTAGTTATTGTCAGGACTGCACGAATCCTCTGTACAGTAAGAAACGGTATTGACGGTCTATTTCTGCCATCATACGTATCATTGAAACTGCAATGGCATATGACCCTACACACTAAGAAGCACAAGCCCTAAACAAACACTAAGCATGGAATAATTTGCTTTATTGCATCGCTAAAGTATTTGAACAACCTACAACCACATCCAACAATCCACCAATCGATGATCACAGATGGCATGCAGAATACGTAAAGAATGCTGATACAAACAATCAAGAGATAAATGTTTACTTGGTTGAATGGGCGTGTTTCTGTGCAATAAGCCCATTCCAAAACCCCTTCAGTATGAAGTGCACGGATTACGCCTAGGGCTGTACCATATCCAGCTGTAGCAAGACTGACAGAGAGAAAGAGAGAGAGATAAGCATGATGCCATGTTACTATGACTGAGGGAAAGAGTGGGACACCTACAACCAACTTAAAGTACCTGCCAGTATTGCAATGGGTCAACACAGAGAGTCCTTTGGTGTTTTTCTGATTTAGCTTAAGGAATGTGGCTCCATAGCTACCAATTGCTTTGTTTGAAGCAACATCCTCTTCTAGCATGACTTCAGCAGCTTCTGTATAAGCCTACGTAACATCGAAAGGAAATTTCTCTAGAAATTAGCGGAAAAAAAAAGAAGAAAATTTCTCACTGATTAATGAGGTCGAGAAAAGAAAAATGGAATATTCTCTTTTTGCACTGAGCAGCATATGATTTGTTTCATAGATATCTTTTATCCTTGATATGCATCACAATAGAAACATGGCTGAAAGATATGCTGAATTAGTGTTTCCTTGATTCATGAAATAAAGCAGAGTGGCAATTATTACCTGAAAAATATTTTTGGCTTCCGAAGCTGTTGCAGCAGCATCAGAGATGACTTCCTTCAGTTTTGTCGCAGCATCAGATAGATTCACGGCAGTTGGCCGACTGAAGAAGCACAAACGGTCAGTTTATCATCAGCCAAAGTTCAACAGTGGCTGTTATGTTTAATGACACTAAAGCAGCTTACCCATGGCTTTTTCGATTCAAATATGGTCACGCATATGCACAATTACTAGAATATATTAACATCTCAAAAGTTTCAATCAAGACTCGCAAATGTATTCTTCGATAAACAGTGACAGGACCTCATCATCCACCACCACAATACCTTGAAACAAGATAATCCAACTTCCCAACGAGGAAAGAGGCCGCATCGGCAGCTGTCCCACTAAAAGCATCGAAACGAGACACTTCCACTGCCAAAGAAAGTGCGGCTGCAATAGCAATAGCCGGCGCTCCACGTACCACCATCTCCTTTATCGCATGCCTAAGTACAAAAGAAAGACAAACTCTTCTCACAAATCCCTTCATTGCCGTTGTCCCACACGATTTACAGGAAATATATCCGGACCAATCTATTAGAAAAAAATTTCACATCCATATAAAATGAAAATACATTGAAACACCATCATGTAGTTCTTATCCACACAGTCTTATTAATCGTCACCCAATGATATACACTAGACCCGAGGTCACTGACAACTTTAAGCAGCAGCATCTTAAAGGACACTGGAGTGAACATGAAATACAGAGCATCTCAAAAGGCGAAAAGCAAGCATCTCGCAATCAATCCAAGTTCAAGATTGGCTAAAGAAAGATACCATCCATCGGCAGCATCTTTTATGTCCAGGTAGACTGTTTCCAGAGGAAGCTTTCTCTGCCAAACGCGGAAGAAACAGTGAGACTAAGCTTTCCCTGCCACTGGCAGTACCAGAAGAAGCAAAGGCCCCGCACAGGGCACGACTCGATAAATCAACGTCGACCCATATCGACCCAGAAGGAAATTAACCACCTGGTCGAGCAACCGGAGGGAACCGCGCTCGTAGCAGATGGATTGCAGAGAAGCGCCCCCGCCGCCACCATTGGAGCAGCCGGAATCGAGCGTCATCTGATCGCCCCCCTCAGTAATCAACGCGAAGACCCTCCGCACGGCGGCGTCGGAGCCGGTGCCGGGAAACTCGGAGAGCGATCACGGATCGTAAAAATCGGAGCTTTGCGTTGAATCCTCGAAGCGTGGAGCCTTCGAGCTAGATACATGAAGGGGTATTTTTTCTTTGGCCAGATACATGAAGGGGGCTAGCAACAGAGTTTTGGGAGGAAGGAGGGTGACGGCTCTCTTTTTGTCGTTTTACGTCCCTTTTGGAGTTTAGTGGGTGTCGTTTCCTATTTGTTTATTCAATTGAGGTCGGAGTGCAAAGTGCGAGGTTTAATCAGCGCATGATCCATGTCGGTCTTCCCTTGATTCGTTTCATATTGGCATTTTTTTTTTATACGAGACGGATAATTCCTGAAATTTGGTCCAATATACAATATAACCCCTGAATTTTAATTTTATTCAATGTGGTCCTTGAATTTTATTCTAGAACTTTTAAATTAGGTACAAATTCAATCTAATCTATGAACTATTCATGGACTAAATTGATTATCATTGAACATTTTCATATATTTCATGGACTAAATTAAATAAATACAAAAAAAAAAATTATTGCACATTAGAGTAAAGTTCAGAGATCACATTAAACAGATTAAAATTCATGGATCACATTGCACGTTAGACTAAAATTCAGGATCATTTATGTCATTACCCTTTATTTGGGCATTGCACTCTTCACCTTATTTTATTTATATAGAAAAGAAGTCATTTTCACGTTAGATGTACATCTGCGCATTGCATTAATTAGCTTCACATATCAATAATGATTATCCATGGATATAAAATTATTCCTTCGTGCTTTAATCACTTTAATTTAGAATGCATTGTAATGTTTAAATCCGTGCTCGCTCCGCATGACATCTTTGCTTGCCGTGAAATAAAAGCATAGAAGAAAATGATTTCCACGCGATTCGATTACTTCAATGTCGCATTTTACTTACTTACCGTCGCTTTCGCATATCATGATAGGATTACTTCGTAAATTACCCGATTCCGCGAGATTAGTAAAATCATTAATTAAACCAAAGGAGGAAGTAAAAGTATGAATCTTTGGCGTCGAAACCCGATTGATGACGAGTAGCTTCAAGAAATTGAGGCTCCCCCAAATTATTCGACCACAACCTTGTTTCGATCCATCGTTACGATCCCGTCTTGACAAAAATCGACGATACAAAGCGCTATCGTACCCAATTGAAGAGTATCACGGTTTTGCTTCGTCAGAGGCGAGACCTTGCCCCTTTCCGAAAATTGGGACTCGCACGTGTCCTCGTAAGTGAGCACCCCACTCAGCCAAGTCTGCACGTCGGCGTAACGCCCCGCCCGGTACGCCGGGATCACATCCTCCATTCTCGAGGACGAGTCCCCGTACATCTCCTTGCAGTCCGACAAGCACCGCCTCGTGTACGGGTCCCACTTCCGCGACATGATCCGTCGGATGTACTCGCCGGTGCTCGCCAGCTGGCCTCGCAGCAGGTCGAACGAGACCAACCCGAGCCCCCGGAGGTCGGCCCCACGGCTCCTCGGGTCCGACTCCAGGGACCTCGCGCAGGAATTGAAGTCCACCTCCGCGCACTTCTTGCAGGTGTCTCGAACGAGGTCGGAGCGAGCCCGTGGCGTGACGAGAAAGAAGGCGAGCAACAGTAGGGACGAGGTCGAGATCGAGACCGAGACTTGGCTAGCCATCCGTCCTTCTTTGGCTTATGGAGATCGAATTGCTTGGTGTGTGGTTATCCGATCCCTCTCACTGGTGAAGTGTTATATAGAAGTCGATTAGAAGGGTCAATTGGTGAAGGGGTGTCTTTACAACGATGCTTGCAAAAACATCATATGGGATTAGATTTCTTCCCAAGAAGGAGAGCCCCCGAAGAAGTAAGCCAGCTTGGGGCCGACGCTATGTATGCTAAAGCCTTAAAGCATTGTATTGTAATTTCGTAAGTGCGTGGGACATGATCCCAAAGGGTATTTCCCACTTTTGGTAATGGACTATACTTTTGTGGGGAAGCAGTAGAATTTTTGGGCTGGCTATATGCGTGTGGAACAATAATCCAGGGAAATTCCTTTATAAATTGAATAAATTACATTAAGATATTTGAGAATTTTTGGGATTAATACTACGAAAAACCTCAATCTGGTACATTTGTGTCAAATTTATCACAAACTAATTTTTTGATTATGAAGATCCCGAACTGATACACCCATGACAAATTTACCCTAAACTAATTTTTTTATCACAAAAAACCATAAACCGGTATACCTGTGACAAATTTACCATAAATTAATTTTTTTACCACAAAAAAACTTCAACCTGATGTACTCGTGATAAATTTACCCTAAATTAATATATCTTTAATAATCTTTTGAAAAACAAGAACTTTCAAATCTTCAATTATCTTTCTCTTTCTACGTATATTTACACAACTATTCGTAGTGTGCTTTTTATGGACGATTTCTTTCCTTTAAATATTTTCTTACAAATTCTCTTTAATCTTTCAAATGTCAATTTTGAACAAACGATATGTGTCGACCTACGGAACTTCTCATTTGGTGGACTAATTTCATAAATCGAAAGCAGTAGAATTCGAATTGCTATAGTTGGAAGTCAATGATCTATGGGTTTGGTGAGGTGTCAAGTCAAAGGGACATCGTAGGGTCATGTAATGAAGAACGTGCCGACCAGTTCGGTCCTATGCGGTAGTTTGGATGCGACTCGCGCCCGCCAGCAGCGTCGTGGATGTCGATTTCATCCCGTCCCGTGGTCCGCCTCGTCAAATGGGTGGGACGAGCTTATGGTCCTTAACGAGCCACGAACATGGCAGAGTTGGATAGGGACCTTCATTGTCCGGAGAAGTCGTTCTCGTGGTTGTATCTATCCCCATGGATAAATTCCAATAACCATCGAAAAGCAAACACATCTGAAAGTTCAAAGAATGATCGTTCGTAACTCCAAGATTTTTCTAATGGATAAAAAGGGCGGGAAAGGACGAGAAGGAGTACTGGCCCACTCTGGAGGTTATCATAATGAAAAACTGCCTGCTACAGAATGTACGGATTGAGTTGTTACGACTTAAAAGTCATGTTCAAGAAATCTTCAAGGTAAATAATGATGGAACTTTGCTCATAGAAAATGACCGTGTAGAGCAAAGTAGGGGTGAGCAAAAGGAATTGCCCGGACCAATCGATTCTAGGAAGTTCCCGAAGGGCATCGGTTCGGTTTCCTATTCCATAAAATGGAATCAGTGAATTATGATCTAGTTCCCGGTTCCATGTGCGAAACCGCCCATCCGGACCACAAAGACGGGACTGATTTTTTTTATTATAAAAAAAACTCTAATTTGTCTCCAATTTAAGACTTCACTCACGCACGCAGACACACATGAGTCGCACGCTCCCATCTCACCCACGCACGTAGACCCCCAATCTTTCACACTTTCGCGCCTCTTTCACAAACCATGATCACTCTCCTTCTTAGGCTCGCTCAACTCTCGGTCACGGCTCTCTCAGTCACTCTCTCGTTCGACTCTCAGACACCACCCTCTCGCTCGAGTCGCATCCCTCTCGCTCAAGCTCGACGCCTCCTTCTCGCGATCTCATCTCGACTCTCACCTCTCTCTCTCTCTCGCTTTCTTTTTGGTCAATTGTGATCGCAATCGCATCTCATCGAGGTGATTATCCATCCTCTATTTTTTTTTTGGCCGTTCTTCGTACATCGTTTTCGATGCTGAGGCTAGATCTCATCTTCGAATTGATCCGTGCCGAGCCCCTCGCCCCGATGGCCATGTTTGCAAACTAAATGCAAAGTCATGGGCTATCTTCCAGCAAGAAATTTGAAAACAGTGCATCAATCGTTCAAAAAGCCAAAATGGGAAAAAGGTGAGTAAAACTCAATAATTGAAGGAACTAAAAGTTTGTGGATTGGTAGCACATAAGCCTTCGATGGATTATGGATTACATGCTTAAAAAAAAAAAAAACAAAGCATGCCATCATTGTCCCGGACGCTAACTGCGTGCGCCTCATCCGCCACCCGTGCGTAACGGTAACATCACCGCGTCCCTTTCTCTCCATTTCCCGACGCCACCGAAACCCGCACACCTCCCTTTCCTCTCGCCGTCCCTTTCACTCCGATCTCCATAAGGTCGCGCACAATCGACGGTCAGATCTCTCTCCATCCCTCCCTCCCTCGCTCTCTCTCCCTCCTTTGCCGTTTGCCGATAGTCGATTCGCGTTCTCTCCGATCCTCTCTCCTCCCCTCCCCTCCCGAATGGCCGACGATTTCGCGAAGGCGGTGGACGACGGCCTCCGGCTCTCCAAGCGCCTCTACTTCGGGAAGGACCGGGCGGTGACCCCGCCCCGGTCGCCGGCGACGATGGAGAAGCCGGCCGCGGCGGCGGCGGCGGCCTTGGCGTTCCTCCCGGCGTCGCCGATGGCCTACGCCGTGATCCCCGACCCGTCGGTCGTGGACAACCCGGACATCCCGAGCTACCAGCCGCACGTGCACGGCAGGTGCGATCCGCCCGCTCTGATACCCCTCCAGATGAACGGGATCGAGGTGGAGGCGGACTGCGAGCTGGACACCGCCTTCGTCCGGGTCAGCGGGTCGTGGAGGTTGCATTGCGTCATGGGCAGCAAGTGCTGCGACTGCCGGGTTGCGATCCCCATGGGCGAGCAGGTGCGTTGATGGCTTAAGTTTGACGTGTTTCATCCGAGGTTGTGCCCGCCTTCGGATTTTCGTTCGATGAACTTCGGTTTAGAACCGAGACGAGTTGTTGGTAGGCTTATCGAAGCTTTTTGCACCTGTAGACCGTGAGTTGGGTCCTGAGTCTGAGTTCCTCCAAAGCCTAATGTCCAGGATTAGAATGTCCAAGATTAGGCTGTGAGGAAAACAGTATATGGATCGGGCCACGAGAGAACAGTATGGCGCCACTCTTAGTTCTTGTTCTTGTATAGTTTGCCTCGTTGACCGGACTAGGGGCGTAGATGGCGGCTTGCTAGTTCTGATTGGTCGAGTTGGTAAGACAGTAGTTACCTAAATCGCTTGTTCTTCTTTATATACACGCGGTCTCCTTTCATCTGTAAACTTTTAGTTGGACTATGAGAGTCGGGTTCTACCTCATTTAATTTCGCATGTGCGGCCTCTGCTTGTCAAATTTCACATGTCATTCCTAATCCGGCTTGCACGTGAGAAAGGTGTTAAAGTGCTCTCCCTCCACCTATTAATTTAAACTTTTTTGTTGGACTTACCGAGCGAGACTTACATTCAATGGTTGGTGTTGCTTGGTGCAATCTTTTAGGGTCATGTGTCATTCCTAATCCAGCTTGCATGTGAAAAGGGTGTTAAAGTGCTCTCCCTCCACCTATAAATTTAAACTTTTGTTGGAATTAGCAAGCGTGACTTACATTTAATGGTTGGTCTTGGTTGGTGCAATCTTTTAGGATCACAGCAGGAGAAATTGTCAAACATCAGGGAAGTGGACATAGTCCCATGAATGAAAATCTGACTATGGTACAACTTGATCACGATACTTAAACCAAAAAATAAATAAATCACTTGGTGACGACACTCAAATAGAAGAAACATTGTGGTGATGCTAATGATGATGTTTGTCTTCGGTTGGACAAATATGAGCATGATAGTGTGAAGATGCTGTTGGCTAATGTGTCTGAAAGCTGGAAATAGATAATTGTTGCTTTTACTGTGAGTCATACCATATTTATGTGCTTCTGAGAATGGTTGTCTTCACTTCAATGAGGAAACATATTTTTGAAGTGGTAGAGAATAAGAAGTGCAGGAGTGTGAGTTTCTTTTGCAGCTGTAGATTGTGCTATGCTATGTTAACATATTTAAAGTGCAATATGAAACTTTATCAGACCATTTTCAGTGAAAGATTGCTGTTTGCCAAAGTTCAGTTGATGTCAGGATACCTAAAATGTCAACATGATTACCAATGGCCATACAATGGGAAAATGGGAGAAAATGCTTGGAGGACCACATCTTTGTCATGATTTTTTTTTTGACTTTCTTATAGTAATTTGACCTTTTGAATCCAAAGCATAGGAATGATTGATATAGAACCTAATTATTCCTGAATTTTTGTTTCTCTTCAATATGTAATAAACAACGTATGATTGGAGAATTAATTCAGTGTAATTTTATTCAGTAATCAGATTGAGTGCATTGTGTCTATCACATCCCACTTGCACATTATCTCTTCTCAGGCAAATACTATTTGGCTAACAGGGATCGGTTTTAGGTCTTGAGGTAAAAGTTTCTAAAAGATCATATGTCACACAACTTGTTGCTGTGGAAGACAAGAAAGATATAGACAAAGCAGCCAGAGCCGAAGATGGTGGCTACCTTAAACCCCATATATTTACCTTGAGAATACCAAAGGTAAAAAAACTATGGACCTCTTACTTCTTCTGTGGAGTTACATACTCTGCGTATATTATTTATCCTAGGTATCTATAAGTTGTTTGCTTTCAGGTTGATGGGGGTTCAAACATATCAATCAAGGTTTGTTGGTCCCAGAAATTATCATATTGTAATGGTCAGTTCTCCTTGAGCGTGCCATTTACTTTCCCCGAGTATGTTACTCCTGCTGGGAAGAAAATCTCGAAGAAAGAAAAGATACAGGTGAATGTGGACTCTGGCACTGGAAGTGAAGTTTTGTGTAAAATGACCAGCCATCCATTGAAGGTACCATGATCGAGTATTGTATGATTTTGTCTCATTTAACAGGAGAAAAGAGTATATGATCCTTTTTACTTTATTTTTTTTTTAATTTTCAGGAAGTGAGACGTCATGTGGGGAAGTTGGCTTTCCTGTATGAGTCAGAAGTTCTCACGTGGTCAAAGGCTGACCTGAATTTCTCATACACAGTAAGTCGCAAGATCCTTCTCCCCTCCTTCATTCTCTTCCTTTAGATTGTACAGAAGAAAGTGTTCAGGCACACTGCAGACTTGTAGTCTTCCTTGTGGAAATTATGTTTCATCGACAAAACTTATTTTTCTGATTTTCTTTCTGTCTTATAGGTCTCCCCAGCTACTATGCTTGGGAGTGTGCTCTTGCAGTCTCCATCTATGCATGATTTTGATCAAAGAGAAATGTTCTGTTTATACCTTCTTCCAGGAAACCAACAGAATAGGAAGGTTAGTCTAGTGCTAATTCACTTCTGGCGCCATTCATTTAATATTGTGCTTCCTGCTATAGTTGCCTCATCCTATTCAGTTTGACAGGTGTTCAGAAAGGATGTAGTATTTGTTATTGACATTAGTGGAAGCGTGAGGGGCAAACTACTCGAGGATGCTAAAAATGCCTTATCGACAGCGCTGCACAAGCTTGACCCCAAGGATTCATTTAGTATCCTAGCTTTTAATAGTGAGGTTTTCCAATACTCCACATCCATGGTGTTAGCTACCAGTGAAGCAATTAAAGGGGCCATTGAATGGATCAACAATAACTTTATTGCTGGCGGTGGTACCGACATCTTGCAGCCTTTGAATAAAGTACTTTCATCTTCCATATTCTGAGACTACAAAGTGAATATCTTTTCATATTGTAAAGTTATGCAGTACGCAATGCCCTGTAAGAAACAAAATATGATGACCTTTCCTGCGGTTGCTATGATATGTAGTGGCCCAATTAAGCTAGATGAGGCTTTTGGCATTTTATCAAAATGAAGGAAAGTGCCACACTGAATTCTAGTGCTGCATCATAATAAATATGAGATAAGCTGCCAACATACAGAGTGCTGCCCTTGGTTTATGAACAACTTTTATTGGAGTGAATTGTGTTCTGCTTTTATTTTGTATTCCTTTTCTCTCTTTTCGATGGGGTGCATGCCGTTTATGTTTTAGAAGACCAAGTACGGTCTGTATTAATCCAGCCATGATTTCATCTCATGAATATGTATTTGTTTTTTCCTTCAACCATTTCATGGAGATAATAGATACTCCCAGAGAGTCATGATTTCATCTCATGAATTTGTATTTTTTTTCTTCAACGATATCTCGGGGAAAATAGATACTCTCAGAGTCCCAACTTTTAGTTTTAAGGTAAAATAATCACATCATGGATGACATGCATGTGTAGTTTTGTCAACGATTGATGTGCTATCTCTTTTTACCATTTATGGTGTGCACTTTATTTGCTATCATCTGAATCAATGAGATTAAATTTGTCTCTTTTATTTTCACATCGTTGCACACCCTTCCCGTGATAAGGGAATGAACGGCAAATGTTTACATCATACCTGATTCTCACAGATAGTACGCTTGGTCCTCCGTGTAATTTGTAATTGCTTACCTATAGATGCTTCTCAGTCTTGCTAATCTCTACTTCTTTCAGGCTCTGGACATCCTATCAGACTGTCAAGGTTCGATTCCTACCATCTTCCTTGTTACAGATGGAACTGTTGAAGATGAGAAACACATTTGTGATGCAATGAAAAGTCGAATAAAGAAAGGAGGATCATTATGTCCACGCATCTTTACTTTTGGTATAGGTAATGGTTCGTTATATTCTCTGTGTCTGGCAGTACAATCTTGTGCACTACTTTCTGGGCAATGACATTCTCAACTCCTGATATGTCACTGAGAATAGTTAAATTTCAGCTTCATTGGTTTTTCTATTGCGAAAAGTTAAGTGTGTTAACCACCGCCCGCAGCGGCTGCGTTGGCTTGCGCTGGCTTGCGCTCTTGTCCCCCCACGAAGGGATCGGAGTTCGAACCCCGGCGTAGTCGTTAGGGATTCTTAAGTGTGGCGCCGTGGTGGTGGGTCCTGCGCTAGCGTCACCCCAGGTTTACCCGTCCGGCTGTCGGCCGGGGGGGGGGGGTTTCCTGGGTTATAAAAAAAAAACAAAAAAAAAAAAAGTTAAGTGTGTTGAATGTGTTTTCAATGGACTTTGATCTGTTGTGGATAATCTATTTTGTGTCTGTCTCTCACTATGGACTTAAATTTCTGTGGTAATTTCAGGTACATTCTGTAATCACCATTTCCTACGGATGCTTGCAATCATTGGCAGAGGACAGTACGATGCTGCGTATGATGTAGGTCAGGCAAATAAAACTATCTGGCTGCTCACGAGCATACTTTAGTTGTTTCAGCAGTGCATTCAAATGATACTTAGTATAGAATTTCTACCTAATGGCTAGTGATGAGGACCATAGAACTGCTGCTTTTTTTTTTTTTGAAAAGTAGGATCATAGATCTAAGAGTAGAAAAGATATTTGCTGATTTAATTGATCTGATGGTTTTCCAAATTATTAATTTGTGCTTCCAGGTTCAGTTGAGCTTCGGATGGAGAGCTTGTTTTCCAGAGTGGCATCAATTGTCCTTGTGGATATAGTAATTGATCCGCTAGATGATCTTGAAGTTGAGGTACATTTGCATGAACATTGATGAATCATTGAATTGCTCAGAAACCTTAGGAACAATGAGCATGCCCTTTACTCTGCTCTCTGCAGATGATACAGTGAGATCTTTTTTTTTCTCAATTCATGGGAAACAGATGTACAATGAGCTGACCACTAAGTTTTGTACATTCTCTCTGTTTTTTTTTTTTTTTTTCGGTTGCATTGAACGTATTTCTAAAATTGATTATTTCATAGCATGACTTTCCTCAATCAACCTGAAAAGTAAAATGAAAACAGGAAATAGGTTTCTGGATAAAAGGGAGTTGTAGTATCTTTGTCCTTTCTCCTTTCTCCTTTCTCCGTTTAATGATGATCGTAGTTGGTCTTTTTCTTTTCTGCGAGAATCATAGATACCTTTGCCTGTTTTAAGACCACATTGCCGAAATAGTGACCTCTTTCCTATTTACTATATGTTTTTGTAGATGTGTCCTTCCCGACTACCAGACTTATCACATGCATCCCCATTGACTGTTTTCGGGAGATATTATGGAAACTTTCCTGACCATCTTCAAGTAAAGGGTATCTCAGCAGATTGGAGCACTCATGTGATAGACTTAAAGATTCGTGAGGCAAAGGACATATTACTTGACAGGGTACGTATCGCACTTCTCTCTCTGTTTCAGTTTTGTAACTTCAGTTAATTCTGTGCCTGGAATATTGTAGGGGCAAATCTGGCTGGATTTTTGTATGTCAATTCAAATCCTTATTGACCCTTTTCTCTGCATCAGGTATTTGCAAAGCAACAGATTGATCATTTCACAGCTCAGGCATGGTTCTCGGAAGACAAACAGCTTGAGGAGAAGGTACGGCTTTATCTCCACCTATTAATCATTTAAGCTACGTGTTGGTTTATAACTGGACTGGAGAATAGTATTTGACTTTAGATTTCCCAGATTTGATGATATTTACCATTTACCCCAGTGAAGAGGAAATTTGCCTTTTCCATTTGGAGCACGGCGATGCCCTCAATGCCTCAGCTTCCACCATTTCTTTCTTCTATTTTTAGTAATTGCTGCTTACTTGTACAGGTTGCAAAACTGAGCATACAGAGTGGTATTGCTTCAGAATTCACTCGTATGATCTTGACAGAGGCTGATGAGGCAACAAAAGCTACGGAACCAGCTGGTTCAGATAAGGTACCCATCTGCCTCTTGTCATTACAAAGCTGTTGCTGTCTTAACTTAATCTCAAGGGAGTTGGACGTTGCTTGGGCTTATTTATGCGGGCTACGATGTGGCTCTTGTACAGCCCTTCAGACTTTCCTGTCTAATTACACAATTTTTTGCATTTATCAGTAAAGTTAATCGTGCTTGTCTTCTGACTGAAGCACATTAAAGCATTTCAGATATGCCTGTGCCTGGGACATTTGGCCACTTTAATGGTAAATATCAAGCAAAAATATCCATACCTAGGAAGGCACAGTTTCCAAAAAGTAACCTGACCAGCCGGTCCTAACGAGAACAAGGCTTAGTTCTAGCCATCTATTCGTTCAACTTTTAGTAATTTAATCTCAGTTGGACCTGTGTTGACCTCAGTTGGGCTGATGACCGGTTCAACTGGGCAACTTAGACCATTTGGATTTGACTGACATGATATTATGGATGTGGAGAGTGTGAGACTTGAACCTTTTAGATGTTGGATATTACTCTTATTTATGGAGTTGATGTCTCTATTATTGTGGTAATCAGTTGCTACAAAAACAAAACCAAGATTTCAAAATATGACACATGGTAAGGAAATCTCATGAGGAAAGAACAAAGTGAATCTCTGGCAATCTATACTTTTCCTGTAGTGATTCCAGCAGCTTCAGGTGCATATAAAAACTTTTTAGTTTTATATATCTCATCCTAATTTACATGGACATTGTCACTATTTTAATCCCATTTTGGTTATAAAAGAAATTGGCTGAAGTCGGCGGTCTTTCATCACTGCTTCTTTTGTTAGTGACTGCATTTAGAATCAATGAAATTAACTATAAGACTGCTGAAAACAGGCACAGAGGAAGATGCCCGACCCCAAAGTCCATAAGCAAATAATGCTAAGAAACCTTTGCATCGGCTTCGGCAACTTGACTGCAACTGTCGAGAACGTCCCTCCGGGAGCCGAACAAGCGAAATTGCCCGAAGCTGCAGAAATCCTAGTGAAGGCAGCGTCAAACTGTTGCGGGACGATGTGCAAACACTGCTGTTGCATGTGCTGCATCCAGTGCTGCTCGCGGCTAAACGACCATTTCGTGGAAGTGACGATTCAGCTATGTACCGCTTTAGCTTGTTTTGGCTGCCTCGAGTGCTGCTCGATATGCTGTTCGGGAAACGATTGATGAAGGAAAATCTCAATACCCCATCTGTACCTCAGAGTGTCGATTGTGAAATGTTATTTGTTTATTTTTAGGTTTACACCTAGTGTATGTACCACATGGAGGATACATTTGGTACCGAGGCTAACAGGTGACACTTTTGACTTATTTTGTGTACCATTTAGCAATGTATAGAGGAAGAGATCTTCTTGTTTGCCCTGCTTTGTTTCTCTTTATGTAATCATCTGTCAAGTGTTATAAGCAAAGGTAGAGATCATTGGGAGAGTTTTGAATCTGCTCAATACTTCTTTTTGCTAGATAATACCCAGTGCATATTTTTTTCAGATAATTTTGTCCCTGATGATACACAGAAATAAATAAATAAATAAATAAAAACATAACAGTTCTATTAAATGGTAACAAGAGATCTGTTTGTAACCCCTTATGCAATCCTAGTCAATTTATTACATTTTTTGAAAAATTACCAGCGGTACAATGATGGATTTCAAAACGACACTGGACATTAGAAAAATTTAGTATACTGAACAGTTTCATTAAATCAATGGTAATATAATCGAAACATACTCTTAGGAGATTTAGATACAGGCTTCATCTAATCAACAAATAATCTTGTTTGTTTATAGATTCCCTTCTATTTTTGTCGTAACGACCCTCGTTTTTCTTTTTTCGGGTCGAACGTAACGACCGTTATTTTTTTTTGGACGGAATCGTAACGACCCTTGTCGGATGATATCTTTTCTGTATCATACCACGTGGTCCATACGGATCTTCGTCGATCGAATTTTTTTCCGTCGCTATTATCCATCAGATTAAAAGTGGTCCTTGCACGCAAAAAAGATCTTCGCTTTACATAGGGCCGTCTTGTCGCGGACCGGACCTATTGTTCCGGGATCTCTGTCAGTCGGTCAGTCACTATCCAGACGTCATCGGTAATGAACTGAACCTCACGTCACGTCATGTCCCGCCTTAACTTTCATGCGATTACGAACCATCTCAATACGATCCCACTTTTTCTCCTTTTATATTACCACACGTCTCGTTATTATAGCTGTGGAATCCCGGTACCAAATGTTCCCACCCTATGACTCGATGGCTAGTGGCGCCAATTTTTAAAAAATCAGGGATGAGTACTACCTTCAAACAAACCAATATGGGAGATAATACTTTCGTAATAACAATATTATCAAAGGTACCAACGATGGAGAAGGGCTTGAGACAAGTAGAATTAAACTAAATTATAATAATGCCAAATAATTATAATAATAATAACAATAATAAAGTAGAATGCTCTAACCAAAGCCTGACTTAGCTAAGACTTGGAATTGGGGAAAAGTATACGTCGATCTCTTCTTCTTTTTCCTTTGTTAATTAGTTCCTTTTTCATTTTTCCATTTCAAGAGGAACATGGGAGGTTTTCCACTTTGGGGAAGGTCGCGTGGAGGGTTCACATTTTTCGGTGCAGACAATACCTTGACAATCGAAGGCAGACGCATGTGGTTCTGTCCTGCAACTAGGACAAAAACAAAAGAATTTTTCATTGGAGGGTTCGTCAGTTGTACGCGTTCCTTTTGTCTGGTGTTATATGTTGATAAATGACTTGGAATTTTCCTCGTATTGGAGTGTGCTCTTTGCTTTTCTTGAGTGGGGGAGACCCTCTTCCCCTTTGCACTCCATCCCACTCGCATCTCTCAATGAAATCCAGCTCGAGAATTTCCAGGAATAATAGTGAAAATTCTGTCCATCGAAATGCGTGAAGTAGAGTCTCTTCTATTTTTTTTTTTTTTTTTTTTTTTTTTTTTTCCTTTTTGGCATAGTTTCCCAACAACCCTTTGAGGTTATTGACAAGAATGCTGGAAATTTTTTATGATGAGAAGCACACTTTTACAACTCAAGTTGCTGTCGTATTTTTGACGTTTCATGGTTTTCGCGGCTTCTCGTTGTCAACATGGGTAGGCCATGTGATTTTAGTTTTAGCTACTGATACTGCACGCGTGATATCTAAATTTGAGACCGGTCATTCTTATTGATTGTAAATCTTTTTTTATCTGATTTCAAGTTGAATTTTTAGTTATAAATTTAGGGTAACATTATTGTGGTTTGCATCAATTTTAGTTTCTGTTACAATGACAATCTTTCTTTCGATTTTTTTTTTTGGTTTTGGTAAAGTTTTGTGAAGTGTTAGTCCTCAACATTGCATCTATTTAGAGATGCTTTTCTATTTGATATTTTAGATTTTTAAAATCCGGCAGCTCAAACCTTTGGAGCTATACATACCCACCGGTGGGTGGCTGCGTCGGTTTGACTCCTCTTCCTCATCGCAGAGGTGAGGGGTTCAAATCTCCGGTCGCTAGCGCCTTAAGTGGGGGGGCCCTGGTGGTGGTGTCCTGGGCTAGCTCCCCCCGAGGTATAGTCGCTGTTGGTTCTATCCGGCTGTCGGCCGGTGGGGCCGTACGGGTGGATCCTCGGTCATCAAAAAAAAAAAAAACCTTTAGAGCTATACAGATTTTGATATTTAAAATTTACTTATCATTTTTCTCTCCTTCATTTCCTTTTTCGATTTTTAGAATGAAAGTAAACAGTGGAAAAGAGTACTTTTTGAAGTGATGCTCTAGTGCTGCAATTATGGGATATTTACCGGTCACCTTGAAAATACTAAAACATCCATTTGAAATTGTAATTGTCGAGCAACAATTGTATGAAGCACCCACCTGGACACCATTTTGAGATTGTGCTTCATATAGTTGTAGGTGTATTATTGTTGTAACGCGTTCACACTTATTTAATAATCACGGAGAATCTGCGTCATCCTAACTCGCGTAAATTGTGGGAGATAAACGTCACGGGGCGACAGGGGGGCCCCACCCCTCATCGGGTGAGTCCAGAATGTTGCAAGGATTCGAATTCGGCACTTTTGCAAGTGGGATTAAAGCATCACCGCAAATTGCAGGACACACCCCATCGTAATACTAACTCGTACATTTGATAGCACATCTTTTTGCATCAGTGAAGTGAAGTGAAGTGAAGTAAATTCCTAAAAGCTGTCAAAAGGCAGTTTAGTTATGATGTGATTATCGAGCACATTGCAACAACCGTAGCGTCGTATTCAAGCTCTATAGCTAATACGGGGCAATCGTAAACACCTTTCTGTATCTATCTTCCAACTCTATACTCTATACATGCATCATACCCTTCTCTACCATCGTAGCTAGCCCTAGTCTCTTGACATATTCACCTGGCCAAACAAAGGAGATCCTCCCTCAACTCAATAGTCAAACTACTCATTTTCAAAACAGGATCCAACGCAAACCGATCTCAGACTATTGTTATTCATGGAAGGGATATCGAGTCCCCTTGCAGTATTTATGGAAACCATGGATGCGCATCTTCCAGAAATAGCTATTGCAAAAACGAAAATAGACTATAGGTTACTATTTCTTACTAGGTAGGAAACCCTAGATCCTTGAGCCGTGCTTTGCTCAAGAAATCTTGGACCACCCTTGAGTTAATATGCACCAAACAATAGAGAAAGAAATTCGACTTTGGACCACCACTTTTACTGCATAGTCCTTAGTGCAGTACCCACAGCTTTGGCAGGACCGAAACAACATCGGACCAGTCCTAGGTGCACCTTGAAGTTCATGAAATAATCTGGCAACGTAAACCTTCTGTGCCTAACTGAACCTAAAGGTATACTTTCAAGAGATTTCTCATGCTTGCTATGTGATTGGAAGCTCATTTCCCAATTTTTAAGGCACTGTAGTGAGGACTTGTTCAGTTACTTTAAACTTCGAAATCCTGACTAACAATACGGATTCATTTCCAAAAGGGGAGATATCTCTCCCTAACCGGGCCTTTGTCGAGCAATTCATTTACATCTCGAGTCCCTCGTCGAATGCGAAAGAGCTAGAAATAGAGATTATGAAGTGATGCGTGCACCCAGAAAAGGTTCATCGCTCGGAATCATTCTTCTAAGAGCTCAACTTATGAATAATCTTGACGTTTGTGGTGTGAAAGTCGCGGGGCATCTACGGTGTTTTGCACACACCAAGTTGTTACTCAATCACCCATATCACACGTGTGAGTCACAATGTCTTTGCTCTAAGGACGACACCGTTGACATAGTTGGTTCGCGAAAATATAAAATCTCATGGAAAGGAGGAGAAGGTAATGATGTGATTACACAAATGCAACACAACTTTATATGAAACGCTCCTACCAAGGATTAGGCTTGCGTGAACGAGGAAATGAAATAATCTCGCCTTCTTTCACTTTAGTCCCAAAGACAAATTACATTACGAGAATTAGGAAGATAATTTTAGTTTATTATAGTAATGCTAGATATATTAAATATGGTCTATGTTAGTACATTAGGTGATGTCATATACTGTAAATTCAAACACTAGACTATTAATACATCATTTAGTGTGTTAATTTAGTAAATCAATTTCATTTTTTCTCTTTTAATCAGTTTCATTTTTCTAATGTCATTATTATTACCACGGGTTTTTTCTTCTTCTTTTTTTTTTTTGCTGCAAGCAGTTAAAGCTATTTTAGTCCAATCGAACAGAGGAAATAAGCTGGCGCACAAAAAAAAAGGTGAATTTAGAGAATATTATAACATCTAGATCAATGGAAAAATTAAATATCCGACCGAGCATTTTGAGACACGTGTTGGTCGGACAACATTCGATTAGCCATTACGAAAGCTCTGTCTGTTGACACCTGTCCTAACCCACAAAAACCCTAATTCTCTTTTTTTCTTATTTTCTTTTCTCAAGCTTATTATTTATTTATTATTTATTCATTTTCAAATTTTCGATTTTGGTGGATGCTTATAATGTTTTTTTTTTTTTATGGGGCATGGGTGGACCGCACTCGTGCATGGGCATGGAGCGTAGGTGAACGGACAGCTTCACGTGCCATGGTGGCGTCCCACGAAGAAAGAGAGAAGCATGCCATCTCTTTGATTGGATGGAAGATATATGAGATAATTTAAATTAGTTTGTGAATTAGGCAGAGGGTGATAATCATCACATGTCCATAATTATCCTCTCTTTTTTTTTAATTGAGAAAATTTTATGCTTGGTATTATTTAAAGGGATTATGCACGAAAAGAATAAACGACAATAATATTATAGATCAACGATCGAGATGCATTTGTCGATAAAGTAGGCATAACCCATTTAGGAAGTAATTAAATTTGAGCGTATTTTTATATCTTGAACCGGGAGGATCCTACTAACTGATATGATTAGACCCTAAATGATATACATGACAATTAGATTGAATTAAGCATAACGGAACTAAAATTACAATTTACTCGATGAGTTTTTAGATATATATTGTAGTTGATTAATGTTCGGGTTTTATTTGGGGAGATTAGACCAAGTTTACTCTTCAATCCCCGAATCAAAGACAATGTATCTGAAGTTTCGTCTTACCTTAGCGATAAACCTTAAGTAGATCATGAACGAATCACATATATTATGGTCCTAACATGTGTTTGCTTCGTGCATCAAGAAAAGAATTACGTAGTGTACATCTCGTTGACCATAGTCTTAAGTGTGGACTCCTAGAGATTCTCAAGTATCTGGGAAGATCTCTCGACAAATTTAGGACAATATATCACATTGATCCAGGTAGTCCCTAAGAGATCCAATGACAATCTGACGGAACCAGTGAATATCATCCCAAAACCAGGGGATTTGCAAGAATAATTAATACTTGCTCGTGTTTCCAAGGCATTTGCACCTTACCACTAAGCTATGAATTAACAGATCAGGAATTCGCCAAGATCTTGCGAGTAAATTTGAACACTATCGTCGCGCATCTCATTGTATCTGTATTTTGTCTGGCCATCGAATCAATAGAAAGGAAAAAGCCCCGTTGGGTGTGTTGGGTCCGCGCGCATAACCCGATGGGCGAATCTTTCTCGATCGTTTTGATAACCGTATTCGAATACGCGGGAACTTGTCCAAGTGATCTCGACCTTAATGATCCTCTCGAGAGTTTCCATTTCAAACGCGACTATTGCTCTCTTAATAGTAAGAATTGTTGAGACTTATAGCTACATGGATTGTCTTCGGCGGATGCCGATCACTCGTCGAGAAATTAGACTCGCACAAGAAGATATTGAGTTTTTATATGCATTACATTGTAGTTACTCGGGTATATATATCATGTCATTCGTTTGCCGAATCCTGGGGAAAAAAAAACAAAGACCTGCAAACTTTCAATTTTCAAACGACCCAGAAAGAACTCACAAAATTTTATTCAAAGGGTAAAAATATCCGGGGTCCAATTTTTCGTCCATGCAAGCTGGTGTGGCATGTGACGTGGCTAAAGGCGCTGACGTGTACCAAAGGCACGTCGTTGAGAGCAAAAAACGACGTGGACAAATTAAACTAGGCCACATTGATTCTTCAAAGCGTCGTCCTTTCTGAATCCTCTTAATTGCGACTGATTTGTTTCACGCTTTTGGAGAAAAGAGAGAGAGAGAGGGTTGTAACCCTTCACGATTTGGACTCATCTACTTCGTATTTCAATCTATGGTTGTTTTTCATGCATCATATGGTGGAGTTCGATTCAAGCAATTCACGGCGGGTATGTTTTTCAATTGGTCGTGGTTTATGAAAGGATTGATAGCTAGGGTTGAGGATTTGCCTTTCTCATATCAACGATTGTGGCTTATAATTAGAAGAGCTACCTTAAAAGAGGAACTCTTATAATGAGGTGAAACGGGACGGTAGACGATGGACAGCTAAAGAGTAGGAATTTAGTTGCAATGTAAGACAATCGAAAATTTATTATTGTATACGTTACATGAGATTGGTGCAGTGCAATCAATTAAGATAGAGCTGCCCGTTGGTTTTTTACCAGGAAAATTGTCCAAAAAATCATAAACATATTGTACGGCGACTAATTCAGTCTTAAACATTTACATTGTGCCAATTTAGTCATAAACATATTGTACAGAGACCAAATCAGTCTTAAACTTTCAATTGTGCCAATTTAATTCTAAACATTTTGACCATTTGCCAATTTAATCCCAAAACTTTTGACGATTTGCCAATTTAATCCTTTCAGTCAATTTTGGCTGGAAATTGTAAAATTGTCCACGTTAGTGCCGGCCATGCCACGTAGGTCAACCAGCATTGATTAAACCATCAAGTCAGCGATTTCTGGCCAAAATTGACTGGAAAAATTTAATTTGCACAATTGAAAAGTTTAGGATGGAATTGGTAGATTTATGACTTTTTGAATAATTTTCCCAGTTTTTACCTATGTTATATGATGGTTTTCCGGATATTATTTAGCTAAAATGGAAATAGGAAAGAATCCATAAATTGTTAGAGATGTTCCATAAAATTCAAGAGATTGGGTATCAAAATCTGTGAAGATTTTCAGAATAATATCCTATCCATTCCGAAATTGCTCATCTCAATACATCATGACATAGCCGTTTACGATATGTTTATTGTCGAGTCTATGATTGTTAGTTTTGTCTCAAGTTTGAGCCCGTATAATTAAATTGGCACAAATTTCAACTGTGAGAAGCCCAATTACGTTGAACTTAAAAAAAGATTATGGACTCTTGTAGATATCACAACCGACCTTGAATCATGAGCACACCGTTATATATATAATCATGTAGAGTTAAAGAATGGCTTGAAGATCATTCTTGGTGACAGGGTGTGGTCATCAATGTTTGACTTGTTAGCTTCAGTTAACCACGTAAGTCTTTGGTATTCTTATCATTTCTCGTTAATTTTTTTGGTAATTTCTTCTTCTCGCATTAAGTTTACATTTTAAGATCCATTAACTTCCACTTTATTTTACAACAATCACCACACTCTTCTGCTGTCAAATTAACATTTTTATAGTTTTAGCAATTGTGCCTTTGTAGTTCGACCCTAGACAAGATCAACCGGTTTGAATATATTTGATTTTAGGGCACTTGTGGTAGACACAAAGTGTGGTGCAATATATGAACTTCATTAATACAAGGAATGATATCAAGACTAAATAAATCAATAAATATACATCTAGAGAGAGAGAGAAGGGTGGGTGGGGGTGGGTGGGGGGAGTGGGGGTGTTGGAAAGCCTGTGTTTGGGAACTTGTTCCACTAGCAGCTATACCAGCTAGGCTTTGGAACTTCTCAAATCTTGCCTCTATTTAAGCTTAGAATTCTCAGCTTCCACTGCCTCATAAGATCTGTTCATCTTTTCTCTCTCTCTCCCTCTCTCTCTCTCTCTCTCTCTGCTATTGCTAGGCCAAATGAAGGTAATAATCGATAAACTTTTTGTTAAATTTTCTTGATTCTTGGTTTCATCTTTGTAATGTGATAGCAAGATTTGAGAAGGGTGCGTTTCGACTAAGGAGGATGTGTATATCTCTCGGTGTGATGTGATTTGCAGTTGTTCATTTGGGTGCAAAGAAAGCTCAGTGGGGGCAAAAAACCAGCGTCCAATGCCGTCTCACCCGACTGTTAAGTACCTCATTGCTTTTCCAATGAGTAATTAGCAATTTCGCACCTTATTCTTTTATATCTTTACCTAGTGCTAATCCAACTTCAAATATGAGTGCATCTCTACGTACTCTTTATTGGGAGCAGGACTACTTATCTACTTTGCATATGGCTATATGTACTTTACGTATGTGAAAAACATGCTAGTAACAAGATACGTGAACTTTAGACAAGATCTTATTCTAAGAAAATCTATATGAACGTCTAGATCTTCATTCCCCGCGAGAACCTTGCAAAGAGGAATTTAGCGACTGGCCAAACGGATTGCTCACGATCGGGACGTTCGGAAACAGCGATCTGAACAAAGATCAAGCGAGCCAAAATCAACAAGATCGCACTCCATCTTCATCCCAAGACCAATCACCACAAGACCTCACCATTGAAGAAGTGTGGAAACTTCAGCAAGAATTGAATTCATTCTTGAACGTGCAACCCCAACAGCGCAATCCCTCGTCCGAAGCAACAGGCAATAGCAGTAGCTCCGGCCTGCACCGATACGCCAGTAGCCCTTTGAGCTCGGAGATCATCACCGCCGTAAGAGAAATCGCCGAGCTAATTACTCATGAGCCAAACACAAGAGACGACAATTTCCAGGAGACAAACGGGGCGGTTGTTTCTCGCAGGTCAGGGAAAGAGAGTGTGGTTTTGGATGGCGCTAAGAGGCATGGGATTGGAAAGAGGTCATTGTCTTTGCTTATGAAGAAGGTGTTTGCTTGCAAAAGCGGGTTTGACTATGAGCTCTCGCCGGTTCGCAGCTTAAAAGACCCTCTCCCCGAGACTAGAACGGAGAAGGTACGTACGTTGAGCTTCTAATCTCCCACATACTTACGGTCACGCTTATAATGCGATGACATGCTGGCGTGAGATCAAGAGCCATTGTATCGCATTGTGAGAATCTGAGTCATGTGCATATATTAGTTATAGTGTTTCTTGTAGCTTTTGAAGTGATGCGGTCAATTATAACTTCCATTTGAATGTTAATGTTCAGATTTTGAAGGCAATACTTCACAAGAAAATATACCCCAGAAGCTCAAGCCAAGCATTATCTGCAAAGAGATGTTTGGAACCAAGGCCAATGCCCAAATCATCACCTGATCAAGAACAAGTTGACGAGGAGATGGCGAAAAGTAAATGGGACAGAACCGATTCCGAATGTAAGTTCCCGTGCAATGTCTACATTTTCATACAGTAAAATTTGTGATTGTAGATGTACAAAATAAGTACGAGGAGACGGCAATTCATTTCATTAACCTGTATCATCGTGCAGATATTGTTCTGGAGATATAACAACCGGAAATTTGGCAGGCACGATATCAATACAGTTCAAGGTGAGAAATGTGTATCTTTCAACGTGGGAGAGAAAAACAATCACGGGTTGTTATTTTAAGATAATAAGCATTAACATAAATTTAAGTTTTGCACGCCTAGAAATGGATTATTAGCACCTCACAGGAAAAACTTTATTTTCTCGTCAGTGCTCGTTATACATAATCCTAGCAAAAATTTCCCGGTTGGGAATTCCACTATAAATATATAGTGTAGAAATCATCACTGTAAATTTATGAATTCGTTTCACTCTGGTAGCGTTTGCTGATGCCTGAGGTACTGTGATTCACAGGGTTAAATTTTCTTACTTGTGCTTGTGGTAGTGAGGAGCAAGATGCCACTTCCTTCGGAGACTACAGAGAATAATGCCATGAAAGTTAAGGAAAGATGTGAAGATTTAGGCCATATCACAGGAATTCAAGAACTGTGCATGAATGTGAATGGCAGGATCAAACATTGGATCACTCCCTCATTCAAACGACATCATCACCATCACACAGTCTTGCCAAGTTTGAACTGCACATGGATTTCTTGAAGGAAGAAACCGACGAATTACAATAATCAAAGGTGGAGAAAAGAGCGAGTTAATGCCCTAATAGCATTCCTTAAAATCTTTTGTCACCGTCATAAACAGCCACAATAGTGAATTTCCAGCAGATTCAGCTGATTTTTGAACTAAAGCAGCAAAGTCTTCATGCTAAAACATGTGCTTCCTTTGCAACACAAGCATACATAAAGCAATATAAAAAAAATTTAAAGGGAAAAAGAGGATATGGTTGTCGTTATATCCAGAGTCAACCCAATTACAGAATCTGAAAATTTATGCAAGTCAATATTGGCCTGTGATGTGCTTTGGGAAGCATAATATGGATGGAATTTTCATGAGTTGATCTGTCTATGCTCATATCCTAGTCCTTTTTGTAAGCATGTTGAAGACCAAATCAGTCTAAATAAAACAAGACCTAAAACATAAATTTCTGCCTCTGTATATTCACAGGTGTCGAGAAGGCAGAAACATGAATTTATAGCATGAAAACTTCTCAGAACTTTGATTACATAACGTCAGTTCACTATATATGCTAGCCGAAGAGTTGATTAACCTTCCTAACACAAAGCTCACAGCCAATGCTGCACCTTTCATGATGCACTCTCACTAGGCAATAACAAGCAATGATGTTCCCACCTTACAGCTTTTCAAGTGCTAGATGCTGGAGCAGTCAACCGTTAGTCGGGCAAAGTGAGTAAGGAGATGAGAGGCTCGAGGTGTGGGAATTGCGAAACGAACTCGGCCCGTTTTGCCACCTCAGAATCCTCAAACTGAAAGGCAGGGGCACAAGTAACCCCCAGAAGAGAGTGGTGGTTCTCCGCGTCCCTTGGTTCGGCTTTGTGAACTTTCACAGCCCCATCTGTGGAAATGGTATAGTCATTTGTTGGAAATGAACAAAACCAAACATATGGAGGCACTGTGTACTGAGGTTGCTGGTCTTCCACCAGTAGATCAGATCCAACGTGGGTTAGCTTGAAATTTCCATCTTCGTATAGCTCGAATACCTGTAAAAACAGGGGAAGGAAAAAGGATGTCCTTCAAGAAAAGGATGAGCTAAAACGCCTCCAATAGTATGACCATCTTATTGGCCTGAGCACCGTCACCAGGACAGTACAATCCACACAAGCATAAGTACTACTTTGCCTCGTAAAGCATCATGGAAGCTCTGTGTGTGTGTGTATCTGAAAGTGTTCTCTGAGCAACAACAGAGACTTAGCACATGAATGAGGTATCATCCCTGCTATTCTCAAGAAGTGTGATACCAGTTATACTTAAAAAAGAACAAAAAAAAAGAAACCATGTGACGAACTTTAATTGGATATCTAACAAGTGGGCAACATTCAACCACCCAACAAAAGTAAGCTAAATCACCTTGGAAACCAGTTGTGTTTCATGTATTACTTTACTGAAATAGGTCTCATTTCATCATCCTTCGAAGAAAATGTAAAGCATCAACAAGTACAGCCCTCAGACCTTTTTTTGATATTTTGGAATTCAAACATGCTCATCCTTCGAAGAAAATGTAAACATCTTACCTTACCCAAAAAAAAAAAAAAACATGCTCATTATTATTTCACATCTCCAATATAAGTCTCCAATCCTACCACACACCTGCTCCAGATAAATACTGGAAGAAACTTCTGACAACTACTGAGCAGTTAATTAGGCGCCAAATCGAATTTACCATAGACTAAGCTTCTGCAAGAAATTTTAAACTCTAAGCACTAAGTAATTCTCAGTACCACTTGTGGGTGAGACTTGGTTGGACACAGCTCCACATGAACCGAGTCCAGCTGAGCCGTTGATCAATGGGCCTCATGTGTGGGCCACATGATTAACGGATGAGGTTACATATGGTCCTTGGAACATGGTCTACGCGAGTTTCTCCCTAAACTCCGGCAAAAGAATGCTCAAAGAGTCCACACATGTCTAACAATGAAGTTGTAAAATGAAAGGTTTATGTTTTATATCCATCTACAATTTAAGTGATAGGAAGATTGTAATTTCGTTGAACATAAACTGCACATGGATCCTACCGTCAGAGGCTCTCCAAGGTAGAAGTGAAAGGTTTCTGCACATGGTATCCGATGGAGGAGCGTCACACTCCCCGAAGGCAGCAAGAAGTAAATGGATGTGCTCACAGGACGATCGACTTTGTCTGCAGGAATTCATGAGTCACACATATAAAGATTGATCTGGATACATGGACAAACAACATATAACAGTAGATCGAACATTCACTTATCAGTCACTTATCCAATGACAATCTAAACAGACTCAGATGGTTTAAAGTTACAGATGCTCAGTTATTTTTCTTCTCAGCATACGTTTCTTTTCATTATCATTTATCTGAGGAAAGGGTAGGAGGAGCAACCCACATTTAGCAATCTTTTCACATTTCCGGGCCAATAGGAGCCCCCCAAATGGCGGGAAAGCAATGCCAATGGTTAGCCCGTTCCTAACGACTCTGCCATAGGTACTGCAGGAGCAACCTCGATGGAATTGAGCCTTATTCAGAAAGACCCATCATGTACAAGTTGAAGGCTAACCAGTGTCTGCAAAAGCAGATATAAAAATCTAACTCACAATTTAAGAACGCCGAGAAAGCACTTCAAAATTTCATTAGCACACCCATATCATAATAATAACTAACTCTGTAACCCCTTAGATGGACAATTACATTCCTGAACTTCGTTTGTGTTTTTTATTTCCTCTGAAGTATAGAAGTTTATGCTTTCTTCCCTCCTATATGGAGGGTCCTGACTCAGCCAAATTATAAACTTCAGCATCTAAATCTAATCTCTAAGCAGCCAAAAGCAGCCTCTCTTGTGATGAACCCCGTGAACGGATTGCGAGATAACAACGTTAAAGATTTTCCAAGAAAAACGAAACCCAAAACTTCGGGTCAACAGTAGCAGAAAATGGTAAAAAAATAACGCGGTCCGAGCAGAGTCGAAGAGTCGCCAAATCCATCACTGGAAACAGAAAAATTCAAGCCCAAAAGAGTCTCCATACCCCCACAAAACCGCAGTAACATGCCACTGAGACTCGAACAATTATAGAAGAAAAGTTAAGGTTTCAAGAAGTTTACATCGAGAGGGAAGGCGGGGTTTCGAGAGGACGATGGAGGAGTCTCTCAAGGTCTGCAAATAGTACCCGCCATCTGGGTGGCCTTGAAGACTCAATCTTGAAATGATCTGAGAGCAAGTCGGGGACCCCATCCCCGTATAACAACAGAAAGAATCAAGAATCTTATGAGTTGAAGGCTTTTCGGTTCTGCCTCGCCAATGGAAAAGAACTAGACTCGCTAAGGTCAGAGATGTAGAACGAACGTGATGGAGAGCGAGGAGGGAAAAAAAATCCACACCTACCGTCTACCGATAATACCCGGCCAAGGCAGGTGAAGCTTAAACTTTCCATCGGCCGCCCCGCCTGTGAAGGTATATACATCTGACTGACTGACTGACAAGACTCCATTTTTTATTTTTATGTACCGTGATCCGCACGCCTTGCTTTCTAACTGAAGAGAGAGCTTCTCTTCCCTATCTGGGGAATATCCCGAGTTTAACGTTTCAGAATTCAAATTAAACTTTTTAAGATCATGCTCAGATTTAATTTGCACAAACTCATTATAATTGATCAAACAAAATTTACATTAATCTAATTACTTTTAATATTTCTTCATATATTTTGTAAGGTTACTCCTGTCATTTTTTACTTTGATAATAAGAGGAATGACGAAAGAGCGCAAAGTTATATTATCGAGTTATGAGAAATATCTACTTATACGTATAAAGCAATGTTAATAGGAGAGGGTAACTAAGGTTCATAAGACATGCAAAACTTTAATCTCTCTCTAAATTTAATCTCGCTTGAGAAAAACAAAATTGAACTTTATTGGCAGATGGAAAAGATATTCATTATCCTCCATTGAAAATTAACATCGTCTTCCTCGATGAACATGAAATAATGAACTGTGAACTCCTAGTCCATAAATGTCGAATATAATCGAGTCGTAACATTGTCAATTGTTGCTACCTAAGTATGCATTTATATTTGAAAATTACAGTATAAATCCTTTTCTTTCTTTTTCTTCAATTGGTGCAATCTTCTCTTAAACTTTTAATAAAAAATAAGCCTGTCGTGGTTGTTGCTGGGGGCAATTTTCACTATTCAATATCATATTTTAAGATTTGACACTGAAAATCTATCCATCGTTTGTATTCCACGGAACTTTTTCTGAGGAACGCATGCGTAAAGATACTTTCGGATGGTTGTTTTGCTAGCACTTCGATTGAGTAATTGCCGAACCTTAGAACTCAAACAATTAAAACACGAGACTTTCTTAATCGAAGCAAGAAGCAATCTAGAACGCTTTCAGACCTTTCACATAAGAGTTTCCTAACAACACCTATCAATAAAACCGTCTCCTGCAAATACTGTCCATTTTTTATCAACTCCATCGCGTTGTGTGTAATAACACTTCCACATCTGGATGATAATGAAAGTTGAGCAGGATAAAAGAGCTTCTTCGACATCGTGCAGAAGCCACTAGTACTATTAGGGTAAAAACAGTTCACTATACATGCTAGCTGAAGAGTCGATCAACCTCCCCTAAAATCAAAGCTCACAGTCAATGCTGCACCTTTCATGATGCACTTTCATAAGGCAATAACAAGCAATGGCTTACCCACCTTACAGTTTTTCAAGTGCTAGATGCACTATGGAGCAGTCAAACGTTTAGTCGGGCAAGGTGAGTAAGGAGATGAGAGGCTCGAGGTGTGGGAATCGCGAAATGAATTCAGCCCGTTTTGCCACCTCGGCATCCTCGATCTGAAAGCCAGGGGCGCAGGTAGCCCCCAGAAGAGAGTAGTGGTTCTCTGTGTCCCTTGGTTCGGCTCTGTGAACTTTCATGGCCCCATCTGTGGAAATGGCGTAGTCATTTGTTGGAAATAAAGAAAACCAAACGTTTGGAGGCACTGTGTACTGCGGCTGCTGGTCTCCCCCCTGCAGATCAGATCCAACGCAGGTAAGCTTGAAATTTCCATCTTCGTACAGCTCAAATACCTGCAAAAACAGGGGAAGGAAAGAGGTATGTCCTTCAAGAAAAGAATGAGCTAAAACGCCTCCAATAGCATGACCATCCTATTAGCCCGAGTATCATCATCAGGACAACACGATCTACACAAGCAAAAGTACTGCTTTGCCACAACAACAGAGACTTAATTCATGAATCTGGTGTCATCCCTGCTATTCTCAAGCAGAGTAATGCAAGTGATACTTAAAAAGAACAAAAAAGGAAACCATGCAACAAAACTTTACTTCAAGCGCCCAACAAGGGTAAGCTAAATCACTTTTGAAACCCGTTGTATTTCATGTATTATTCTACTGAAATTAGGTCTCATTTCATCATCCTTGGAAGAAAATGTAAAGCGTCAACAAATACAGCCCTCGTAAAGTGCAAAAGAAGATATGCGACCTTTCTTGGATATTTTGGAATTCAAACATGCTCATTGTTATTTCACATCTCCAATATAAGTCTCCCATCCTACCGCACACTTGCTCCTGAAAAATACCAGAAGAAACTTCTGACAACTACCGAGGAGCTAATTAGGCGCCACATTGAATTTACCACAGATTAAGCTTCTACTAGAAATTGTAAACTCTACAAGCACAAAGTAATTCTCTGTAACACTCACAGGCGAGACTTGGTTGGACACAGTATTAACGGATGAGATTACACATGGTCCATGGAACATGGTCTAGGCAAGTTTCTCCCTAAACTCAGGCAACACAGTGCCCAAAGAGCCCACACATGTCTAAAAATGGAGTTGTAAAATGAAACGTTTATTTTATCCATCTACAATCTAAGCGATGGGAAGATTGTAATTTCGTTGAACGTAACCAGTGGAAGGATCCTACCGTCAGAGGCTCTCCGAGGTAAAAGTGTAAGGTTTCTGCACATGGTAGCCGATGGAGGTGCGTCACACTCCCTGAAGGCAGCAAGGAGTAAACAGATGTGCTCACAGGACGATCAACTTTGTCTGCAGGTATTCACGAGTCACTCAAATAAAAGATTGATCTGGATACATGCACAAACAACATATAACAAGTGATTGAAAATTCACTTATCAATAATTAATTCGATGACAATCTAAGCAGACTCAGATGACATAGAGTTACAGATGCTGAGTTATTTTGCTTCCCAGCATAAATCTCTTTTCATTATTTTCTATCTGAGAAAAGGGTAGGAGGAGCAACCCACATTGGGTGATCTTTCCACAATTCCGGGCCGGTAGGAGCCCCCAAATGGTGGGAAAGCAATGCCAATGGTTGGGCCTTTTCCTCACGACTCTGCCATCGGCATTGCAGGAGCAACGTCAATGGAATTGAGCCTTAGCCCTTCAGAAAGATCCATCATGTAGAAGTTGAAGGCTAACTAGTGCTTGCGGAAGCAGATATAAAATCTAACTCACAATTTGAGAATGCCAAGAAAGCACTTCAACATTTCATTAGCACACCTATATCTTAATAATAACTAACTCTGAAACCTTATAGATGGAGTAGTCCAGTTACATAACGCAAATGCACAATTACATTCATGAACTTTCTTTGTTTCTTTGATTTCCTCTGAACTATATAAGTTTATGCTTTCTTCCCTACTAAACTTCAGCATCTAAATCTAATCTCCAAGCAGCCTCTCTTGTGATGAACCCCATGAACGGATTGCGGGATAATAACATTAAAGATTTCCAAAAAAAAAAAAAACGAAACCCAAAACATCGAATCAACAGCAGCAGAAAATGGCCTAGAAATAACGCAGTCCGAGTAGAGTCAAAGAGGGTCGCCATCTCCATGGCTGGAAACAGAAAAATTCAAGCACAAAAGAGTCGCCATTCCCCACAAAACCGCAGTAAAAATGCCACTGAAACTTGAACAATTGGAGAGAAATAAGGGGGAGAAAAAGGAGAAGAAGAGTTAAGGTTTCAAGAAGTTTACATCGAGAGGGAAGGAGAGATTTCGAGAGGACGATGGAGGAGTCTCTCAAGGTCTGCGCATAGTAGCCGCCATCTGGGTTGCCTTGAAGATTCAATCTTGAAATGATCTGAGAGCAAGTCGGAGACCCCATCCCCGTATAACAACAGAAAGAAAGAACTTATGGGTTGAGGTTCTTCTCATCCTCTCTTTATAGTTTTATTGGATGATTATTTAAAGTAATAAAATTAATATAATATTAAATATAATCAATTAGTGATATGCACGATCAAAGAAAATAAATTTAGAATTCTAATATCGCTAACGCTCGCCATGTGTAACGAATGTCATGGAAAGAGGGAAAAAACTCGTGAGACATCTACTGAGCGAGCACAGTGCGTGCACTTGTAATTTGCGTGAGCTTATTGTAGTTGAATTTTACGCTAATCTAATTACTTTTTCTAATTCTTTCTTTATCTATTATGTAACCGGTCCACTTTTATTATTCGAAATATAAAAAAAAATCAGGTTGCTAAAGAAAAAAAAAACTCCAGCTTCGCTTAATCTTGAATTTTCTAAAGAGGGTACGTGCATTTGATCTTTTCTAATGTTACCTTTGTCATTTTTAACTTTGATAATCAGAGGAATGACGAAAGAGAGTAAAGTTGACTATTGAATTATGTAAAATGTATTGGAGAGGCTAATAGAGGTTAAGACATGCAAAAAATATGATCTCTCTAAATTTAATTATGCTTGAGAAAAACAAAATTGAACTTTACTGTTTGAGGAGAATTTTTTCTATCACGAAATATGAAAATCAAGGACTTCATATCATCCTCTTCTTTTTATTTTGGATGATTGAAATGATATTTACTATCCTACATTGAAAATTGACATCATCTTCCTTAATGAACATCAAAAATTAATTAGAGCTCCTTGTCAATTGGTGTTACCGAAGTATAAGTATTCATTTAAAATTTACTATATATATATATATATATTCCCTTTTTTTCCAATTGGTGCAATCTTGTCTTGAACTTTTATTTAAAATAAGTTTACCTGATTGTTGTTATGTGGGAAATTTACGCGCGTTGATATCATATTTTAAGATTGAGTGATTGCCAAACCTTAGAATACAAAATTCAACATCGTGCAGAAGCAACAACTACACGATAGTTTCTTTGAGTTATATTTTCTATAAGGCAAAAGGCACTACCAACAAGCTCCTGCACTTTGGTTTTAACCCAAAAGATAGAATAGTTAAACTTGTAGGAATCGGGGGTGACAATGTATATCAAAAGGCATTGTTCTGTCTCCTCTTACCAATGAATCTAAATCATTGCCCACAAGTGCCCTTATTTATGCATCAATGTCCAACAAGGCTGTAATTTCCCCTACTCGACGAAACAAGAAAGCTGTCATTGCGACTATTAGCAAAGAGAAGGAAAAGGGTGGACTAGCAAAGCACAAAAAGAACTAAATTGAGCAGTCAAAAGACTCCATATATATATATGTTCTCCTAAAATGACTTCCATGCTGAAGTGTGGTGAACATGACCGCAAGGAGATCGATGCGCGGACGATACAGACCAGGCCAACCACTAGTTCTTGGGGCTTTCAGCATCAGAAGGAATTTGTTCAAGCCGTGATGCACAGAATCTCATCTCTGCATAACTCCCCTAACAAATCCTTGCAAGGAGCTTCCCACTCCCGCGCCGACAACTTCTGCCAAATGCGTCACCTGACAATGTCACCGTCTCCGTCAGAGTCTTTTATTGTCCGCGAATTGAAAGACTAGAAGAATATACCATAGGGCAATAATTGCGACAAGAGGTCGAAAATGGTGGACATTTTTTAGAGTCCCGGAGTATTACCTCTTGGAAGGATTTTTTCAAGTCAAAAGCATCTTTCACTCGATTGTCCACAAATGCCCATGTATCGCGAAACTCTGCCCCAAAAAAGAAAGTGTTAATTAGGATTTCCACATGGAACAGAATAATCACTCTGTGTGTTAAACATCATCCGTTATGAACAAAGGCATGCATCAGAAAGTCAGTGCATTTCTTCAATGAAGTCATGAGCAAAATTAGGGCCCAGTGATTATGGACTATCCACAGCAATCTTCCAGGTTTTACATAACTAGAGCTAAATCTGACCAGTTGCTCACACTAATTATCGCAGATACAAATATTCATAAGTTTCCTCTATTCATGCATTGACTAACTTGTTAGATATGAAATAAGGACCACAGATGTATGTTCCACAAATAAATTAAGATAATAAGAGCGGCTATTTAAGTAGGGGAATTCTATACTGACCTGGGGAGCTATCAGTCAGCATATACACCTCGGAAGTTGAATATATTCCTCCAACAACAGTGCGCTTTACATACCAATCAATATCAGAGGATTCATCCCCAGCAGCGTGGCATATCTCATCTACCAACATTGCCCGCTGCTTAAGACTAGTTGGGACATTTAACAGTTGTGCCTGTTAGAAAATGCTCGAGATTGTGGTTAAAAAATGCAACTTTATCACCATAGGTAAAAAGAAAGACAATATAATATTACCTGAATGGCAAGAGCTTCAGCCCATTTTGATATATAAGGAACTTGCATTTCTAGGCGAATCCTAATGACTCTCAAAATCCTCTCACTAGGTATCAACCCATTTAATTCATCTCCAGAGTCGATCGTGTCGATAAGCCTTTGCAAGCAATCATCCATGAAATACTAGCAAGGCAAAACCAGGCAAATTAGCATCAATTGCTTTGTTATAGACAGAAAACCTACACATCCTACTACTACTAAGCACACTATATTTGAACGTGCATATGATAATAGGTCCTTTGTGATCATTCGTGAAAAAGACTGGTTTATTCACAAAAGGAAAAATCTCATGAGTAACTAGTACACAAACCCGGTAGTCCACCATAAGCAAATGTTTAGCAAAAAAGAACTAATAGAAGGCTAAAAATGAATAATATCAAACACCTACAACCCATGTAGAACTTTCATTTCCCTACATTTTCTTCTTGTCCTGGCATATGCAAACAAAAGTGCATTTTGACTTCTGATTGCCCCCATAATTGACACGAATTATGTGATCAACCACTTTCCAAAAAAGAACAGCAGGGAGGTGTTACCAAAAACAATGCGGCATCACATATATTGGCATAGCAAGTTCACTACTAGTGCTAGGCCTGCACTATGCTAACAATATGACCCAACAGGGTTATTCTATATTCAAGGTCAAATGAATAGCAAAGAACCACTCATGAAATTGATGAAATCACAATACCTCGACCAATGCAGCTCCTTTTCTTGGGAAAGATCCAACTATTGAAGGCGACAGACCAACATCCCTCGCCCCAGCAATCATGGCTGCTTCAGACCATCCCAACGTTTTCTGCAGGAACATAAACCAGAAACAATTACAACAAATTTGACAAACTACACAAAATTCGGAGCATTGGCACCCCAATGGATGTCTGAATGATAATAGAAAATCCAATACGAAAAAGTATAAGCTATAAGTTTCACGCTAATTCAAGACAAAAGATGCAAAAGGCGCCTCTTTCAGCTTGGTGCTGCTATACTACCATCAGTGACAGTAGACAACCTGTAGTCATACCGCACCTTCAAGTTTCATATGCGTCACACAATTGAATCGAACATTACCCACGTTGAGAAAGCAAGAAACATCCTTTGACGTTGCTAATCACCGGGACCAAAGCAAAAATTACTCTGCGCACAGGCGCAAGCGTGCGATTCAACAAAAAATACCGATAGAGGAAACGAAAAGAGCGGTGAATCAGCTGACCACGTGTCGGAGAGAGGCCCGAAGCACGCGACGTTGCTGCTCCTGATAATCCGCCAAGGGACTACTCCTCTGGCGGCGCCGAGCTTCCTCGGCAGCCGACAATGCGGGCCCACTCGAAGACGACGATGCGGACGCAGATGCGGATGCCGCTGCCGCCGCTGCCGACGATGATCCGGTGGAATCCACGTAATACGGAGTTTCCGGACTCGCGTGCGGATGGCTCTGGTGTTCGTTAGGGCTCGGACCCGGCGGCGATTGGCGGCCGTCCACGGAGGTGGAGAAGCGAGGGCCGCCGACGCCGGCCTGAGGGAGAGGCGATAGGACGCGCGCGTTGCGGTGGATGGCGGCGTCCCCCGCCCCGCGGAGGAGCGCCGCCGCCTTCGCCGCCGCCGCCACTCGGTACATCACTTCAACGAGTGCTCTCCGTTTTTCATTTTTCCGCCCCACCCCCTCTCGGTCCTATTATTGAAACGATCGAACCCCCATTTTCTCTGACACGTGGATGGCTTAATCGGGTGACACGTGTCGGGAGCAACGGCCACCGGTAGTTTCCGCGACAGACTCGGTAAAATTGTTCACACGTGTAAATTGCTTACGAAAATAAAATAAATAAACCTCACTTTTCATCCAATAATCTAAAAATATATGTTTTAAGGATAAGACATAAATCCTAAAATTGGCCTAATTCTCTAAAAAATCTCAAATTTTAAGTTTAGTCCCAAATTTATCCCAAATTTTTTTTAGTCTAAATTTCACTCCAGTCTTGAATATGCCCCGTTAACTCTCCATCAAAAATCATCATTAAGTCTTTTGACATGGCTAGTACACGTTAGCACAAAATCCCACGCAGAAGCTGAAGTGGAAAATCTCAACAAAAGCGTTGACGTTCCTTGCTCTGAATATTGAGAGAGGTTAATTCGCGTTCAAAGAGAGAGAACGCTTGAACGCTTAGTCGCTCCCTCCATATTAGGTTCGTTCTCTACACCACGAAGCCAGTGCCAACGAGCTTCTCAGTCCCCCTCTCCGTGGTTAGCCTCTCCTTTCATTTGGCTCGCGGACAAGAGGGATTCCTCCATGAATCGACTTAGTAGTGGACTCCATAGAGCAATTGGTCTCTTCCTCTACATGCTCTCGCTCGGTCGCTCATTGTTGAGTACATGGTACTGCCCTTCTAAGTTCTAGAGGAGAGGGTGGCGGAAATTGCGAACAAACCTCGTGACAGCCAGGTATTAGTTCTTTTGTTTGTTCCTTTTTTGGTTCCCCTTAAATTTAACTTTCATCGTTTCCAATGAGGTACACATGCATTTATCTTGTGTTTCTCAGTTTTTGCTATTTTTGTTACGTGTATGATTCTAATTAGAAGCTATATATATGTTTGAAGCTTGCTGTCGTTGTTTCCCCGTGCTGTCTATTAGTTAGCACCTGAGGATCAGCGCTCAGGTCCAGATTAAAGATTGTAGAGTCAAGTGGTATGAACGGTATCCGTTTACAGAGTGATTGAATAGGGTTCCTGATCTTAGGAAGAGAACGGAGATTCTCTTCATTTCTTGGACTCTGTTGGTCCCCAACAGCTTGTATGTCCTGTATGAACTCGTTCTGTGCATGGCCTATTCTAGGTGCTTGCGGACATTCATTTCCACAACATAAGAGCTTGCTCAATGAATGTTGAGAATCAAGACAATGAAAATCGAGCATTTTCACGAGAGAGCATGGGAGTTTCGAAAAACGATTCGTCGTATCAAGACCGGCCAGTTACATGATAAAGTATATCCTCCATTATCCGGGACAAGAAGATATTATATATTGGAGACATAGTTTGTGCAAGTCTGAACAATATGGTAAATAGCAGTTAAAAACTGAAGATGTTTGAATGGAGTATTACGGTGCTGCGAACATCATTCTTCTTACCATAAACACGAAACTCTCCCACTCGGCCAAAGCAACAAAAAAAAAGATCAATGAACTGTACAAATGAAAACAGTAGCAGCTATCGTCTCCGAACTGCTGTTCATATACTTGGAATTAAGGGCCTGTACATAACTTCAATCTCCAGATTAAATGCTCAACATCAATCCACCAGCCATAAGAATTAGCCGGGAAAATTAGATTGAAACTGTTAACAAAGTTCCGTCCCCGAACCCAGACCAAAACGGACACCAAACAACTTGATCTTGATGGACAAGATAGACATTAGACAACTTGAATGAGGAGGACATTGACCTCTTTTCAAAAGCCAAAACCGTGCCTGAGGTCCTCAGCCTAGCTTAGTGCCTGCATTTCTTTTTTCATTGTGCTATTGGTAAGTCAATGCGAATGGTACCTAAGAAATACACGCCGAAGCGCCTGAGTTCATCAACCTCAAGTGCCGAGAGATTTCAAAATGCTGATCAAACCGTTGCTAAGAGAGCTCACCGTTTCATTTTTTGCGATCCCCAAAAATGATGATAAAAGGTTGCGATGCTAATACGAACTATCCTATGTTGTCGCCTAGAGATACCTCCTTTCGGGCTGGGACAAAAGCGTACGCCTCAACCTTTTACCTCTTCTATGTTCCTAATCGCTTCCCTCAGGTCGATTCGGTGCTCGGGATTGCTCTCGGTGCAAGAAGCTCCAATATGGAGTAGCTGCAACATCTGAGGCTTGGCATTCGTGGAGCTCAGTATCTCCGGATCAATCACTTCCTCTTCTCTTTTTTGGGAAATTGCAGAATGCACCCATTGCACAACGTCCGTCCCGCCCTTTCCGTTGCTGAGGTATTGAGAAGGGAACTTTCCTGTCAATATTTCGAGAATGATGATCCCAAGACAGTAGACATCGCATTTCAGGGAGACTTGCTGGTTTTGTAGGGACTCTGGGGCTTTGTAGGCGAACATCGCCTGCACAGCTTGAGGAGAGTTTATTAGAGGATGGAACGCGTAGTCACTGAGCAATGGCTCGTAATCCGCATCTAAAAGAACATTGCTCGACTTGAGATTCCCGTGGGGTAGATCACACGATGCAAACTCTGATTGAAGGAAGCCTAACCCACAAGCAATTCCGTGTATGATTTTCAAACGGGTAGGCCAATTGAGCTCGGCATGACAAATACCGCGATCACCTGAAAAGAATGCTGTTACTGATCAGAGATATGTACGCATATAAGAGCAGCATAGGCAATATCGAAGAAACATATCAGAATACATCAATTGTTAGCTTCTGTGTCATTATTGTTGGCATAGGCTAAGATTACGAACGACTTTGAGGATTGTCATGTTTGGTATCAAATCAAGGCGAACGCCACGCAGTCTTTTTCGCTTCTTTCTGAAAAATTTAACATGCTGAAGACATCGAGTTAATGAGATGAGCTACTGACAATCAGCAACGACCTCCTACCGTGTAAGACGTACAACAAGCTGCCTTTGGGGACATATTCTGAAACCAAAAGCTTCTCCTCTCTCCGGTAATGATAAGCCAACGGCGTCAAGATGTTCTTGTGTCGTATCCTCCCGAACCGCCTCATCTCAGCATCAAATCCCTCCTTCCCTAACCTATTCATCTCTCTCATCCTCTTCACCACGACCGATAAGCCATTGGACATGACAGCCTTATAGGCCGAACCCAAGCCGCCATTTCCTAGTACCTCCGCAGCCGCCTTCATCAAATCTGACAGCCCAAACGGGCCCTTGTCCTCGTTGACCAGCACTAGGTCCCCCATGTCCTTGCCCTTCTGCGACCCTCTCTTCGAGACACTGCCTTTCTTGCTCGACGCCGCCCGGCTATGTTTCGAACTCGACACGTGCACTTCAACCGCCTCGTGGACGACCTCTTTTCCCAGGACGCTGAAGTCATTGTCTCTGTGCCGGGTAGAATATATGTAAGAGAATAACATTCCGACAACCAGCAATGCGCCCACCGTCCCAAAGATCACCCAGGAGTCTATGCTCTTATGCTCGGTGGGGCTCGACCGCATCGATTCGTCCACAACCACGGCGGTGGGTTTCTGCGGGTCCGAGCATATCCTGTCCAGAGGCTTCCCGCAAAGGCCCTCATTCCCCCTGAAAGAACTCACCCCGAATCTCACCAAACTTGCTGGGATTGGGCCTTCCAACTTGTTATGCGACAGGTCCAGCGAAGTGAGCTTCTCATTTTTGATCGCCGGGACGTGTCCTGAGAACTGATTCCCTTCCAGGTGGAGCTCCTTGAGGTTGGGAAGCTGTGCCAGGGACTCGGGGATCTCGCCCGAGAAGTTGTTGTTCGAGAGCCAGACCTTCTTCAACGACAACATGTGCACGAAGAAATCCTTCGGTATCTCCCCCGAGAACTCGTTGCCCACCAGCAGGAGCGACTTGAGGGCGCCAAGGCGGCTGAACTCGGGGATCGGGCCCGAGAAGGAGTTGTTCACGAGGCTGATGGTCCTGAGGCCATTGATCGTCTCTAGGGACTCGACGTCGACCTTTCCAGTGAGCCCCCTGTCGGAGAGGTGGAGGCCCGTGATGATTCCGTTGAAACAGATCACGCCGACCCACCCTTTACAAGGAGGCGTGCTAGGGACCCAAGAGTCCAACGCCCCATTGTCGGTTATCGACCTCTTGAGCTTGAGGAGGGCCTCATCCTCGGTGACGCAACCGGACAGGGAGGCCGTGGCGAGGACGAGGAGGGAGGACAGCAGGACACGGCGGCGAACAGCGGCGGCCATCGCCGAGCGGGGCGGGGGAGGTGGCGGTCGTCGTCCTCCGCCGGGTAGAAACGAGCCGCTGCGGGCCGGGTGCGGGAGGGTTCGGCGGGGCTGCTGCTCGGGGGAGTTTTCTCTAATTTGGCATTGGAAGAGTCTGTCATGTTGGTGTGGCTTGGAGGGCTCGCGATGGAGCTGGCAAATTTTCATGAGACATTCTAAGTATAGAGAGAGAGAGAGAGAGAGAGAGAGAGGCCCCTCTGTGCGGTAAAATGGAGGGAAATGGAATTGAAGGCGAGAAGCGAGAGATCATAGGTTTTTGGCTTTGACCAGGTCAACCAGGACAAGAGCCTCCATTAACGTGGCAGAGTTCACTAGGTTTCAGGACTCGAAACAAAGGAGGGAGTCCGCAGTATAACCCACAGCCAGGTTGGTTCTGAAAGGATAACGAAATGAATAGTCCTTAAATTTTAATTTAACGTATAATACTATATTTGAATTTTTAATTTGTTCTACGTAGTTTATGGATTCTATCCCAATGTTTAATGTGGACCATAAACTTTTAATAAATTCATGTTCAATTTAGTCCCTGAAATATATAAAAATGGTTAATGTTCATTGTTCAGGGGCAACATTGAACATTTTCATAACGTGCAGGGACTAAGTTGAATACGTACCGAAAGTCTAGGGATCACATTGAATAAATTAAAAATTTAGGAACCGTATTGCACATTGGATCAAAGTTTAAGGATCGTATTGAATAAATTAAAAGTTCGCGAACTACATTAAAATCGGGCCAAAATTCAGGGACCATTAACGTCATATTCCTTTGTTGATAATACACAAAGCTGTACATACGTGCACAATACAGACCACCCTCCTAAGTTCATGGACTACATCAAGATCGGATTTAGCGATTCTTTCAGCTGCACACATGGATTTTTTTGGGAGGGTCCATCTGGAGATGATTTGAAGGTTTCTTTTCACTGCTTTCGTTGAGACTTGACTTTCGAATAGATGACGAGGCATTTTAGATTATGCATATTTATTCTTAGGATTTTGAAATTGAACTCCAAAAAGGATGTGTTACACAACACATCTCTTACCCTAAGCTCCACATCCTCCCCTTTTTTGTTCTTCCTATCTTCTTGTTTGATCTTTAAATTTTGTAGCTCGCCAAGTAGTTTTTGACCTTTTAGATTGCACTCGTGTACCGGTTGTTGAAGATAGTGAAACTCCTCTTTCTCCCCGTAGTTTTTCCCGTCTTGGATTTCCACGTATATCTTGTGTCTCCTATGGTAGAGAATTTGGACAATTCTAGGGCTTTTGGCACTACAAGCTTAACTTCGACAGCCTCGAGATTTTGTCATCGTCCTCAGTTTCGATCTTATTCCAGTTAAAACTGCTAGTGGAGAAACATAAACATACATATCTAACCAAACATTGCGATTATCGTGCCATTCATTCTATTGTATCTTATAGGGTCGTGTAATATGTCTGGATCGGAATATCTAAGGGTACACTAACGTATCGTAACCCTGCTTTGTTTGCGACTATCTTGCACTTGGTTACAACGATTTACTGTAGTACCGTATATAAATTTCGCGACGTGTCATGACGTCCTTGTATTCAATTACGACGCATCAAACATTATACTTCAAATCTACGGTATCATAGAATTCTCCATGTGTATGTCAATCCTCGGCATCGTTTGACGATCTGCGGTCGCCCGTCGTCGCGTGTTCTTCCCTGGGTTGAAGGATCGGCCCTCTTGACTTTCCTCGTTTCAGTGTCTATAAAAAGTCAACGGACAGCAAACCAGATCGAAGGGGCAAAAGATCCGTAATTGTAGGTGATTCTCGCTATCTCTTTTGATCCATTTCTTGCGGAGGGAAGATCTGTTGTTTTCCCGATCGTGATGAACATCCAACCACAAAATCGATTCCTCGGTATATACCGACGCGCTCCATCGCCGATTAAAAAAAAAAAAGATGACGATGACGATGACTACAACAACTTGTATGTGTCTTTCATCATCCGTAGCATTGTAAATTTGGTTCGGTATTCGAAATGAATATTCATGCAATCCGGTAATCCGAAAATTTTGTGGAAAGATTGCACTCTAGCTCAAGCAACCGTTCACGCAGTTGCTATTTGTACAGATACAAATGTTGTGCCCCCGACATGACCTTCGAAAATAGACCTAGGCCCCGTTTGGTAACGTGCCAAATAGTAAAAATTTCTGTTCTTTTGTTCCCAGAAATAGTTTGGGAACAGAAATGCGTTTGGTAAACTTTTTGTTCCTCGGCACATTTTTGCAAAAATTTGTGCCGAGAAACAGTTTTGGAAGAGAAACAAGAAGTAAAAAAAAGTTGCTTCTTGTTTCTCGGCACAATTTTGAGAATCAGTTTTTTTTCTTTTTTTTCTTTTCTTATTTTTGTTCTTCCTTGGCTGAGCCGGCCGCCGGTCGCCGGTCGCCGGCGGCCGGCCACGGCCCAGGGGCCGCGAGGGCGTCACGGCCCTCGCCGGCCGCCGGCGGAGGTGAGGGTCGCCCTCGCCGGCGAGGGCGAGGGCCGGACCCTCGCCGCCCGGGCGAGGCGGCCTCGCCCGGATCGAGCGAGGCCGAGCCTCGCCGTGAGGTCGCGACGGCGAGGCTCGGCCTCGCCAGATCTGGGCGAGCCGAGCCTCGCCGTCTCGGGCGAGGCCGCCTCGCCCGGCGGCGAGGGTCCAGCCTCGCCCTCGCGGCGAGGGCGACCTCGCCTCGCCGCGGCGCCGGCGAGGTCCGTGACGCCCTCGCCGGCCCGGGTCAGGCCGGCCGCTGGCCGCGCGGCGACCGGCCATGGCCAAAGAAGAAAGTAGAAAAAAAAATTTTAAACAATTCAAAATATTATTAAAATATTATTTGGGAACGTAAATTTTGTGTAGTTACTAAACGCATTTCTATTCTTTTCTACTCTAGGAATAGAAATTTTGACAGCTTTATCAAACGCCTTCAAATACCCGTAAATTGTTTCCGCAAGAATCAAAAAAAAATCATTTCGTTCGTAATAGCAGGCGCACAGACGAATGTCGATCTACGCGCACCCCTAGCCGCCAGGGCTCGCCGCCTGCCCATCATCCAAGAGGGGCCTGGACATTTTTCTAACCCGTCGAGTCCGGGGCCCGACCCCGATCGATGTTCTGTTGTACTTAGAACGCCCAACAGGATTTGGTGTGCATAGAGTAGTTGGCACGGTACATCCGAAGGTAAAGCTTCAACCGAAATCAACAGGACATCTCTCTCTTGCAGAATTCATCAAATTCGAACAGAAGAGAACACGTCTCTGTCTTTGGTTTAGGTAGATATGGCCGATCCACAGCTGCTTCGATGACCCCCCAATGATCGTAACCCCTCACCTGTTCACCAAACTCTCTTGTCCTGCACTTACTTCGCATCGGTACGAGAGAGAGAGACATCATCAACGACGACAGTTACAAATTTAAAATGACTTCCTCAATCGGTATTGTCCCAAAAGACATCACACCAAAAATGAAGGGAGGAAAAAGCAAAAAAAAAAAAAAGAGCCAGTTGCCACACACATTACGGGTAATAAATTCGGTTCGGTCCAGTTTCGACGGCCCCGTTTCTACCCCATATAAGGAAAACTCCGTCTCCTCACCGCGTATATTCCCGGGAAAAAACCGGATCATCGGACTTCTAAAGAGGCCGGTCGGTTTTTCGACCGCGCATCTGCTCCTACCTAACATGAAAAGATTCCCATTACATGACCTCCTCGTGCCACTTTCGACCACGTTTGTTAATTATACCACGAAGCATCTAACCTGATCTTCTCCACCGGTTCTAAGCTGCCCCTAGTAAATGCTGGGTCGACACAAAAACCGAACCAGCAAATCCACAAGTCTAGTTCTTTAATTAGACTATAATCATAGTATATGTCCAAACCCGGGATCTTGATGTCACTAAAGTGGTAACGACAGGTAAAGGCCATCGAATAGGAAGCATCCGCAACGTCGCACGATGGTTCTCAGTTTATCAGCACGCGGCTTCGACTCGACGACTTTCGACAATTTCCGCTCCGTATACATGAATAATGCATCTCGTTTATAATATAAATTAGATCTAAATCACTATAATATTTCGTCAAGTTGAAATTTACTAAATCCTCTCGAATTCGTATTTTAAGTCTAATTAAATAAAAAGGATTAACACCACGAAATATTCCAAACCGCTATATATATGATAAAATTACCCCAGACTAAATTTTTTATCACAAATGTGACCAATTTATCCTAAGCTAATTTTTTGACCATAAAAAATCCTAAACTGGTACACATGTAATAAATCTATCATCCACTAGTTTCTGTTAAATTAGATTAATATCACGAAAATTCATAAATCGGTATACCTGTGTCATCCAACTCTACAATTTGGAGTCTTTAATGGTCAAAAAATTAATTTAAAATAAAAAAAAATTACGAAAGTGATAACATGTTTAACGATCATTTAGGCTGTTGAATCAAAGCACATCTTCTTCTTCTTTAGAAGAACACAGAGTCTTCGCTTCGAATCCACTCCATCTTCATCTTCTTCTTACCTCTGAAAATCAAAACAGCAGCAACAAATCCACCTGACCGTGATTGATCAACCGAAACCACAAACACTTCAACAACATCTCCCCCACCATCAGCCATTTCCGCCAAGCCCATCCTCCCCCCATGCCGGAGCTCCCTCTCGCGCTTCGCATCGGGCGTTTGAATTGAGTTGCCGGCGCGGCGATCGACCGGATTCCCGCTCCTCCGTCACTAGCCATGGTGGAAACCCTAGGCCTCGCCAGATTCGGCCACCACAGGCTCGATCTCCGGCGCTGGATACCGGCCTTCGTGTCCTCCCACAAGACGCTCCTCTCCGTGGTGTGGATCGCCGCCCTCGCGTCCGTGCTCCTCTGGCAGAGCAGCGCCGTCGGCCCCGGGGGGCTCTCGATACTCCGGTGGCGGTCGCCGGGTGGTGGGGAGGAGGCGGCGGGGGGGCGGGGGGCGGCGGTGCCGAGGCTCCGGCCGGCGGCGTTCAACCTGACGGACTTCGGTGGGGTGGGGGACGGGGTGACGGTGAACACGGCGGCGTTCGAGAGGGCGGTCGCGGCGATCGCGAAGCTGGGGAAGAGAGGCGGCGGCCAGCTCAATGTGCCTGCTGGACAGTGGCTGACGGCGCCGTTTAATCTGACGAGCCACATGACGTTGTTCCTCGCTGAAGGAGCGGTTATACTCGGCATTGAGGTTGGTGATTGTTTTGGCTCGGCGCCTGTTTTATTGAAATTTTGCGAACAGTTGATGCTCTGTTTCCCAAGTAGCTTCGGTTGACTAATTCTGGCGAGCATGAAACTAGTTTAAGGTTTAAGGTTAGTTCTTTTCTGTTTGGTTTGGATTGGCTATTTCAACAAGAGTAGAGCGCGAGGATGTTGTTGAGAAAAGAATGGGATTATCAGGAGGAGGACTGTAGGTTCTATAGGGAAACGAGCAGGATGGTTTCAAAGTGTAGGTGACATGTGCTATTGCCTTTAGGTGGAATTTGTTTGTCCAAAACAACAAAGGCTACTTATTTCTGGATCTCTGCGAATGCTGTAGGAGTTTGTATTGATCTCGAGATCGATCGACAGATCAAGCCTCTTATGAACTGAGTTTACCAAAAAAGTACAGAAGCATGTTTCTAGAATGGTATGATGATGTAGAGATCAGCTTGGATTAGTGATGCTTGAATGTTTTGGCAGTACTGTACAAACTACTCCTTGTGTCATTGATCAACATGTCGCCACAACCTTTATGTTCATTAAAAGCAGGGAACAATTGTGATGGTTCTATAGATGGTCTTAGTTCTCATTCGTTTTTCAAAGATATTTAATAGGCTAATGAGTGCAGTCCATGTGTGCCTTATCGTGGCTAACACTATTTTGGCTGTGTATCCTCGGTATCCGCATGTATTTCTGCATTCTGGATATAGGACAGGCGGAAGTATCAAATTACTTGCCTATATTCGGGGTGCTTTTGGACGGGGGGTTTGTTCCTTATAGGATGCTTTTTAATCTAGAAGACAAAAGAGTATGTGTTGCAAGAAGATCATCACTACTGGTTGAGTTTTTCTCTACTGTTCCTAGATCTGCTAAATTTAATCAAACTTTCTTGTATATCTTCCTTTTTGGCTACTTACAGGATCAGAAGTACTGGCCATTGATGCCTCCACTGCCTTCTTACGGTTATGGTAGAGAGCATCCTGGACCTCGATATGGAAGTTTGATTCATGGTCAAAACCTCAAGGATATTGTTATAACAGGTTGGTGTTTCTCCTTGTATGGATAGTTGCTTAACAGTTCTCATCATTGTATCGTCATTGAAACGAATCAATGACTCGTAAAAGTAGAGCAAATCTTCTCAGATAGAAAGGTTGAGAGCACGATCATGTGCCTACAATTTCAACCAATGTGAGTCATTAATTCAAGTGCTTCAAGCTGACGAATCAGTAGCTAATGAATCAGTAACATGGCTTGGTTACTAGATTGATAAATTCTCAATTTGAATCTATTTGAGCAATATTAGATCTGAAGAATTTTTAGCTGTCTTTATTTAAGAACTCATGTCTTACTGCCTTTCTGATTTTTTTTTTCCTGATAAACAGGACATAATGGCACCATAAATGGACAGGGCCAATCATGGTGGAAGAAGTACCGCCAAAAGCTTCTTAACCACACTAGGGGCCCACTAGTTCAGATCATGTGGTCAAGTGACATAGTTATCTATAATATTACTTTGCGGGATTCTCCTTTTTGGACACTTCATCCATATGATTGCAAAAATGTGACGATTAAGAATGTCACTATATTGGCTCCCATATTTGAGGCCCCAAACACCGATGGAATAGATCCTGGTGAGTCTGTTTTTTACTAGCCTCTTTCTTTGAGCTCTCTTGATCTGTCCATTGGCTTATGAGTCTATTGTTTTTCTTTCCTAGCATATCTTGACTTCTTCTTGGTCTGAATATCTTCTGATTCTTTTGGTATAATTACCGATGGTAGTGCAGTAGTGTTACCATTTTTAGGCTAACCCTGGCAGCAGAAGAAGCCATGTCTAAAATATTCAGGACTGTCTAGTCGGGTGGGAGTGCTTCATTTTCTTTCCTTTTGGGGATAATGGAGAAATTTTGGAGGGTTAGTTTTTCCTCATGTGCGTATGAATCATCTGATAAGGAGTTAGTAAAAGTCAGTGAAAAGTAATTTCCTCAAAAGCTAAAACTCTAAAGTTGGAGGTGGGCTGCTCCCACTTGTAACTCTGTGGAGTGGTCTTAAGATGTAACTGATGTGAAAATCCCTTAATGCAAATTAAGTTTATTCTTTTCTGTTAGATTATTTTTCTAGGATAAAAGGCCATATGCCTTGCCATTAAAGTTTAAGGGGAAATTTCATAGGACAAGCATTGAGGCCAATGCATGGCGTGGAATGGTGGGTGGTCAAACACTATTACATGCACAAAATGAGTATAGACGAGTGTGGGTCCTCGAGAAAATACAGGTCAGAGGCAAATTGGGTATCTCAATCGTTGATGAGATGAAAGTTCGTTTGAGATGGTGTGTGCCATTAGTATGACAATTAGAAGATGTGATTTTAGGGTGGAAATTCATGTTAAAAAGGGTGGTGAAAGATCGAATGAAAAATGTGATATGGGACATAAGGAAGGCATTGAGCAAATAGGTCTTACAGAACACTTGGTTTAGTATCAAATGCAATGATGTAAAGAGGTTTGTATAACCAATCACAGTTAGTGGTATCAACCGTAGTTGTTGTTAAAGGTCATATTCCTGCAATTGGAGAAGTTATAGTTTTTAATGACTTCTTCAAACATAGTCATGGCAGAAGGTACCAAGGCACAAGTTGAAGAGACGTTGCTGAGCTATTCAATAGTTGGTGGACAGTGCCTGTTCTGTTCTGTACTTTTTTTGGGTTAAAGATGCCAGGGCTGAGTTACCGACGTCGATTGATTATTGCGGAGAATTTCATTTTCAGGGATGTAACATTAATTGCTGGTGGAGTCATTTCACTGCGAGGTAGTTTCACAGGAGTTTCGGACGGTCAAATCATGCTTGTCCAATTGCAGTTTCATTTGAAGTAAACTAAATTGCTTGGCAATATAAACCTTAATGTGTTGTGCCCTTAATTATTGCACCTCGGTGCAATTTCCTAGGATTTTAACTTGGCACCCCCTGGTCGGTTGTCTTGGCAAACAGTTAGATGAATCTTAGTAGAGGAGCTTTTCTACATCAATATTTTCATCTATTTGATGCTTCTGAAGCAAGCGCGGTGCATACAATTGTATATATGTCCCAATTCGGGTAGCAAGGAAAGCTTAGTTTTTTATTATAGGGTTGTTTTTGTCCTGTTCTTTTCATCAAGTACATCAGGATAACAGGCTAACATTTATTTTGTACATGGTAGATTCATGCGAGGATATGGTAATTGAGGATTGTTATATAAGTGTTGGAGACGACGCGATTGCAATAAAGAGTGGATGGGATCAGTATGGAATTGCTTACAGACGACCATCGAAAAACATACTCATCCGAAACCTTGTTGTCCGCTCTATGGTCAGGTAGCTCATTTTCACTGCACAGGACATCCAAAAATTTTGACTCGACATCCTTGGGAATTCCATAGTTGGATTTGCTGTCCACATTCTCATATTTCATCACCTTGAGTGGTAGTTAGTCTATTCTTAGAACATCAAATCTTCATGTCTACGATGGATCTCAAGAATGTCTATGTTCTTCAAACTATGCTTTTTTCACTTAGTTAAATGGATTATGATATGCTATTATTTACAACATGCAAAATCCACTCTCGCTTACCACTACTTAGAATGCAGAGTTGTAATGGATCTTGCTGGATTGTGCGTCTATCAGTAATATCAAAGTAGTATGCATCTGAAGAAGCAGTTTTCAGATAGAATGCCAGAATTTGTCCTTTTAGGCTATCTTAGGCACTTTGTTAGTGTTCGTGAGTCAGCATATTATGTAGTGCATGACTAATAATATTTTTTATGTAACAGCGCGGGCGTATCCATAGGCAGTGAGATGTCTGGTGGAGTATCAAATGTCACCGTGGAAAACCTCCTCGTGTGGGATTCCAGGCGTGCGGTCCGGATCAAGACTGCACCGGGAAGGGGCGGTTATGTTCGACATATAACTTACAGAAATGTTACATTTGACAATGTGCGGGTTGGAATCGTTATCAAGACAGACTACAATGAGCACCCTGATGAAGGCTATGACCGAAAGGCCTTCCCCACTCTTCAGCACATAAGCTTCATCGGGGTCCATGGCCAAGGAGTTCGTGTGCCAGTTCGCATCCAGGGAAGTGAAGAAATCCCGGTCAGAAACGTGACTTTCCGGGACATGTCTGTCGGGCTGACGTATAAGAAGAAGCACATATTTCAGTGTGCATTTGTCCAAGGTCGTGTAATTGGAACAATCTTCCCTGCCCCTTGCGAAAATCTCGACCTTTACAATGAGCAAGAGAAGCTCGTTAAGCACTCAGCCTCGCAGAACATCACAGACATCGATTACGATATTTAAGGTGATTTCTGTTTCTCGGCACCAGGTTTTCCATCTCTCAGAGGTCTGTGAGTTTCATTACACGATCCAAATGTCTCGTTTCTTTCGGCCAGAGATACAAGTATCCTGTTGGGAAGGGTGGGAGTCATGATACTTGTCATCTTCCATTTTTCTTCATTTCTTACCCCTTTGGCCCGTCGTTTTTCCAACTTTTATGCTCGACGGGGTTGTACTTGTACATATGGAAAGTAGCTTTTAGGTCACTGGAAGTCGAAATCGAACCATGGTTTATGTTAATTCTCCAGTTTTCTTTCCTGTCCGAAGCTTTGTCCGATGTTTTATCTCACATCTGAGGAACTGTATACATGTAACTCAGTTTTGCCCTTTTGGGTGCCTAGAGCAATGGCGGAATTTCGTTCCCCCGTTTTGTGTTCCATCAAATTGTGTATTCCCGTTTGCTCCATTCCTTGTCGAAACCCGAAATTTCGTTCATTCTCAATTTCAGGCAGCATGTAGAGTGTTAACCTCTCTACCTATGAGAAGTTCCGTAAATTTGGTCGCTCTCCAACACACATATACCGACTCCTATTGAAGCTAAGGAATCGGATCGAGAGTCGCGGTTTGCTATCCATGCTCGAATCGATTCAATTCGGTTATAACAAGCTCAAGATCGGCATTTTGAAAGTCTTGAACTCAGCTCGGCTCAATGCGAACCCAATGAAATTATATTTACTTGGGTCAAATATTCTTGTGCTGGAGCTCGAAAACCAAAGAGAGAGAGAATAGCTCGCGCGCGCTCTTGATTTCTAGCTTACGAATCATGAGTGTCCTTGCACACTTCTTCCATCTCCTCCAGCAAGGCTCGAGGAGACATTCTCCAAACCCTAATAAGTCACAGCTCCAAGACTTTTTACCTTCATCTTATGATTCTTCAAATCCTTTCTTGCCTTTAGACAAATGCAAAGTCCTGAAACAAAGCGCCCCACAATTTAAAAGCAATTAAAAACAGTTGACGCGAACGTACTTTTCAGCTGAACAAGTCAATCATGCAATCCTGCAGAAGGATCCAAACTCGGTGACTCCACGGCAATTTCCCTCGTTGACAAATGGGCGAGTTCCTCCAAAGTTGGCACGTTTTCTACTGCCCTTTTTCTTTGGGAACATCAACGAATCGTTGCGCTCGGGATGTACTGTGCCTCTCTGAACTCGCTTCTTATGCTGCATTTACTGCAAAAAGAAATAATTTTTTTTCAGGAGATAAATCGTGATAGAATTCGTGATTTATCAAATATATATTCATGCAGAATAGATCTATCCGCAAGATTTTTACAGCCACGAAACGATCAATCAATGTTCTGACATTTCCTATTTGGGTTCATCTGCTGCGCATCCCCCGCAGACCATCCAGACATATTCACGAGACAATTGAACACGGTTATTGCACGTCGGATAGATTCGGATTCTGACCAAGTATAATTCGAAGCAGGTACACAATCTGCACATGCTGGTTTCCGGTTCGAACCTCTCGAGATCTAACCTTCCGATCGATTCGCTTCGACGCGTAAAGCCCGGCCTTGATGATTGAGTAACGGTCTACGTCGCGGGGCATCCAGGGCCGTCCGCCGGACGCAACCGTGCACGGGCCCGCTTAACTCGCGCTTTATCTTATTCACGAGCTCGACGAGCGTTTCATGGCGATCGAGGATATGTACACTTTAGGCGTTTCGAGTTAAAAAAAGAAGAAAATCGACCCCCGCTTTATTTGAACGAGTCGTTCGATTTCACCTTTCTCGGATACGGGTCAAATCACTCGTCTCTATCGCCATCTTTTTCATTGCTTTTGGACTTTTTGAGTGGTAGAATCGCTGTTGCCGATTGTTACGCCTTGTCCCAAGATAGCATACCGAGTTTTCTTTTAACACCTAAACCCATAATAAATAATAACAACAGCAATATTAATGATGATAAAAGCATGGTATTAGCAATGCTAGTTTTGGTTGTAAGTTTTTATTATGGTCTTCCAAACATCTCAAGGGATTACAAAAGACCAAAAGCGTTAGAAACTCGGGTATCTCTACAGTAGAAATACTTGAGATATATGGTCCACGTCACGAACCCGACCCGAGTCCAAACGCGGTTCTTGGGATCACCCCCCGCTGATATTATGAGCGAATCGGTCCGTACCAAAAGGAATCGCCGGGGGGGTCCCGACGAGCTCTTATTGGAAGATATTGTGCTTGCACATGGTCCATGTGAGGGAGAGTCTGCTTCAAAGAGTCCAAACCCTAAAGACATATTGCACGGAACGAGAGCATAGGCTATGGACCGGACTTTCCTCAGCGACTTTCATTGGTAGCTGAATGGGGTGGGCGTTGTCGCTTTCGTTTTGACCTTTAGGATCGCCTTTGGCGAATAGGAAGATCAAACTTTGGCTTAGTAAGTGTCTCTCTGTCCACTGCTTTGCAATAGGAGCCGATGACGCTTTCCTGACGCCGGGGATGGCGCACTCGAGCCGTGGTTCTTTACGAATTTAAGGGTGTGTTTGTTTCATAGAAAATGTCATGATAAAGAAAAAATGTTCTTTGAAAATTCATTGCGCATCAATTCTCCTCGATTGAGATTTGAGCTTCGATTAGCATCTCTCGAGTCCCCGAAACAAACGCACTTTTTTTTAAGATGGGAATATTTCGATTGCAACGTTGCGTTTATCTTTCTTTTCTTTTCTTCAAGGCTTTTGGTCGAAGGCCAAGAATTATTCTTATCATTAAGGCCAATCTCACATACCATTGACCCGACCCCATTTTTGGCAATATGCCATTGACCTATTCGAGCTTTTGACATAGGAAAACAAATTGCAGTAAAATGGATCAAGAGGCCGAAAAGAAAAAAAGAACCTATTCGACTTTAGGCAGTATCGGGGCACTCGTTAAGTACCTAATTAAGGGAAGTTTGTCATTTTCAACGGACCCTGGTGATAAAATACTAACATACCAAACTAATTCGTCGTTTTTATCGCTATGCGATGAAGAAAAACCATCAATAAGCGAAAGAACTCGATGCTAATCACATTAGGGCGATTAATTGTCTATTCATTGCGAAAAGTAGAACGATCGCCCTTATACAAGGAAAATAATATCGACCCAAATAAAAGAAATCATTCGGGGAATTGAATTTCCATCTATCTTAAGGCGAGCTCGTCCCTCGACTGCGACTGATCATCGGCCAAGAAAGAAGAAAAAGAAAGTAAAGGAAAAAAACGAAAATAAAAAATTAAAGAATGTTTAATTAATTAATTAACTAATTAATAATTCAAATCTTTTGGTAATTCCCCCTAGGAAAATCAAATTAGATTTCCATACCAAATGATTGAAAATATTTTTCTATTCATTTTCAAGCATCAGCAAAACACCGGAAAAATATTGTCGTTTTCCTCTCGGGAAACATTTTTTTTAGAGATGTCATATTTTTCGCGAAACAAACGGAGCTTTATATCCAGAAAAAAAAAAAAGCTAATAAAGCGAAAGGCCAAAATATATTAAAAAAAAAAAGGAAAAGGAGATTAATTGCGCTTTTATCAAATTAATATCATCGACTGAAAGCCAGGTGGGGAAGAAGTTTGGTTGGGGGGAGGGGGGCAGAAATCGTAAATAGATGCAAATACGAGGCTGTTTCGGTAGGGCAACCCGGAAAGATCACGTGGCGCGTATCCATAATATCACTTCACGAGCCCCCGTCAACAAGTCACCCAGAAAAAAAATAAATATATATATGAATAAAAGGGAAAAGGAATATTTAAAAAAATAAAAAGAGAAAAGGAAAACGTGGAAGCCCAGCGCGCCCCACCGGTCAGATTTTTTCCTCTTTACATGCGGACAAGCATAAATAAAATGATTTTCTTCTTGTTATATTATTAGTATTGTCAATTATTGTCCGCATGTTCTTGGCGGTGATCATTGAATTGATTTTTTTGAGCCGAATCTAGAGTTGATTTTCTCCGTTGGGAAAATGGGGTTTTTTGGGCTCCGTTCGTTTCTCGAAAAAATGTGATATTTTCTGAATATTTTTTAAGAAGTTGTTTTTCGGGAAAATAACAATAGAAATGCATTTTTCGTCGTTTGGTATATTTGATTTTTCTAAATAGACACACACTATTCGAACGCCAGCCATTTGGATATGGGCAATCGGAGAATCGGATACGGGCACTAGGATCTCGGGTCCGACCGTGATGGACCCCCTCCCGAGTGCCGGGGGGCATGGGCATTGGGTCCTGGCCCTGGCCTCGATAGACCCGAGTGTGGGCACCTTAGGTCAACCTTTGTGAACTCGGGCTTGAGTGTTGGATATTTGAGGTCGGGTATCGGGATCCTGTGCTCGGTCTTTGTGGACCCAAGCGTAGGCGCCGAGATCCCGAGCTCTATCTCAATGGACCCAAGCAAGGGCACCGAGGTCGCGAGCCCGGCCTCGATGGACCCGGGCCCGTGCACTAGAGACTTGGTCCTAGACACCGAGAATCCGGGAATCAATGTTGAGGTTTCGATGGCCAAGCATGCAGTTCTGATTTAAAAAAAAATGATTTCTGATTTTTAAAGAGGAAATCATTTTGCTGAGATTAAGTATAGGTTTTCATTGACTAGGAAAATATTTTTCGTTGACTAATTTTCATAAACGAACCAAATGTCGGAAAATGAGGAAAATATTTTCTGCCAAACAAATGAAGCCTTAGTCAAAAAAATATGTACTTCGTATTCCGAAATGAGACTCGTAGTTTAAGTTCTTTCAATAAATTCAAAGCGGTTTTTCTTTTTTTCGCCGTTCTCTGCAAACAGAATAATTAAGTGTGCCCCGTTATTGAAACGACATTTACTTTCGATCGTTTTTATCATTTAACATTTACAATTCACAAGAATTCACAGCTATCTCGAAAGTTACCGGAAATGGCCGTATCGATGGGTGCAAATCGATTCTAACCCATTGTTTTTAGTCCAATAATTACGTACATCGTTCCTCCCAAACGGCCCCCATTTTTTTATAATCGCTTTTAGCAAAACGGGCAGCGGAAAAAACAACATATATATAAAGAAGAAGAAGAGGAGGTTAGAAAAAAAAGAGGAAAAAGGAAGAAAAAATCGACACGTTTATAACGAGCCCGGAGATTCGGGCTGACCCGATCCGGGTAATCATTGGCGAGCCGGACGCGAACGCGGAACACGTGTCGGCATCCGGTTGGCGAGGGAAACGTGCCACCCGCAACTTGCTTCCCTCTCCTTCTTTTTTTTTTTTCCCCTTCTCTCTCTCGATTAATGGGGAAAAAAAAAATTCAGAAGCGGCTGGCGACGACTTGTCGTACGAGTCCCCACCGCGACGGCCCCGACATGCCCCACTGACTTGACGCCGTTATCCACCCCCGACGGCGCCTCCTCCCCCGACCGCCGGGGGCCCCACGTCGCTTGACTTTTACCGTGCTGCCCCCCCCCCCCTCCCCCTACTCACCCCCACTCATCGAGAAAAAGTAATCCACGCCGCCCCTAGGACCGCCGCCGTCGAGCCACGTCGGTCCGATACGGAGTAAGAGCTCGAGCTCGACTCGATCCGCTCGTTTGATATTCGAAATTCAGCTCGTCTTGGATCAAGGATTAAAGTTTAGTGCCCGTGCTCCGGCTCGGTCTTGAAAGTTCGTGACGCCCCGATCCTCGACTTGGCTTTGGCTCGACTACAGCACCACGATCGACGGTATCGAGCTTAGTAGGCACGGAATATCTTCCCCCTCCTTTTGTATGTGTGCGTTGTTTATGTTTCCGCGGCTATAAGATGTTTTTTTTACGAAGATAACGGGAAGTTAGATTAGCTTTATTGAGCCGAGTATTGGCAATCTCGAATTCGACTATATTCCGCACTCGGGCAGTCCAAGCTCGAACTCTACTCGGAATCAAGAGAGTTGATTTCCAAGTAATCATCAAACCGCGTTCAAACTACCAGAGAATAGCTCAAGTTAATTTCATCCTTAGGTTGTGTTTAGAATAAAAAAAAAATGACCAACTTTGTTACTTAGGGATTGGCGTGGATGTGGATCCTTGAACTCTAAGGGAAGTAGAAAAATTGATGATCGTGTCGAAGGGTCATTAGCAACGATAAAAGAGTAATCGATGAACATCGCGATCGAGCAATGAAGCCCCGTGGATGATCAATTGTCGTGAATATTCGCCAAGTGTTGGACATGAGAAAAGAGAGTGCATGGATCGAGGATGTCCACCGAGCGACAGTTCAACTTCCCAATAGTCTCGGAAGTTGTAATTTCTTGTTGATAACTATTATCGGTCGTGCAGAAAGTGCGCCAAGAATCTCGCAGAACGTGCAGTTATAACTAGAGTGTGCAAAAGAATCGGGACCCGCCCGGACCGCCCGGAACCGGACCGGAACCGGTGGTTCCCAAGGGAACCGGTCCGGTTCTTGGTTCCAATTTTTTGGAACCGGTGGGTACCGGTCCGGTTCCCGATTCCCTGTGTGGAACCGCCCACCCGCCCGCCCAGACTGGATCGGGTAATATAATAATAATATATATATTTTTACTTTTTTAATTAAAAAATCTGACTAAAAAATTAAAAAAAATAAAATAAAATAGGAGAGTTGTTGTTTTGTTTGCTTGCTGACTATTGTGAACTTGTGACAAACTCCCACGTGTGATATATATTATAGGCTACGGATGTATTTGTTGTGAAGCTTGTGAAGTTGTGAACTTTGTGACGAATCTTGTTGTGAACACAACCCACCAACGGGCAAGAATTAGACCGATCAAATTTTTGATTTGTCCAGGAAAACTTAGTGGGACTGGTTCCATGGACCCACCCGGGAACCGGACCGGACCGGACCGGCGGTCCGGTTCTCGGGTGGGTCCATGGAACCGACGGGCGGTTCTCGGTTTCAATTTTTTGGAACCGGTCCTTAACGGGCGGTCTACGGTTCCAAGGTGAGAACCGCCCACCCGGATCATGCTCACCCCTAATTATAACCGTGTTCAGAGCAACGGCTGCTTGTACGCGATTGTAGTCTTCTTTTTTTTTGCCGGAACACGATTGTTGCTAGTGGGTTATAAACACTCGTAATAAAATGTGCAATTGTATCCCGCTCGCACTTTTTCAAGACATCCGCGTTCACGAATTTATCCGTTCTCTTTTTCCATCTTCCTCGCTCCTTGACCATTTCAGCACTTCAGGTTCCCGTCTTCTTTCGTAGAATACATTTCCTTAAAAACGACGCTTTGAATAACGGAGGCAATGAAGACAAATTTATGGTCCGCAACGATTCATGTCCAACGCATTTTCTTGAAGGCCAACTTTCACCTTTTAATGGTCAGTCAAGGCATGATTATCTAAATTTCAGGGGGGGCATAGTTGGAATTACACAAGGAGATAGAGAGAGAGAGAAGGAGCCGCTTCCGTCAAGACGGAAGGCGTTAGCCAGGAGAGAGAGAGAGAGAGAAGGCATACAAAAAAAAACGGCACGTGCTTTAAATAGGAGCCCCGGGCATATAAACAAATCTGGTAAAAACAACTGACGGCATTGGGAAGCTGCGACGAACCTCCCTCCTGCTCACCAAGAAAAATGAAAAAATAAAAAAAAATCAAAAAAAATATAAATATAAAAAATAACTGAAAAAGAAGAAGAAGAAGAAGTGCCCCCACGTATTCCTCGTGCTTCATCTCATCCCCCCCGCCCCCCCCACATGCGTTCCTGACCGTCGATCCGTAATTTCGATTTTAAAAAAAAGGGAGATATTCCTTTTTCTTTTTTTTTAAATGATTTTGTATATTGACTTTTCATGGTTAAATACGCCCCGAGCTCTCACGCCAATGGCCCTTCAAATTGTGTCACATGCGCTTCAACACTCCACGAGACCTCTCCAGAAATCCCCCCCTTTTCCCTCCCTCCAACGCGCCTCCTTCGTCGTCGTCGTCGTCGTCTTCTTCTTCGTCCGCTTCCGAATCGTCGCCGCCGCCGCCGCCACCGCTAGCCGCTGCATGTCGATCTCGTCGGAGCACTCGGATTCCGGCTGCTCCTTCGCCGGCAGGAGCCCGGCGAGGCCGCTGGAGAAGTCCAGCTTCTCCCACACCTGCAGCCTGCTGAGCCAGTACCTGAAGGAGAAGGGCTCCTTCGGCGACCTCAGCCTCGGCATGTCGCCCCCCGCCGCCGACGCAACCGGTAGGGTTCCCCCCCCTTCGCCGCCGCGCCGCGTCGTGCGGTTTTGATTTTTGTTTTTCGTTTTTTCTCTCTCTCTCTCTCTCTCTCGAGACCTGTTGCGGCTATCGATTAGGGTAATCGACCAGTTTTAGGAACTGGCGCTGCGTCGGACTCGCTTCATCATTCGCTCGTTCCTCGTTAATTTGGGAAACTTTTCGGTCATCGCTCTGCATGTTTCCGAGACGTCGTTTGAGAACTGTCCGGTGTTCATCGCATTTCTCTTGATGTAGTCGAGGTAGGATATACTGGAAAAAGGATGTGAATTTGCTTATTGGGGGTAGACCGTCAATGCAACTGGCCTGCGAGGGCCAGGGTTAGATCCGCGATAATCTCATGCGATTTTATGGGACATGTTCGTGGTTCATTTGAGTGCTCTGCGGTCAGAGGAACGTGCGCATTTAATTTCGCGTCGTGGCATTCTGATGAAAGTTGAACTTTTTCTTTAATTTCTGCATCGTGGAGAGTGTGCTTATCAAAATCCTGTTGCTGGAATTTCTCTTCTTTAGGAGAATTAGATCCGATTGTAGATCTTATCTAAAAGGGCACTATTTTAATCGGACCTACATGGCCACGGTAGGAACGTACGCTGCTTGAGGTCTTAGAAATCTTGGTCTTTTTCGGATGGATAAAAGGCGGAGAATTGATTTGTTGGTCGCCCGGCTGATGTATTGGAACGTTGCAGGTGCGCCTGGGATGTCTCGTCGCGCGGCGACCACCATGAATTTGTTCCCGATTTGTGAAGGCGGCGACGCCGAATCTCGGAATGTTAAGTTCATGGATTTGTTCCCTCAGCAAGCTGGGTTTGGTTCCACCAAGGAAGACGTCTCTAAGACGAACAATTCCTGGTGTGCTCACTTTTCCTTCCCTGTTTTGACATTAGGGAATTTTTTTTAAGCCTGATTTTACTGGAGGGGTAGGTTTAGGTGGTTGTGATTCTTTCGGATGATAGATGTTAGAGAAACTTAACTGTTGTTAATGACGTGCATAATCAACTTCTACAGTCTGGATCTTCTTAATTGCTACGGGTGAAGCTTTGCTTTTGTGAGATTCTCATGGTAGAGTTCGACTAGGAGGTCTGCTGCGAAATATCGTTCATCAATTGACTGGAGTTTCTTGATTAATTTTGCAGTTCGAACAAGAAGGAACCTGAAACTGCACAGATGACTATTTTTTATGCTGGGCAAGTGATTGTGCTAAATGATTTTCCGGCGGATAAGGCAAAGGAAGTCATGCTCGCAGCTAGCAAGGCAAGTTCTGTGAGCCAACATGTGGCCGCGGCGCCCAACTTGGCAAAGTCGAAGCCTGCTTTTGCTCCTAACTATGCCAAAAATCCAGTTGAATCTGGGGGTGTAGTTTCTTCGAGTCCCATTCCTGTTCCTGCTCTGGGTGCAAATGCGATCCAAGAGCACATCCGTCGCCCCACTGAGCCTCTTGCTTGTAGTAATTTTCTGACTAGTTTCTAGATTACTGCAGATCTATATGTTTATAGTTATGACTACACCTTTACCCTTATTCTCACCTAGTCCATTTCTGTTCTGGTTTTGCAGATTTACCAATTGCTAGGAGGGCTTCTCTGCACCGGTTCTTGGAGAAAAGAAAAGACAGGTAAGAATCCAAGGCGATTATTCAGTCACGGGTTCTTATTCTCCTTCACGCGAGTCATACATAGCTTTTAGATTTGGAATCTGCTTAAATGTTCTGAAGAGAACTCGTGGCGGGTGTCGGTACGTAAGGAAAGAACTTCTGTTGAACTCAAGTTATTCTGGGCTCTCTGGTGTCCTGCTGCTAAGCGAAACGCGTCCATCCGTAGATTGTTATAGAGAGACATTCTGTTCGTTCAGACAAATTGATCTTGTTGGTGAATTTCTACAGGCTAACAGCAAGAGCACCTTACATAACGGCCAGCTCGGGGTCAGCGGCAGCTCCTCCTCCTAAGCCAGCGGAAACCAACCCGTGGCTCGGCTTAGCTGCTCAGCCCACGCGGTAGTCGCCACGGACAGAAGAGATAGATTAATATACATAATTTCTCTTTCGGGATTCTTCTTTTATAGATCTAGATATAGATCGAAAGATTAGCAAAGCCGCCCCGCGGGGCGCGCTCCTCATCTCTTCTGCAAACTACAATCTTTCGCTCCGGGGCTCGGCCGTATGTAGCGAGCCTGTCACTATAGACCTAACTCTTGCTACTATTTTTTTTCTTGCACTATCAGGACTCCTCCTCCCGTTTGATCCCTTCGGATGTAATCTTTTTCCCTATTCATGAATCGAAATTATTGGAAGAACCCCTGGTCTGGTCCCTCTCCCTCTCCCTCTCCCTCTCCCTCTCGCTCAGTACGAATCCGTAGTTGTCTCGAGCGGTGGGCATTCTCGTTTGGCAAAAGATTTTAAGATTCCCTGTCTTTGTCTTCCCGTGTCAAGGCTTCAGCACGGTATCGTCAAAGCGGGGTGTAAGGGGAGGAAGCAGAAGATGCCTGAAATGCCCCCGATTTGAAAAGGGCATAATTCATATGATTGCCTAGGAAAAGGGGCAAAATTAAATTTAGGCGTGCCTCCTATTTTTCCGTCTCGTCTTGATAAAAAGAATTTATAGCGAAAAAATTTAATCTATATCCATTAATTTAATCCGAAGGTGTTTATTTTTTTATATAAAGGAAAAGCACGCGGCTTTGAAGTTTGAACACGGGACTTCTACCACGCGACGGCCTAGGTGGGGTGGGGAACATTAAATAATAGGCACGAAAAAAGCTCGTGAGTGGCCGACACTCCATCGCTTCGGTCCACGTTACGCGACAAAGTCGAGAGAGGTTAGGTGGCCTCGTGGGCGTCCCTCCAACACGTTCAGACAATAATAGGAAGCGAGTCATAATTCCCCCCCCTTCCTTTCTAATTAAACAATGATTTCATATCCCATAAAACTCTAAATTACACCCGTTGTGCCACAAATGAAAACCACAAATTTCGCTTATTGTGACGCAAATATCTTGAATGGAACCGAAATAGGAGATATATATATAACATATGTATAGTCTCGAATTTTTCCGTGACACAAAAAGTTGTGGGTATTTGAGTTTAGGATTTTTGGTGGTATAAAAAAAAAATTCGAGGCATTTGCGTCACGCATAATTTGAGATTTTTTTACGGTATTTTCCTTTAAATAATTGATGATAAAAAGGAAGCATTAAGTCCCAATTTCGATCACATTGTTCACGTCATGTACTTTTCTTGTAAAGGTACCCCACCCCACCCACCACCGCCCCCGGTCAAATTTCATTCCCTCATGGTCACGCACGTCCAAATTGTACTCCATCGGCATCGTTCGGGCCCCCTTCACATGCCCAATGTTTGAACGTGGTGGGGTCGCACCCGATTATTCTACTGTTTTTTCTCCAAAGAACAGGCTCGTTGATTCCTCTCTCGCTATCAATAGCAACGAATGAAAAAAAAAAATTCTGCATCAGAAAGGAAAAATTTCGAGGACCCGCTTCGTCCGAATCCCAATTTCTCCTCCCTCCTCCTCCCTTTCAGCTTTGAAATTAGGTGGGTGTCGTTTCTTCAGCAAAGGATCTTTTGCGCCGAGTGCGTTCGGATCGGTTTTGTCCCGGCTTCTCTTGTCGTTTGCATCGAAAGAGAAGGTCGGAAAGCAAAGATGGTATCGCGGTTTCCCTAATGACTATAGCTCTATTCTTGTCTGCTGTGTAAAATTACGTTAAAAAAAAAAAAAACAAAAGGAAACCCACTAGTCGCGTGGGCGGGATCGATCGTAGCGTCGCGCCCGTGCATCTCCGATTTGCTTAAAATGCGTTACTGCGTGGTCAGTATTGGGGTGCGGTTCATACTTCCCATCGATAAGAAGGCACGAGAGTCCCGCTCCCTGGCAAGCCGGCGGGGGTCCGGGGAGACTGCCCCGGTAGAAGTTACGGGGGCAGAACCCCTGAGCAGCTAGAAAGCTTTTATAATTTGGGCTCGTATTTTATTGGTATGGGCTCGTGAATAGCTACCGTGCCGCATATATATATAATCTCTTTAAGAGGTGCTAATTATAGCGAAATCATCTGTTGTATATAACCCTAGTTTAAGGGTGAATTAGGATAAATATTGTGCTTCGATTTCTCTTTCTCGTCTCTACTCTATTTTTCGTCGTGTTCGTACGCCTAATCCTAATAGTCAGTGAACGCAGAGAATAATTGCACGTGTGATGCATAGTGTCCTGTAAATTCCGACCGATAGGCGACGATCGATCGGTCGAAAATTTCGGAGTGTCGGGAAACGAGATGGGTAAGTTTAAACTTAAGTTGTAAGCATGTGGTTTTCCAGAAAGAACCGGTTTCGTCTGATGTCGAGGGAGACTTTGGAACCTACACCGGCTCTCCCAAAAATGAAGATCAATGGAGAACTTCATCTTCCAAAACTCGATCTTGAATTTTGCGATCTCAACCCTTGACGTGCATTAAAAAAATGGGTTTCTTGTTGGGAAAAAAACATAAATGCTATCTTGTTGTCTTTATTAGGTGCAAAGTCGGATCGGTCCACAGAGGAAGATCGTGGAACGGGAAGGAAAATGCAAGCTCAAATGTCCAAGTAAAGTAAAACCAACCTAACCTTTTTTTTTGACTTGCACGACACTAGACGAGCCAAAGTCAACATATTTGGAACTTAAATAAGTTTCTTTGTCCCACATGAAAGAAACTTTTAATGGTTTTTTAAAGTTAAACCCCGAAATCTCGGTTTAATTTAACTTATAAGTCATATCACGGACCTTATTCTTGAAACATCACGTGGGATGACATAGAACTCACATCTCGATTATTATAATATGATTAGGACATCGATCTACATGGAGCAATTAGAAGCCATATAATTTCTCAAATTTCCATAATTACTTGATTTAATACCGCATCAATTGCCAAAGTTGTGTTTGTTCGTCCGGATTCGGATTGAGATCGGATAAGATGGGACATGATAAGGTAGGATCAGAATTCCTCTTGATGGTAGAAAGTCCTATCGTATATTTGGTGCAACCTATGATAGGATTGAAAATATTTCGGACGTACTGTGTTGTGTTCAGCTGCTCCGGCCTTCACCCTGACGCTCCTTGTAGTGCCTCGAGTTTGCTATCCTGTCCATCACCCTCTTGATCGGCTTCCTCGTGGTCGCCGTTGTATATGCAACCCTCACTCGACAGCCGCAACCCCTTGTTTACGTCGCAGAGATGGAGAGGTAGAGCTCGACGGGATCGATCTGGGTTGCCAATTGGTTGAACAAACCCGAGAGATTGTGCAAGCTTGAGTTGTCACTGTTACCTCAGAGTCATTTTCTTCCCACTCGGATGGAAGAAGAAGTGAAGCCCAGACAAGTGTGGAGCAACAACTTTAGGGGTGTCAATGGGTCGGGTCGGGTCAGGCTTTCATGATATCCGACCCGACCCGAAACCAATAGGGTCGGGCTTGACCCGGCCCCAGACCCTGTTCAGCGTACACCATAAGGCCCGGGTCGGGCCGGACCGGGCCGGGTCGGGTTTGGGTTTTTTTTTTTTTTTTTTTTTTTTTTTTTTTTTTCGAGCTTCGCATAACTTCCTTCTCTAAGTTTGATATGCTTGAAGTTTGTCTGCAAGCAAGCAACCAACTCTAAGGCGTTCATCCATCCGGCTTCCGAATTAAAAAAGCATAAACAGAAATAAGTGAAAGCGAGACATTCTTGTACTAAGTTTGTTTGCAATTTTTACTGCTGCTACAGTGTAATCCCATGTGGCTAGGTTACCAGCTGAGCTCATTTCAGCAAGAAGCAATAGGCCTCTACCTCGAGGCATAAAGAGATGCAAAACACATTGTTCCATTCTATGGACAGCACAAAGGCTACAAGGAAACATCAATTCAAGTGAGCCTGATAATAACATCTACTATTGGCATCAATAAGTAAATAGAATAGTCTTCAGAGTAACAAACAGATACATCAACCTTCCAGGAACCATTCCTTCGCAGGAAATAAAAAATTCAGATATTTCTATCATCTAGCAGTGCAAGTATGTGAAGCTCTAACATCCAGTTAATCAGGCACTTAACGAATAGGTTATCTATCTTCTACAAAACTGTAAATATTTTCTATCTATTAGCCTAGGGACACTGACTATCTGTTCAAAGCACAAAATGGCTGAGATAGGATATCCATCAAGAGACCGTCTGACAGAATTCTATAACAGCAAAAAAATTAACTTCAAGAATTGGCCGGTAAAATGGGATACAAGACAGTTAACTTATAACTGCTCCAATGATAGTAGAGTTTCAAAAATCTCCTTGAAAAGTTTAAATAACAAGATCATATGATAAGAGTGCAAAATCATGAAAGGCAGATGAAAAAAAATTTGTGTCAATTTTTCAATGATTATTCGTAATCCTAGTTTTAGGAAGGGATACCAACTGCATCAAAGCATACAATATAACAGCATTCCTCATTTCCCTCATCCCCCAACCCCCAAAGGAAAGGAAAAGAAAAGAAATCGATTCCGCTAAAGAAAGCCTTTGTCCAAGTCTCCTTGAAAATCTTCCTTTCATCAGCTCTTCTTCCTAAGATAGACAATCAACTTACTGAAAAATTGAATTTAATTGTTAGCACTCCTTCAGGTACAAAAGTTCAGTTTCTTTTTTTTTTTTCTCTTATCTTTGAAGGACAGGTTCAAAAGTACAATATACATGAAATGAAGGAAGTTCCAAACCACAATGGACAAGGCTTGGCCATGATACAATATCAATAGACATCATAAACCAAGTGACAAAGCAATGTCCATGGAGTTGCTGTTCATGCGTCACCTTGGGTGGGTAATTCAGGGTTCATCATCGACCCCATTAAAACTACTGGTGCTGCAAGTGAACCCAACAAGGCTTTGTGTTCTTCCCAAAAGCCATACCTGCCGTGTCAATGTCTTCAGGACGACACACTTGCCCTTCCTTTGTGAGTCCAGATCAATATTGGCACCATCTTCCTCAGCCTCATCCTCAGGGTTCATCTCAAGAATCTTTAAGCACAATAAATTCCAATCAGAGGATAACTCAAAGCAAGAAGGGAGACAACGAGCATATTATACGAGGAACACATTATCATCACTCATCAGCCAAGAAAACACACTACAGCTATAAACTCTCGGAGAAAAGACCTCAGTCAGCCCAAAATACAAAGACATCATGCGAGACGTAACTTGCCACACCCCGAATTTTCAACAGAGATTTGTCAGTGACAGTCCCCAAATCACGAGCACAACAAGAGCCCTTCAATCAAACCCGTTTTACAGTCAAACCAATTCCGAAAAGTTACCTCCACAATGTTGCCGACCAGGTAAGGGAGTTGCTTGTTGAGCTTAATCTTCTCTTGGTTCTCCTATATCTTCTCCTTATACGACTCCAGCTCCAGATTCGTCCTCTGCAGCTCCTCCTGTCACCACAAACCAAAAAAAAAACCAATATCCCATCAAAACCCCCCATCGATGCACCGACTCAAATCACTAGATTCGAAAACAAATTACTAAAGACCCAACAAACAAGCAAAGCTCGCGCTACAAGCCCTAGCAATCCAATCGAAGCCATCGACATCCGCACAAGCTGAGGGAGATAGAGACGACGCGACCGACGACAGGGTACTTAGCTTCGAACTTCTTCACCCACATGATCAGTGTATGGCGGAGGACGGCGAGTCGAACAGGGGAGAGGCGGTGGTCGGCATGGGGTCCATGGACTCGACAGAGTCCCGCTAGGTGTTCCAGGACGAGGACGATTCGGAGATCGAGGGCGACGAAGAGGGCGACGACGACGACGTTAGACCTAGGGTTTTTTCATCCTGCAGTGCTATGCGCGCAAAGAGGGGAGAGAGAATGGGAGAGAGACTCAGAGAGGGAGAGTCAATGGGTCGGCCCAGAGTGTCAATGGGTGGGCCTGATTATACCCCAACCCTAATGGTACCACAAGTTTTAGGGTCAAATTGAGACCCGACCCCAAAATATCCCAAATTTTAGGGCCGAGTCGGGCCGAAGCGGTCCGGGCCGGGTCAGCCCGGGTTTTGTTGACACCCCTAGCAACAACAGCAGGAGCAGTGAAGACCGGACCAAGTCAACTTCGGTTTTTTTTGGTCAAAGACCAAGTCAACTTCAGACTACTTCTGACTTTAGACTACTTTTTACTCTCGGTCGGTGGAACACGATTGGTGGTGGTCGGAGACGACGGCGATCGCCGCGGTGGTCGGAAGTGATGATAATCAGCTATCATGGTGGTGGTCCTTGTGCGGTGGCTGGTGACGTAATATCCGCATGCGTCCCTCCATCAGTAGAAGATAAACTTGTTTTTCTTGTCTTGGTTTGGTTAAGCGATTTTTAATTTTTATCATCCAATCCGGGTTTATCCCCACCCCTGCCCCAGATTTCTTATCCGGCATTTTATCCGGATTTATTCAATCCGGAGGATGTCGTCAAACATTGAATAGGTGGACTCAAATTCGGACTATCAAACGTAACCCAAATGCAGAAGCCTCGAAAGCAACACGAAAGCAAATTTTCCTTCCTTTGGGACTATTTAGCCCAAACACGAGACATTCTCGTGGTTCAATGTAAAATAGTACTGTAATTTGACACAACATGAGTAAAGACCGCGAAATCACATGAGAACAATTTATCGACAAACCCTGAATTAGATACGACGTAAACGTAATTAAACTCCACCCCGATTGACTCGGGTTCTTTTTTGAATAGAAATTCATTGCGATCGGCAAAATTGGACCTAACATAGTAGTAATAGTGCCGCTAATGATGTTTGCGCGTAACATCTTTTTCCGATCAAACTCTTTCGCTTTTAACCCGTCCAATGAAAATTAGTTTACAAACTCTTCAATCGAGTCCCTCCGACACCAGATCCAGCCAAATCCAGCCGACGTGGCCGGTCGGACAACGAATCTGATAACGGGTGATCACCTTTCATTGAAAAAGGATTATTTACTTGGCAAAGGATTTGTGTCTGGGCCGAACTCGCGCGTGCAAGGATTGGGCTAAGGCCTTGTAGTGGCCCATAAAATTAGGACCGGGCCCAATCTCGGGCTCAAGATACTGCACCTCACAAATTTGGGCCATCGGCAACATTTTTGGGCTTGGGCTGGCTCACCCTTCAGCAACCTGGGTCAATATGCTATCATTATTTTGTTTTATTTCTTTGTTGAAATTTTTCTAATTTTCATTTCGCAGAAAATAAGCAGCTCGGAATTTTTTTTTCCTTCACCGTTAAAAAGCTAGCCAAATGAAAAATAATAAGAATTTATCCGTAACATAGTGAATGCTTTAACTCGTTTTCTTAAATTATATAAGTAATTTTGAATTTTTTTTGGTAAGCCATTGATATTTACGAAATAAACGGTGCCCTCCTCTATAATCTCCGATTCCATCATAAAAAAAAAGAGATAAAAATCTCGAAAATTTGACCCGAAAGTTCATCATGTCGCTATTCGTAATAAAAACTACGATAAGAATCCATTAGAAACTTCTATGGTAGTTCGAGCTTTTTCTCTTTATTTTTTCTCTCTCTCTCTCTTTTTGGAAAAATTCCAAATAAGGACATGAAATACCCTTATTTTTTTGAATAAAAGCCTGAAGTAGATCCTGTTTCAAATAAGAGCATGAAGTGCCCTCATTTTCTCAAATAAGAGCCTGAAATGGCTATGTCGGTTTCAAAGAATGGCATAACTTTTCGGATGGTAAGGGCATTTTCGTCATTTATCTTTCTTTCTTTTTAAATTCCTTTTTTTATTTTTTCTTTATTTTTTCCTTTTTTTTAGTTTTTCTTTCTTTTTTCCTTTTTCTAGTTTTTTCTTTTTTCTTCGCTGGTCGCCGGCGATGGCCAAAGAGTGCTAGGCGAGGGTCAGCTTGCTAGTGGTCGGCAAGGGATGGCCTCACCTAAGCGAGGCAGGTCTCGCCTTGGTAAGTTGATCCTCGCCCGGGTGAGGCTGGCCTCACCTAGGCAAGGTAGGTCTCTCCTCGGCAAGATTGGCTTGCCTATTGCTTTTGAGGGCGATCCTCGCTTAGCCCTCTTTAGGCATTGCTGGTGATTTGTCGCCGGCCAACAGAGAAGAAGAAAGAAAAAAACCAAAAAAAAGGAAAAAAAGAAAAGAAAGGAAAAAATAAAGAAAAATAATTTAAAATTGAGATTGTCTTTGGATGAAAATATCCTTGACTAGTCGAAATATTTAGTTGGCCAGTGACGGTGAGGTCAAACCTTTTTTTGAGATTGCCATGGCCACTTTAGATCCTTATTCGAGACTAAAATTATCACTTTTGACCTTTATTTGATACGATGTCCACTTCATACGTTTATTTGAGAAAACGAGAGCACTTCATACTAGGGGTGTGCAAAATGAACTGTCTAAATCATGAACCACTTGGACTGGACCGAACCGAACCGGCTGGTTGGGTTCAGTTCCCAATTCCTAAAAGTAGAACAGGATTTCAGGCGGTCCGGTTCCCCATTCCAAGGGTGAACTGGACCGATCAAATCTCACTGACTATATATATATATATATATATATATACTTTTTTTATTTTTTTATTTATTCTTAAAAATTAGTAAAATGTGAACTAAACTGTAAGTGAACTTCATTGACATAAATTCATTGACAAAAAATTAGTAAAATGTGAACTAAATCCTAAGTGAACTTCTTTGACATGAAGAATTGATAAAAATTAATAAAATGGGAACTAAACCCTAAGTGAACGGTTCCATTGGATCGGATCGGAACTGGACCGGACCACCGATTTGGTCTGGTACTTGGTTCCAAGGAGACTGCATCGGGAACCGATGACCCTTGTTTCAGGCTCTTATTTGGAAATTTTCCCTTTTTTTTGATAAAATAATTTTTTTTTTAAAAGAACTTAATGGAAATGAAAGGTCTGATGAGATCCGCGAGATGGAGACTTCACAGCTTTTCCCCTCGTCTCTGTAATCTAATCCCCATCTGCCCTCCCCTCCGAGGGTTTCCATCTCCTTCTTCTTCTTCCTTCTCTCTTTTTCCTCTTTCTATTTCCTTTTTCGATTGCGATTCTCCTCTTCTTCTTCTTCGTTCTCCTTCTTCCTCTTCCTCGAGCCCTAAATCCGGCAGGAACCACCATCTCCGTAGCTCCGAGCTCCGAAGATGCAGCAGCAGCAGCAGCAGCAGCAGCAGAGGCTGAGGCAGCAGGCGATGATGCAGCAGTCGCTCTACCCTCATCCCGGCCTCCTTGCTGCTCCCCAGGTTCCTCTTCCTCCCGTTTTCCCCCGCCCCCCTCGGTTTCTCGCTCGATTGCGCGGTTCTCGTGCGGGGTCTACGCGTGTGCGGTCTCGTCGTTGTCGTGAAAAATGCTTTTTGCTTGAGAGTCGCGGAAAATGATGTCGTCGCTCTCGATTATCCTCCCTGTTTTTATGGACGGTCGTGCATTTAGTGTGCCGATCGAGGTCGTTTGCGAATTCGAGCGTTACGTGTTCCGAAGAGATTTTTGATTTCGAATGCTCTTGTTTTTTTTTTTCTTTTTCTTTTTTTTGTGGCGTCGTTCGTTGGTCATGTAATTGTCAGGTCCTCGGAGTTAAGATGCATGTGTACCGTTTCTAATTCGTCGATAGTGGTTGAAGAGCGAGGGGGTTGATCATTTGAGGCTAGAGCTGCGACACTGTTTGGATTTCAAGCTGATGTTCTTAATATTGGGGCAGTTAATACCGTTTCTTTGACATGTGAAGTACATGGGGAGTGAGGGAAATCAATCTGGGTTGAGGAATATCAGGAATTTAGTGCAATTTATTGCCGTAAATTGTAGAGAAAGTGAAGAGTGCACACATTCATTATTTACTTAGTGATAATTTACTGAGAGATACGTTTGATTTCTGGGGTGGGGTGGGACTTAGCACTTAAAGTCTGGGAGTCTAGATCTTTTTGAAATTTTTGGGTACTTTTTTTTTTTTTTCCCCTTCTTGTTTTTTTACTTTTTTATTTTGCAGATAGAGCCTATCTTGAGTGGGAATCTGCCTCCTGGCTTTGATTCAAGTACATGCCGCAGTGTGTGAGTGCTGTATAGAAATTTTCTTTACAATTTTTTTTTTTTTAGTTTGTTTTATTCCTTTTTTGCTTTTTGGTCTTGCTTTTAACATTTGTAGCTATCCCTTTTCCTTTCACGCCTTTGGTGAGGAAAATGATCAGCCAAATTTGTTGTTTCCAAGAGCGAACAATCGATTCAAGGGAGAGCAGCATCAGCATTCAGCTTATTTGCGTACTGCAAATTGTTCCCACTACAATCTAATGGGTCATATCTAATAGAAACTATGGTTTTATTGACAGTAATCTTGTCAGTCCAGTGTGTCTCACCAGCATACTATAGTTGACTTTTCTTGTGATCTTGATTTTAACGCTTGTTGCTGTTTGTGATGAAATTTAGGTATGTGGGAAACATTCACCCTCAGGTTACAGATCTTCTTCTTCAAGAGGTTTTCTCTAGTACTGGTTCCATTGAAGGGTGTAAACTAATCCGGAAAGAGAAGGTCAATTTTCGTGTTTCTGAAATTTGATTTAGGATCTTTTCAATTTTATAGAAAACTTCAATTGTCTTTTGTACCCAAAGCTTCGGGTACGGTCCATTTCATAGTACATGACTTCTTATTATTTCTATAAATTCTTTCTGTACAGTTAAGCATCGATGTTGTTCCTGTTTTGATTTCTTTCGCTTATAAAACTTCTGGTGTAAACAGTCATCCTATGGATTTGTGGACTACTATGACCGGAGATCTGCTGCCCTTTCCATTGTGACTCTCAATGGAAGGCACTTGTAAGTTGAAAAGGTTGCACTATACTGCTTGACCTTTACATTGTCCTGGATCCTAACACCATGTTCGCAGGTTTGGTCAACCTATCAAGGTTAACTGGGCATATGCTAGTAGCCAGAGGGAGGACACATCAGGTTTGTTGACATAAATGTGAAATACTCTTTTCATTGCTGCTCATTTTGCACAGACGTGGCTTATGCTGCTTTTTAGTCAGGCTTCTAGATAATGGTTTTGGATCTTTTTCGCTCTTCAATGCAGGGCATTTTAATATTTTTGTTGGTGATCTAAGCCCAGAGGTTACAGACGCCACATTATTTGCGTGTTTCTCTGTTTATTCTACTTGCTCGTAAGCCCCATTCTCCTTTTCCTTAATTAACTTGTGAACAGTTGTGCCGCAAGGATCTTGTGATCGTGATTGAACTAATTTGATCTATTTATTGACACAGAGATGCTAGGGTCATGTGGGATCAGAAGACTGGACGTTCAAGGGGTTTTGGTTTTGTTTCATTCCGAAATCAACAGGTGCTGGAGCAGTTTGATTGAAGTACTTTTCTGTTTGTTTCTGGTTGCATTAATCATTTTCTATGCACTGATGATGAATTTCTTGTTTGAGCAGGATGCCCAGAGTGCAATAAACGATATGAATGGTATGTCTTCATCTACGTCACTCGGTCTTTCTCAATATATGTACTGCTGTTGAGATTGCATATTTGTATTTAGTTATGTTCGAGATATATTCCTCATGACTCACGCAGTCATATTCACCTGCCTGTGGCCTAAGCTAGCTAACATATGCAAGCAAAAGCGACAAAGATCAACATGACAGATATAATAGTATGAATGCACTGTGTGTTGATGCTTCTATGTATGTTTGAAATCCATCTACTTGCTGATAGCAGAAGTTTATAAATTTAGAGCTTGTTGCGGTGACATTTATTGGAGGTTTGCTTGTACTGCTCGGTGTTGATAGCTTCCTTTTACTTAGTGGTTGATTGTGAAGATTGTCGATTCCCTCATCATCTTTTCCTTGTTTTAAGTCTACTACTGAACAAGCTTTTAAAACTTTCATGATACTGTAACACTATCAATAGTTCATGTTGCATGAACCTGCAACTCGTCTTTATTCTCTAGGGAAGTGGCTCGGAAGTCGACAGATCCGATGCAACTGGGCAACAAAAGGTGCAAATTCTGGTGAGGATAAGCAGAGTTCAGATGCCAAAAGTGTAGTGGAGCTAACAAGTGGAACATCAGGTGAAGTTAGTATGGATGTTGAACTTCAGTAATTTCTTGTGGTATTAATCTTGTTTATTTATCATCCCATAAATCTGAAGTGATACCTGTCTAATGAATATAGATGTAATTGGTGGTACATGCTTGTTATACCTATTGACATGGTACCTTCATTGCAGATGATGGTCAAGAGAGGACTAGTGATGATGCTCCAGAGAACAATCCCCAATACACGACCGTCTATGTTGGCAATCTTGCACCGGAGGCAAGAATTTGCTTCTCCCTTTTTTGGAACCGTGTTTATAGTTACCTTTTCTGTACTTGATGTTAAGCATTTCAGAAAATGTATTTTCTTTTTAATAAACAGCATCCGTACTGTCATGGTTTCTTTCTTTGATCAGCGAGTGAACAATAGCTCGGCTGTAAATTTAAACTTTGCACGCTCACATCTTCACTGGCTGCATTTCGTTGACTTTCACACCCACGTGTCTTCATCTGTTCTCACTAACGACTGGCTTGTATCGATTAATTCCTTTTATTCAGATACTTAAACTGCTTCTGTTATCTTGCAGGTTACTTCCGCTGACTTGCATCGACATTTTCATTCCCTCGGTGCTGGAGTCATAGAGGATGTTCGGGTGCAACGCGATAAAGGTTTTGGTTTTGTTAGATACAGTACCCACGGTGAAGCAGCGCTGGCTATCCAAATGGGCAATGCTCGGCTTCTCTGTGGTAAACCAATTAAGGTACATTGTTTTGGAAAGTCTTTTTTATGGCAAGCTAGAGGTGGTATAATGTGGTTGGATGTTCGATCGTTTACATATGATTGGCTTGATTTATTCACCATGTCCTGAATTTTAAACATTTAGATGGAAATGGAGTGTTAATAATTGGCAAAATTTGTCCAAGTGGAATTATTTTACCTGACTTGGGAGCCTGGTGAAATGTCTGCGGGCATCCCTGTAGCACTCATGAATCTTTTGGTAAAATGTTTTTGGAGTGAAATAACTTGGACAGAGGACTGGGCTTTGGTGGATGGTAACGAAATGGATGTCGTGATAGAGTTCAAATGCATTTTCTGGAAGGCTCTGTTTAGGGGTAGGGGACTGATTGAACAAAGCTAGTGCCCTTATTTGGCTGCAATTAGGGCTTTTTTCTGCAGTACACATCCTCCCTGGTTCTATGTTTTTGCAGTCCTGGAATCATCTTCAGTAGTTTTCTTTATGTGCCTGTTAAGTTTTGCCACTGCATTTATGTTTAAACAAGTCAAAGGAATTTGCATGTTGCTAGTGCATTGGATAATTTGATGCTTGGCTATTCTTGCTAAAAAGTTTTGGTGATTATAGTAATGTGATGCCCATGCAGTGTCTTCACATCAATATGAAATCATAGTATAGTATGGACGTGCTTATTTTTGCAGTGTTCGTGGGGTAGCAAACCTACGCCTCCGGGAACGAGTTCCACTCCTCTTCCGCCGCCAATGGTCCCACAAATGCCTGGTTTCTCGGCCGCGGAGCTTGCCGCCTACGAAAGGCAGATAGCACTGAGCAAAATGGCTGGCATGCAAGGCCTCATGCATCCTCAAGCACAGCACATGCTTAAGCAGGCAGCCATGGGAATGGGCGCTGCTGGAACTAGTCAAGCAATTTATGACGGTGGATACCAGAACGTAGCAACTACTCAGCAGCTTATGTACTATCAGTAATTATGGTGAGGTGGCCTTCTTCTTTTCCTTTTCGTTGTCATGTAGGGAGGAGGAATAAACCTTGAAGAGCCGGCGATTGATGTCGGACTGGCTTATTGTACTGGTGCGTGGATGCAGTTTGTATGGTTGACAGTGTGCTCTCCTATTCTCTATTGTAAGACTCTTAACATGATTTGCCTATTTGATAGTTATGGGGCTTCGGTATTTATATTATATAGAATTTCTTGCGTCTCCCCGCAAGGCAAAGGGAAAATAATTCGGCCATCCTCTGAGGAGATGAAAGATGCTGAGACTGCTCTGGCCACTTGGAGGAGAAGGGGGAAGCAAAATACGGTCATTATTGAGTGATTCTGATCCCTTTCGATGAAATCTACAGTGGCTCGTTGCCTGTGCCTCGTGCCATTTATTTATTATGCAAACAAGTCGTGAAAAGCCCATGGCGGCTTTGTTTCGAAAATACATTGATTGAATGCTTGTGTTATGAAAATGGAGATGACTGTAACTGTTGTGTGATTAGCACTGGTAAATTGTTTTGCTACGTGAAGTGTGCGTGAATTACTGGCACTTGCGTATCTGTGGTGGTTTGAGATGAGTAACGATAGTAGGAGGCTTGTGATCCATCCTCTCGGCCATTTGAATGAGAGTTGCCTTTTAATTTCCCAATACCAGTAGAGTCTCCGTCTTAGGGTTCTTTGAGAAATTATATTTCTTCCTGTAAATTTTCTGGACTCTCGCTTTTGTACAAACGTCACCTTGCCTTGTGTAGTTGAGTTTAAGTAATTTCCCGAAGAAATCCTATACTTTCACTTGGGAGCATTTCGACATATTCAGGTGGATCTATATTCATTGAAAAATTTAAGCCAATGAATTATTAAGAGTTAATTATGACATATTAACTACTTCACACTGCAACTCTTCGATGGAGGATTTTTTAAAAGTAGCTCACACTCACATTTTAATAATCTCCCTCTTAGGAGTAGGGGTGTCAAAAAAGCCTGAGCCGGCCCGGCCTGATCCAGCCCAGCCCGACCCTATTCTAAAATTTCGGGTATTTTGGGATTGGGCTTTAGTTTTCTTGGGGTAGTGTTTTTAGGTGTGGGTATTGTCAAGTTAGGGGTAGGGTCGGGCACGGCCCGCGTTGGCTTTTTGACACCATTAGGGCCAAAAGTAGTTCTCTCCCTCTGTTTCGTCCAACTACTGTTTAGCCATCATTAAACCGAAGGAGGGAGAGATTCACATGGAATTCCCTGGAACAAAGCTCGGCATCCTCAGAACCCGATTACCATGTCGAGCCCCCACCCCTCACGCTCGCTTGCTCCGCCCTTCTTCTCACTCCCCGAACCTCAGCTCTGCTTCGCACGGCTGCCGCTTCGGGAATGGAACCCGGCTCCAATTGCGCCAATCCTTTCGCCGATTCCACCAGCCGACGAGGAGGAACTCGAGAGCAAGGAAACGACGATTGGACGAAGAACACAGAAACCCTAGCCGGCGAGAACCTTCGGGAAGTTTGGGGACGACGCTCGAGAGCTTGGCTGACTCCCTCACAAGTCACGACTGTTGCTATTCCATGGAAAGGGAATAGCGAAAGGCGAGAGCTTTCTCCTTCTTCACTTGCGCTCTCTTGCAGAAGTCGTCTTCAATGGAGAAATTCGGGGAAGAGAGAGAACGAGGAGGAGAAGAAGAAAGAGGAGGCACAGACGGAAGTCCAGATGATTCCAAGCTCCTAAAAGAGAAACGTCGCTATCATGGTGATTTTTTATTATTATTTTTATCTTATTGATTTATTCCAAAATATTGACTCAACCCACAACCCACGAAACCGGATCCGGACCGACCCGACCCGACCCTTCTCTTGGTTTATATGCTAAAAAGGGTCGGGTCTCGGGTCGGGTCAAGCGTGACCCTATAGGGTTCGGGTCGGGTATCATCAAGCCCGACCCGACCCGAACCCATTGACACCCCTAGGTGTGAGTTCAATGGTAAGTCTATTCCACCTTAATTCAAGTATCCTTTTGTATAAACATGTCTCATTTTGAATGTCAATCCTAAATCTGCAACCTTAATTCAAGTATCCTTATGTTGAGAGCGTGCCCACGCTCACTTTCATCTTGAAACACCGATACATATTGAGCGCGAGTCATCAATCAACTAGTAGCTCTGAACCATTTGTTGAGAGCACGTAATAGAAATTCGATACCTTAACCTAGGGAGATTGCTAAGAGGGAGCCTAAGTTCGAGTTCGACAATATATCTAGTTTGATCCACTTTTACTCAAAAACTTAAACTAATACGTTATGAATCAATTAAGACATATTAACCACACCACACCACTTTCCTGACGTGAGACTTTTTAAATACACTTCACACGTGAATCTCGACATCTTCTCGTTTAACACTTACACTATCCTTGTATTGGACAAATAATGGCGTATGATTGTTATTGACAGAATTCAGTTGAACGTCTTTAGCTGTAAACAAAGTATGGTATTTTGAATCTATATGTCGTCAATTCATAAAGAGTTGCTGCTATAGAATCTAGAGAATTTTTTTTTTGGTCGAAAGCTATAGAATCTAGAGATTGAGGAGCAACAATAATCGGCTGCTGGACCTTCACTCTTGATAAAAGTTTGGGGTCTGAAGAACCTTGTTGAAATTTGGGAATAGAGGTATAAACACATTTCGGGCATTCAAGTTATCGATATACCGTACTGATAATCAAGAAAATGAATATTGAGTTGGCAATCCTTTTCTGCCGTGGAAACTGAGAGCAAGAGAGCAAGGCAAATTGCTCCAAAATGAACATGGGCATATAGCTGTTGAATCACGATGAGGAAATTCGAGAGGGATCTGGAGCGTAGTAGCAAGAATTCGATGTTGATCAGATCGATCGGACATGTTCCTCAACTTTTTGGCATTACGTAGAGAATGAGTTGTCTTACGGATTTATGGGTGAGAATCAGTCAGGTCGAACACAGGCGGAATACGAATGTACAAGCGAAATTATGTCTCGTCTTCATTACAAGAAATTTGGTAGTGATAATCCAGTTGAGAAGAAGTCGATCTGCATAATGGAGTTTAGGGATCGGAGGGAAAAATTGGACTGTCATACTTGTTTCCGAGATACAGAGCAGCCACTACTTCGGTGCTGTGCACCGTGATCGCTCGCGGAGCTGAGGCATCCATGGCGGTATTTCCTGCGTGTCAGCTTCACCGCGGCTGATACTGTCATTGGATCGTTCGACGGAACGATGATTTGCAGAAGCATTATGAAGAGAGACATCATTTTGGCCATTATGAACGTAAAGTCATACAGCTTATCCGATCCTTCTTTCTTCTTGCATAACATGCCCTCTCGTGTGCCTCTCTCATATAGGCTCTAAAAATTTCTCATCCGAGCAAAATTTGTTTGGATTCTTTTTTTTTTCTTTCTTTCTTTTGTTTTCTTTAACAAGGGTAAGCTAATTATGTTCTCATATGTGTAAGAGGAGTAGCCGGAGCCGTAGCCGCAGCCGGATTATGTACTTCTTCCTAGATCGCGAGAATGCTGGTCGAGAACATCCGTCCCTCGGAGTACCGCGATCCCGACCGGTCGGCGACTCTCGGAGCTTCCGATCTGCACTGTTCTTTACGTTCGTCCTTCGCGATTTGGGTGGACCGGCACTCCGCGCTACAGAACGCTTTCTCGCCTCTGCGTAATTCACATGAAAATGATTCAGTCAAAGCCTGATTTGAGTTCTCGCCTCCATAAAGTCAAAAGGGTGTTCGCTGAAATTCAAGCGGATGATCTTTCTTTCTAAAAGCCAGATTTTTGTGGAAAGGAGTCGAAAAGAGGGAGACTCCAATGTTGTTGGTTCCTGCAATCCAGGAGGACTTTGAAAGACTCCGGGTCAAACAAGGTCAATCAAAATGGCAGAACTTGACTCACGGATCAAACGATACCACACTGATTCAAACAGGAGCAAAGGGTACTTCATACGGTCTACTCATTGGATCTGTATTGAAGATTCAATCCCTGATCATTTCTTTCGTTCTTAGTGAAATTTTCTTTCAGAATTCAGAGAACAGAAATCAAGAAGTTCACGCCCAGAGCAACTTTTCAAGCCAAGATTGACCATGGCTGGCCTCTGTAATGGATGAAATCTATGACCAGAAAAGAAGAGGAGAAGAAGAGGAGAAGAAGAGAAGCTCCAATGAAGATTCGCGCGAATCAAAGAAGAAAGGAAAGAGCTTGCGGTACCTGTACATGTATATGTCTACGCCGTGGAGCTTCTTCCCACACAAATGGCAAGAATTGAGGAAGTCCAAAGCCTGAAAAACTGGACCCTCCCCTCCTCCTTCTCCTCCTCCGACGCTCCCCGCTCGTCTCATCGACTCGCCGAGCCCCCCGCTCTTGCCGCACCCGCCGCGTCCGGCGGCGGCCCCACCGCGCTCGCCCTCCCCGCAGTACACCATCGTGAACGACTGGTTCGGCCCGTGGAAGGTCACGTACGTGTAGTCCTCCATGTCGTCGTCCGCCCCCGCGCGTGCTCCGGCCGAGGAGGGACCCGACCCGTTCGCGCCGGGCCGGGCCGAGCCGTGGCCGCAGGCGGCGCAGCCCTTGGGGAGCAGCAAGATCTTGGCGTCCCCGGGCTTCTCGAGCGCCGCCACGATCCCAAGCCCGACCCCGCCGAGATCGTAGCTCCTGGGCCCCCGCGGCGACTGAATCTTGAAGTCCAGCGGGCTCCTCGGGCTGGGCGCCGCGGCGGCGGCGACGGCGGACTCCAGGAGGCCGGCACTCCGGGAGACGAGGAGCTCCGACAGCTTCCCGATCACCGACCGCGGCCTCTTGCCCAGCATAGCTCCGGATCGAAGGGTTCTCGAGGTCGGAAGAAATGGTGGTGGTGGTGGTGGTTGTGGGTCGTCGTCGCCGTCGCCCTCTGCAGCTCTTCTTCTTCTTCTTCTTCTTCTTCTTCTCTCTTTCTCTGCAATTTATGACGGGCGAGTCATCTTATAATAATAATTGCGGAGTTATCTTTCCTTTTCTTTTTTTTCTTTCTTTCTTTTCCTGCCTTTTCTTCTTCTTCTTCTTTTTCTTATAAAAAAAAGTACCCAAGTTGCGAAAAAAGTCAGTGAAAAGTAATTAAGCTTTTTTTTTTTTTTGGATTTTTCCGTGGAAAAAGAAAACGAGAGGGGGAAACGAGAGGGGGGAGATCGAGACTCCTTAAAGTAGAGTAGGCAGCGGAATATTCTCGTACCGTCCGATTTCTTTTTTTTTTTTATAAGAAAATAGAATAGGCAGATCTCTCCTAATCCTCGACCGTGTAAGAATAATCACCAAAAGCGTTTACGTTCTCAGCTTGGCGCGAGTAATTAAAGATGGTCGCGTGGGATGCGATGAACCGAATCTGGGCACAATAATAGGTGCTTTATTTTCGCCACGGATCTGTCTCGATGGGCATTTACTGCGTAATCAATTGAGGAACCTTTTAAAGTTTTCCGAGGGCCACCCGCTCCCCCGCTCCCCGTGAAAATCGATGCTCCCCCCGAAGTCGTACCGTTCCAAAACTAATTGTGCTCGTTTAAACCTATTCCCAGAACACCCGTCAATCATTTTCGCTGAATGGCTTTCGGAACTGAACCCGTCCTATCGTACCGCTCTTTATTCGCCATTTAAAAAAAATGTGAATGAATGAATGGATGGACGAACGGATGGATGGATGGGCGGGTGCTAATGATAGTTCGCCTTCATGATTCGTTGGGTGGTTTAGCTGGAAAGATATATAAAAGATAAAGAGACGGGAAAGAAAGATGGGAAGTGATGGGGCAGATAAAAGAAAAGGTTTTTTTGGCATTATTTAATAATGGAGCGGTTGGGACCAAAACCGCCCCCCACACACCCCCCAAGTGGTTTTTGGGAAATCTGTGAGTGCCGAAACTCGCACGGAAGAGAGAGAAGAGAGAGAGAGAGAGAGTGCAGAGAGAAATCAAATCTGGGCCCCCCCCGAATTTCCTCCTTATTCCCATAATTCAGATTCCACACCCCCCCAACAATTGATTGTTTTGCTTAAAATGTACCCCCAAAAAAATGTCACTTCTCAGTTGGGTCCCCCCCCCAACCCCCACCCAAAAAAAATAATTTAATTTCTTCTCCCACGTCCGCTTTATTTTATTTTATTTTTTCGATAACGTCCGCATCTGTGGTGGGCCCCAGCTCCCCCTGCCACGTCCCGCTCGGCCCGCGGTTTTGTGTGGCGGGCCCCACGCGGGGGGGGGTGGTGGGGACGAATGATTCCGAGCTCATCAGAGACGTCGGCTCGGGGGGGCCACGTGTCGGAGATCGAAGCCCGGTGGAGTACTGAAATGATTGCACCCTTTGGCGGGGGCCATGGGCCCGGGGGGGAAAGCGACGGTTTTGCTCTCCTTTGGACCCGAGCGTGGGATCCCGGGGCCCACCACCCAAAGGTTTTAACTTTTCCCAATCTCAACCCAACAAAAAAAAAAGAAAATCCGTTTTTTTATTCAAGCACTTCAGAAAAATAAGAAGTTAATATCATAAAAAACACCAAGTTGTTCTGCATTAATTTTTTTTTACTACTAAAAACCCTGAATTAGTATACCCATGACAAATTCATCTTTTATTAGTTTCCGTTAGATTTTACCATCAAATTTCTAAATTAGATGGGACGTGGCAGTTATCGGATGTATCGGTTTGGAGTTTTACTGTAGATCCATCGGTTTGTGATTTTTCGTGGTATTAATTCAATTTAACGGAGAGTAAATTTATCACAAGTATATCGGTTTGGGTTTTTTGGTAATCAAAAAATTAGTTTGGAGGTAAATGTGTCGCGAGGTGTACCGGTTTGGAGTTTTTTATGATCAAAAAATTAGTTTTGGGTAAATTTGTCACATGTGCACTAGTTTGGGGTTTTTCGTGGTATTTACCCTTAAAAGTTGTATATTAGAGGTTAACTCGAAATTTCATTTGTGAAAATAGTTTGCAAAATTTGTCGGAAAAATTAAAAGCAATTTCTTTTTCTTTTTTTTTCGTTTCAATGGACGAAGCGATACGTGCGGACAAAAAGGGCACTAAACCGATGCTTTCGTACTTTTTTTTTTTGGTGAGAAATGCGTGGCAATTATAGATGTCGGGGGAAAGTGACGGTGAATGCTCCGGAAAAGAGAGAATGGGGGAGAGTGATCTTGCCCTTTGTCAATTACCTGGAATGCGTTAGTGGGAACCGAACCGAACCGAAACGAATGGTCACGTTTCGAAACGTCGCGATTTTATAGCGATTTGAAGGGTACGTGTTACTAATGGAGCCCATGGTTTAGCAAAAAAACCAGGACGAAAAGTGGATGTGTGCACTAAGTGGCCAAAGGAAAAAGCGATTTGAGGGCAAGAGTAGCAATTTTTGCAATTGCTAGGTGCCCCTTTCTTTTTGCCACTTTTAGGGGACAGATTTTGTGCCTTGTTCTCTGTTGTGCCTTTTCCCTTTTAGCTTTTGGGAAGGAAGGCAAGGTCCTCCTCCAATTTCTTCCCCCTCCCAAATTGTCAATTCAAAGCAATGCTTGCTTTTGTAATTTCTCTCTCTTCCTTTGGGTTGTGGGAAGGAAAAAGAATATTTCTAAAGTTTAATACCACGAAAAACCCTAAACTGGTATGTCTGCGATAATTTTATCCTCTATTAGTTTCCGTGAAATTTTATAGTCAAATTTCACGGTTGGATGACATGTGACAATTGACGAGTGTATTAATTTTGGGGTTTTACCCTCCGTTTGTCATGGATGTATCAGTTTGTGATTTTTCATGATATTAATCCAATTTAACGGAGAGTAAATTTGTCATAAATGTACAACTTTGAGATTTTGGCAGTCAAAAAATTAGTTTGGGATAAATTTATCACAGATATACCGGTTTTGGATTTTTTGTGATAAAAAAATTAGTTTGGAAATGTATCAGTTGGGAGTTTTTTATTGTATTAACCTTATTTCTAAATATTTTGCTAGAAAGGGAAAATGTATCTCTTCCTTGGTGAATAGGGTTTATTTTTTTGGTGACAAGGGAAGGGAGCATGTCAATTCAAAAGTTGAAGCTCTTGAACTAATTTCAATTTTCTATATAGTTAGGGTTCGACGCTCTACTTATATCATGACCACAATCTTTTAGAGTTTTCTCCGTGTTGCTTCTACAATTCTCGAGCAATCATCTCTTGATGGGCTGTTAGTCATTGGATCACGACAGGAAATCCAATACTCCCAAAGGTCATATTTTCCGAAAATTTTTGTTCTTTTCGCATAGGATATTTAGAAAAGCTCCATGAAATAAATAAACCACTGAATTGGATCCAAATGGGTCCAATCGAGCAATATATGTGGTAATCCATCGACTGAGGAGTGAGGACCATTTTGGGAACAGTATCAATCTATATAATAATAATAATAATAATAATTTCCAGGTAATCTATGCAATAAATAAAAAAAATCGGTGGCCAGAAGATTTATAATCTTTTTTTTATGTAAAGGCTTTTGGAAATGGCCTCCGACATTGGGAACTGTGACCAAACAGAAAAAAAATCCAAAGCGTGTCAATCTTTTATTTGTTGGGTAAGCCAACTCACAGCGAACCGGTTGAGCGAGTCCCACCTAGCAATTGCGACATTCAATTTTCTTCCCTTTTCGTTTCTTTTTTTTTTTTTGCTTCTAAGGGAAATTTTTTTAAAAAAAAGAAGAAATAAGTTTCCAAGGAAAAATCCAAAACTCTGAGGTGTCATGATGTTGATGCGTATTGATATTTTTTGTTCTGAATTAAATAGTATTATATTGCGGTGAAAAGGAAATCAGCTTTATCGCCAAACTGGTTGGTGATTTGACAATTGCGCTAGGCTCCAAGTTAAAAAAACTATTTTTGGTGTGTTTTTGGTTCGACCCACTTAGGCCACATTGATAGCCAAACTCATCTTATGTGCTACATACAAATGTATGTGTACGGAAGCTCGTCAAGGATCCAAGACATGCCCCCGATTTTATTCTGCTGTATATAGAGTTCTAAACTTTTTAGAACATAAGGACACCAAAATTTTTTTTTTGAGACTTTTATTTTTATCATAAAATTCTAACCAACAGGTCCGCAGAGGGGCCATCCTTACATAGCAAAAGCCCAAAGGGCTTGTGGGGGAGAAGAAGTCCGGTCACGAGGAAGACACCGATTATTATGAGCTTTCGCAGCCCAATCCGCAACCATGTTAGAGCTTCTTGGGCCGAATTCAAGCCTAACAGACGGAAGGCCCGCGAGAAGAGAAGTGCATTCCGCGATAAGCAAACGCGCATCCCAGGGGAACTGATCCACGGAAGTGAGGATATGTATCAGATCTGGTCGGTCTAACTAAATACAAACTCTACCCAAACTCCTTCTCTGTACAAACCGAAGACCTTCAAGCAAAGCTAGGGTTTTGACTTGCGCTGGAGTGGAGGCCTTGACCGATCTGGTTTGACCCGTGACGAAGCTCCCAGTGAAGTCCCTACATATGCACGCAATGGCACTGTCATTTGTTCCCTCCTTGAGAGCGTTGTCAACATTAATTTTCAGCTCGCTTTTCTCCGGCACAACCCAGGTAAGATAAGCTGATGGTTCCTTGTTTTTTCCATCTTGCGAAGCCTAAAAATCCCATCTTTTGTAGTTTTTATGGCGAGATATGTGTTGATTCGACAGTAACCTTTGCATTCAATTCTTAGTCTCTGAATATTGCATCATTTCGAGCTACCCAAATGCACCATACTATCAATGCCACCACTTCAAGGGAAAGTACTAAGTTATGATTCTCTATTATACTCTCTATCTAGGCATCAAAATGGGTTATTCCCTGTAACGTAATTTGCAATTGAAGGTTAGGGGCTGATCATACTTTATGGGTCCAGGGACAGTAGGAGAATGTGTTCCACCATTTCCACTTCGCATCGACAGAGAAAACAGATAGGGTCCGATATGATTTTCCTCTTCCACAGATTCTCTCTTGCAGAGATTGCATTTTGGCATGTGCTCCATAAACAAAATCTTCACTTTAGAGTGAGTTTTTAAGTTCCATATTGATGTCCATAATGCTTTGGGTGGCTGAGATGAGGAGGAGGGTTGCTCTGTTCATTGGTACGATAGTGGATTAAATTGTGCAAACAACAACATTTCGAAAGACTTTTTTATATGGATTTTGATTCAGAAGGAATAGTTTCTCATCTTTCAAGATATCCTTTATTTTATTCTTAACAACAAATGTGATAAAAAAATGACATGTGTATATATATATATATATTGAACCTTTATATTGAACCTTTCTATTGTTTTGCGAAATAATACACAAATGTCCAACAAACGATTAGCAAAAGAAAAAAAAAGCTAATTCCAAAATCATTTCGAGTCTGGTAATTTTGCTATGCTAGAATCGTACTCTTGGCCCATCGTCTTCGGCCCAAAGAGTAAGCCCAAAAGGGTAATTCTCGTGATGTTAGATTTTCCTTGGAAAATAAACAGCTCCAGGATTATTTTTCTTGCTTCAAAACCAAGCCCAGTAAATAATCATCTTCAAGACATCGAAAATATAATTTGATTTCATGCATATAGATTGAGAAAATTACTTAATGCAAAGAGGCTTAATATTTCCATTAGCTTCAGATACATATATGTTAAATTGATTCCGATACACTGGTCAATATAAACAATTTAAATACAAAACTACGAGACTATTTCGAGTAGTAATTAACCTAAATATCACTATCCCATTAGCTTTTGATGAAACAAAGACTCATCCATGTATTGAGAAAGCGATTTGACTAGTCAAGTGGAAAAAATTAGGTCAAAACAATTACTTCTGTTGAATTTCCAAAACAGCCTTAATCATTTAAAGAGTAATTGGATATTCTCCAAATTGAAGATTGAGTTCAGATTAGTTAATCAAATTAATTACACTCCATTAAGTTTGAACAGAGCAAGTAGATTATCTTTTTCGACAATATTTGATGGAGATTGCATGCTTTTCACCGGTAAAAGTCTAAATAAAAATTTGAGATGCAGGTCTTTACGCATCAATCTTGGTAGCATTTTTGAGAATTAAAATTGACAAAGTGGAGAAACTTTTGAAAGCTAACAATAATGCTTAAACCTAAATATGTAGATTTTACTTATTCTTCTTATTTCTCACTTTAGATTTAAAAAAAATATATTATTTATTGATAGATACATACACCAATTTTTGGTTTCACTTTCCCTTTCATTTTCAGGGCTTTTCCTTCCCCATTTTATAAAATAGTCGGCAACGACCAAAATGAATTTCTTGGTCAATGCATGAAATGGCCATGGTTTAAGGTGGAGAGCGTGACAAAGACGTGCCTGACATTGGGATGAGCTAGTGTCTGAGATCGCAAAGGCCAAGTCCCGCGAGGTGAACGATCCTTGCAACTAAGAGGACAGAGATGGTGGTGATCATGGTGCACAAGGTCACCATTGGCTGAGGCTCCAGTTGCACACTTTGCATTCATGGATGCTCAAAGAGGAGGAGAGAGAGGGCAGCAGTTGCCCATACCGGAGTGGCAATGTCTCCTTTATCGAATGAGTCCAGCACAGGGTTTATAGTAATCATAAGTTGGATTGTGTGATTTGCATGAAGGAAGTTGCCAAAGGAGACAACTTGTTCACAAGGATTGCTCTCATAAAGTTCACAAAGATTGGATTGAAGCTTGGCTGAGCATACAACACACAAACCCTCAGCATCGGTAAAAGTTCTCACCAAGAAGTCATCATTTTTCTGTAGATTTTGATTGATCATGTGGATATAAATGAAGTTTCAAACAAGTTTATTGATGTTTATAAACTATAAAGTTTGATGGAGATTGCATGCTTTCCACCAATAAATCTAAAAGTAAATTTAATATGTGAGTCTTTATGCTTTTCAGCCTATTGAATCGTTTGCAGAATGATATTACGGGTAAATGGTATCATCTAAATAGATTAATTAATTTCCATAAGTCCAAACATACACACATATTTGTAGCATAATTTTTTAGAAGCGGTCTTTCTTTGCTTACAAGTGTCCGTATAGATTTTAACCTAGTGTACAGAGATTAAGAGTGCGTTTAGAAACCACCTTTCCAAAGTCTTTTGGGCTCTAAAGGCCTTTGGGCAAATGCAAGTACAGTTTCACAAATCATTTGCAATTGCATTTCTAAAGGCTAGGCCCAAGGCATGTCTGGAGGTGTTTTGAGTATTTCCGCAATGCAAATACATTTTTTTCTTTCAATTTTGCCCTCGTTGATCTTTCATAATTCCGGAAATGTCCCCACCTCACTGACGTCACCAGTGAGGGGCTGGCGTAGCCAGATCTGGTTGCTGGTGGCTGAGTTCCACCAGCAAAGGTTTGACAAATTAAAAATAAAACTAGCAAAAGTCATTTATAAAGTGTAATTTTTTCCAAACAGTATTTAAATCAAAACTACTTCCCAACGTATTTTTAAATTACATTTCACCAAACACTATTTGGTTTTTGGAAAAAAAATCTTTCTCCTTTGCATTTTACCACACCCTTTCCTCCAAAGGGATTCCAAACGCACCCAAAGACCTTGCATTTTGCTTTGCTGGAATGGTACTCTTGGCCCAAAGAACAACAAAAGTTCTATCATCATTTTATACCCTAATCCAATCATTTCTGTAAAATGGGCAACGAGGCAGCAATTATAGTCATATTAGAGTTTCCTTTTTTATTGCTCTTTGTATTCATTGAAAGGAGATTTCTCCGTGACAATAACCTCTTTAATGGAATTGGGTTTCTTTTGGAAAGTTCTTTTATTATTCTTTTTAAATATGGAATGTTTTTCATGACCCATTTTCTTCTATCTTTTGGAAGTTCGCAATTCACTTAATTTTTCAATCGAGCTCGTGATCTTAATTTGTTCACAACTTCGTGTTGCGGAGTTTTGGAGAAACGCATGTTGTAATCAACGCCTAATCTAACTGTGTAATTATTCCGAGAAAATAAACATATATCCACCCAAATAATGATTTTTTATTGCTGCAAAACCACCTCTAGTAAAATAATAATTTTCATAATCGAATAAAATATCTTGCTATAATTTCATTTCATGTGTACAGATCGAGAGATTTCTCTTTCTGGGTAGCGGATAATGTCGGCGGAACCATTGGGGGTTTACCCCAGTGGCCACCCTTCTCACTTGAGAAGGGGGAGGTGGGGAGTTCGAATCCCCACCTTCGCAGGGGGGTAGGGGTGGGGCCGCGTAATTTTAAGATGTGGGTTTCGACGCCCACGCCCTGCAAGAGGCGGGGCGCAAGTCTGAATGTATATCGTGAGTGAGAGATAGAGTAGGACCGACCAAAAAAAAAAAAGATAATGTCAGCGGGGGTGTGTCGGTATATTTTGAAGCAAATGAGGAAGCTTTAATGAGGGTGAAAGTTTAACTAGGGGTGAGCATGGTCCGGGTTGGGCCGGTCCACCCCTAACCCTATGACCAACCCTAACCCTATGACCAACCCGCACAGTGTTGGTCCTCAATTTTGGGACCGATGACCGCCCGTCGGTTCCATGGACCCGCCCGGAACCGGACCGCCGGTCCGGTCCGGTTCCCGGGCGGGTTCATGGAACCGGTCCCACCAAATTTTCCTGGACAAATAAAAAAAAAATGTGGACCAACATCGGATCAACGGAACAAAAAGAAAAGAACATAACTTTCCATACAATTCCTATACTATGATCGGTTCTATTAACCACATCATCCATAAATCAAGTGGGTACCCATCAAATGAGTGTCCAGAGATAAGAGAGCAGAGAGTTATGAGTGTCTAGTTACGTTTTTCTTTTTAATTTTTTTTGGTCAGATTTTTTTAATTACAATTTTAAAAAATAAATATATTATTATTATATTACCGGTCTGGTCCGGGCGGTTCCACACCGGGAACTGGACCGATACCCACCGGTTCCAAAAAATTGGAACCAGGAACCGGACCGGTTCCCTTGGGAACCACCGGTTCCGGTCCGGTCCCGGGCGGTCCTGGGTTTTTTGCACACCCCTAGGTTTAACGAGATTGAGAATGATAATCATTTAGTTCTGGAATGATTTCTGGCAAGAAATGGATTTTTCTATTTTCTATTCTGTGTTCGGGTTTCCGAGCTCAAAGTATCGTTTGATAATAATACAAAATTTCTGTTTCCAGAATAGATTTTCGTTTGATAATATCGATGTAGAATTCGTACATCGGCGGGTGAGGGCGAGCAACTAGGGCGGGCTCTTAGAATAATTTTTATTTCAAGTAAAGAATTTTAACAAAAAAATAGAAAAAATAGAAAAATAGAATGGTTATCATTCGTTAGCTGCAAAATTTTCCCAGTTTTTATGACTACCCCTAAAGCTCCTAAATAAAACGATGCAAAGAGAAATTCTTCTAAAAAAGTTATTAATATATCCGTTAGCTCTTATCGACATACATATATGTTAAATTTTCAGTTATATATGTCGTTATGAACAATTTAAATAAGACTGCTTCCTAATAATAATTAAACCCTAATATCTCTATCCATTTAATTGCTTGATTATAATTTTGGAATATATCCAATCGAAATCTACAAAATGGATTGAAATCGGATACTCTAACCGCATATCTCGGTGGTTAAGGATAAATCAAATATCTATCTGATAGATATTTGAATGGAGAAATTTGTTTAGACTACAATTTTTTTAATACTTAAGCGGCCTTCATTTGGAATTATTTTAAGAGAGATTGAATATTTTGCGAGGAATAACGCATAGAATTTCGAGATCAAAACTAGAAAGCAAAAATCGCTTCATTTTTTTTGGGGGTTAAATGACAAACTGACGCTAGGTTAAAAACGAGAGAGCATCCCTTTTGCATCGTGTGCATTTATTTACTAAGTGAAATTGAAGATCGATCGGCCTAATCCGTCTAACATCATCGATAAGCAAATTAATGCTACCTGAAACAAGATACGTTCAGATTCGAAGATCGAGTTCGAATCGGTGAATCGTTTAAATTATTCTCCATTAGGTTTGAACAAAGCAAGTAGATCGAGATCGATATTGCACACTTTTGAATTCCGAAAATTAGTTCGATTACCCTAAATGTTATTTTAGCACAAAATCTTTTGTGTACACTTTAGTTTTCTTGGCCTTTTTGCTTTGGTTTTGAGGTGGAATTTTACATCGCTACCGGTAAA